AAATATTTGACTTTCTCATATTAATTCATTTTTTCCTGACTTTTAGTAAATTTTAATTCAATTCCCTGACATTTCTCTGATTTTTCCAGCTGATCTGTGAACCCCGTTAATTTAAAATGGAATTTTTTTTATTATTTTTTTCTATCAGAAACTACTTTTTACTAAGAATATGCTTTGTGTTATCATTAATTGCAGGGTGACTATAAATTACCAACTGTGAATCAAAAAATCTTCGTTTATCATTTTAATTAATTTTTAAATGTAACTGGATTAAATCGTTTTATACAAACTTTGTTGAAAAGGAAATAAAATAATAACTACTAAATTCTTAATAAATAATTTTTGAAGAAATTTAAAGAAAAAAAAACGCATTTGCGAATTCTGATAGCTTTTGTCATAGTTATAGAGCTGCTTTTTCATTTCTACTTATACTCACGTAGAAGATTTGTAATATAATAAAGTTTTTCATCCATATTATATAGTTTAAAATATAAGAAAAGTATCTATAGATCTTGTCGTTTCTAGCATGCCCGCCATTGACCTTTGCTAATTAAGTCTGAAAGGTGCGCCTTTTGTTGAAAAAAGAGCACCGCAAATGTCAAAGTACATCTTAGCTATGAAGCATCACTCATTCGTGAAGCTACTTCCACAATTTTGACATAGATCTGAAGGGGAAGGAAACTTTATCCAGGTCCCTGTACCCATGGTATTGCCCAGTGACCGACCACTGGGCTTTCGATTCCACCGATTTTACGAGCAGGTATCGCATGCATTCGGTTGATCTTAGCGAAGTTGAGAACCGATTTTTGTTTTGCGTTACATGGAGATGAAAACCATGAATTCATTCTATAGCTAACAACAATGTTACTTTAAATCATAGTTTCACCCTTGTCATGAGATTTTAATGAAATTGTTTCAAGAACTTTATTTATGGAAAAAAGAGGGAATAGAAAATTTTACTAGTTACTGGAATTTTTATGAAACATTTTTCAATGAAACTTTTTTAAAAAAGTTATAAAAATAACAGCATTAAAAAAATTTAATTTAATATCGTAGTTACGAATTATAAGAGTTTTTGTTGCTATTATACAGCAGTTTTTATCACCATCTCTGAGCAACCCATACCAACGTAAAAGATTTGCGGCTACTATATACTTTGTTATCCACATCTTTATAATTTTAAATAAAAGAGAAGTATTCTGAGAAACTATTTTTTTTTCTTCAATAAAATCAATCTTATTTTGCCTTTCATAGCTGTTAACGACGAAATCTTTCTGTGGTTAACAATGACAAGTGATATTTTAACCCACGTCTTCACCGTTGTTTTCAATTTTTACATTTGTCGCCATTCCGGTTGAAGAATTTGCGGTCCATCTGCAGCTCTATCTTCAAAAATTTAAATTTGTCTGCAGAGAGGCAGAGATTATTATTGCAAAAATTAAGCTTAATCTAACATATATTTAGCACAATTTGCAAATATTGAATAAAGTTATACGAAAAACTTTGTCGTTTAAATTTTATTTGAATTTTATGCAATCATTTTACAACTTTGTACTAATGTAGAAAAACAGATGCATATACAGATGATAGTCCAATTAAGATATATATGCAAATGATATACAAATCTTCCATTTTAAAGGAAGAAATTAACAGAATTGTTATTTACAATGATTTTTGGTGATAAGAGTTTCTGCGAATAAAGTTCGTTACCATTCCATCACAGGTATTTTGCTGACAAATGAATCAGGAAATAAAACAAATAATCAGAAACAATAAAAATTAAGGAAGTATCTTTATTTGGTGTTATTTTTTTTAATAAAATATTCCTTATATTTCGTAAATGTAGATCGAAAAATCTTTTCTTTTTATCTTTAATTAGTATTTGTCCCGCAGTGGGCTGATCGTTAAGACACGATTCCCAACAGATCACCGAAGTCAAGTATCACTGGCTGCTGTCAGTGTGCGGGTGGGTAACCACTTCGATCAGTCTACGTAAGGACCGAGGGTGTGCAGTATTGGTCCTCATTAAACTGTTCTACCTTAAAGTGCTCGAATTCGCGTGCAGGTCGTTGGGCTGCCGAAGCGGGGGTGCCATCCCCTCCACAGAGGATCAAAATTGTGACGGCATGTCTTCGGTTCATCCTCAGGGATGTTTCCCAGACCGTCGCCAGTAGCCTATATACGCTCTAGTGCGACGTAAATGAACTACTAATACTTAATTTGTACTTGTTATCAGTTTTTTTTTGTTGTTGCTAGAAATTGTTTCTTCATTTTCTTCTTCTTTTTTTAAATTTGAAGTGAAAAATAGTCTCTAGATATTGTATTGATCTCCATTGTCCGCTGCCGTGCTGGAAGGTTTTTGTTATCACCAAGGTTTTGGGATCGCCATCATTGGTGCATCTATCTAATATTTTAAATATTTTTATGAGCGCTATGTATTTTAAATAGCGTCGCCTACATCACTGGTTGGAGAGCTGGGGTAGTGAGTTCGATCCTGGTGGACAACCGGTATGTATGCGCAATCAATGTGTGAATTAAATCTGTCGTGTTTCAAAGTCCTTTTGTTGGCTGTCGTGTTTAAGTTTGGAAAGAGGGCTACTAGCTGATTTTGGAGCCCCTGAATTAGACAGGCCGACTTATCATTTATTTTTGGAACAAAGAGCTAACATAAGCATACAGCATAACAATACTAACATAACGTTAACTTCCGAACTTGTTTGCTCCAATATTGCTTGATAGGTCAGCTCTGATAGTATAGGAGCCTTAGCTGAGGTACTGGCTAGGAATCATAATTACGTGGCATTCTTATCATGGTCGTTAAAAGATTGAACCTTTTAAAATGGGGCTAGATGCTTGGCTATGCTTGTGTAATGATGCATTTGCTGTAACTGAGATTTAAATCTCGGCCGTTAGTGCTCGAAGCGAGGGCTGATATGCGTTGAATTGTACCAGTCAATTACAGACATTTTAAATGTATGGAAACATTTTCTGTGGATTGTACACGCTGTGTTATGCGTCAATGTTTTTACTTAAAATGCGCGCATCAATTCAAAGTGATTAGCACCTAACTACAATAATTTTAAATCTACTTTTTATGCGCTGCAAGAAATGCTGCTTTGTGTTTAATATTTGACTTTAAAATAACTACTTGTGTTCTTTGCTCCTGTTAAATAATTACCTATGAATTTATTCAAATAAAAAAAATATGATTGCTATTAAAGATAAAAATAATTGGTTTTACCTTATTTATAAATAGAAAACTATAGCTTTAAGCATTAAGTTGGTTATTTCTTATTTCCTAGGATGAAGTGATCGTTCTGAAATTATCAAATTATTTTATACATTTAATTTTTTTCGTATTTCTATCTAAAGCTTATAGTTTTCTTCTTTTTTTTTGTTACGTGTATATGTTATGAAACCAGGACATTTGAAAATTATATTCCAAAACATTAAACTGTATCTTTTTTCTCTCACTCATCTGCGAGTTCCTTAATCGTGTTTTAAAAACCCAAAATTTAGTGAAATAAAAAATGAAGACTAAAGTAGGACAATAAATCTATCACAAAATTATGTAGATTAAATAAAATATTTAAACTTAAGTAAAATAATACTGCATTGAAATATTTATAATTAATAAAGTAATATTATTTTATTTTAAATAAAAAAAAACAACAGCAAATTTGTAAATTATTCTATAAATAATATTTAAGTAGTTCTTTCATTTCATATTTTAATTTACTGATAGTTTTTTTAAAAAAATTTTTATGAGCCACCAATACCTTTGGTGATAGCTTTTATACAAGAATCAGCAATTGTGTTAGAGATATTGCTTGATTAAAAACTTCCATTCGCTTCAAAAATATACAAATTGGGAAAAACGGTCGACATGTTTCAAGCGCTTCAGAAATAGGCGTACATATTCAAAACTTGCTAGACGTGAATGAAAAGAAAAAGTGATTTGAAATATCAAACATAAAGTTACCAACGAAAAATGGAAAAATAAATGTGAGAAGCAACTTTCTCACCTTTATTTTTCAATTTACCGTTGCTGACTTTTCGTTTCTCATTTCAAATCACTTTTGTTTCTTCTAATTCACGTCTAATGGGCGCCCATTTTTTGAGCTCTTGAAACATTTCGACTGTTTTTTTTTTATTACCCTATTTGTATATTTTTGAAGCGAAAGAAGTTTTTAATCGAGTAATATTGAGCCATGGTGGCTCAGGAGATAGAGCGCTTGTCTCCCAATGAGGTGAACCGGGTTCGATCCCAGCGACAGCTGATCGATTCGAATTCCGCACCCGGCTCTCACCGACCATAATGCTGACGTAAAATATCCTCAGTGGTAGACGGATCATGGGTTAGATTCTCCTTGCCGTCAGGCTAACCGTGGAAGGTTTTAGAGGATTTCCTCACCATGTAATGCAAATGTGGGTTAGTTGCATCAAAAAAGTCCTCCACGAAAGCAAATTTCTCTCAATATTTGATCCAGGAGCTCCCTTGTATTCTGGATTGGGTTTAAAATTACTAGGCTGTCGAATTGAATATTAGTAGCGGTAAATCTCCGCATACCCCCTGGCGGGGGCGGGACGGGGTTAAGCTGTAATTAGTTGCCGTAAACCCAAAAATTGGGTCTGCTGCTCAACGGCAGTATTAAAATAAAATCAAGTAATATCTTACCGCTTCAGTTTCTTGCAATTATTTATTTTCTATTTGAGATAGTTATTAGTACTATGATTCACCATTTCACTTGGTCGATTAACTGCGATTCCACCATCCGGTTTTTATTCACGCAAAACATCATAAGGAAACGCTCTCAACTTTCTTTTTCTACGAGGCAATTGTTAGTCCTGTAAAGGCTTCCGAAGAAATCAATTTTTATGGACGAATGCTGGGATATGCTCAAGTTCAGAAGAGAAGCCCTTCGAGAAAAAAGGTTCCCTCTCTCAGTACATGTTTATTAATTCATGCTTGCTCTGTTTGTTGATTTTTCCATATCAAGGCTCATCAATACTCCCTGCAGGCAATGGAAGACGGTAAAGGCAGGTACGGAGCTGAATGTGATTGGTGGTCCCTAGGTGTCTGCATGTATGAAATGCTCTACGGAGAAACGCCATTCTACGCCGAGTCGCTGGTAGAGACCTATGGTAAAATTATGAATCACAAGGTAAGTTTCACAACATTCTATTCTTAGGCTAATTGAAAAATCTGATAGTTTTCAGTGCTCCCATGATCATCGGTAAAGCCTTCAGTATTTTTCAGCCCAGTTTCCTTAGGCTCAATACAGTTAGTCTACCAGCCCAAGTTAAAATTCTTGACGGTCCCATTAAACATCTTGATGGTTTATGTCGGTTTCAATGCGATTCATGATGGTCCAGCATCATTTGATGGTCACCATCATCCAACATTTTCCATTATGCGTTCATGGTTTTTGATATGCCAACAAACTTCCGTCATGGAAAATGCTACTTTAATATTATGATGGTTAACCATAAAGAGAAGTTTGATTCTCATGGATCAAGAATCCATGATGGTTTAATGGAAATTCTTGTTGGTCATCAAAAATTTTTTTTTATTATTTTGGGCCATCGTAAGTCCGTCCGAATTCCTACATTGGGATGATGGTTCGTTCATGATCGTTCCAACATTTGATTTCTAAGAAACTATGATGGAAATTTCTGATGGTTCAACTTGAACGAACCATCAAAACAAGAACGACTATTCTTATGTTGGACCTTCGTAAATCAGTTCGAATTCCTACGTTGGGATGGTGGTCGTTCATGATCGTTCCAACATTTGATTTCTAAGAAACTATGATGGAAATTTCTGATGGTTCAATTTGAACGAACCATCAAAGCAAGAACGACTATTCTTATGTTGGACCTTCGTAAATTAGTTCGAATTCCTACATTGGAGTGATGGTTATTTATATTGGTTACCATCAAAAATATAACGGTTCATGATGGAATTATTGATAGTTACCATCATATGTTGGTCCTTCGATGGAAAACCATCAAAATTTCGACTCGGGTGTCTTAGGAGGACGCCATACCATGGGAGAAACTTTTCATCGCAAGTTCTCTTTCACCTCCAGTACTAAATTAAAAAGAAAGAAAAAGTGAATTCCTTAAGGCAAATCTAGAGTAAGCGATGAAGTTTCAATTGCTTAAATGGAAAATAATAATAATATCAAATTAGCGAACAAGTTATTAGAAGAGAACTTTTCCATTGCGTAATCTTAAGTTATCTTCTCATTTATTTTCATTTGGATGCCTTAAAAAAATTTTTTTTAGTATTTGAAACTTCATGGCTTACTCTAGACTTGTCAGAACTCACCTTTTCTATACTTAAATTTGTTATAAAGGTGAAAGATAAAAGATTTTTTCGTAGTGTCCTCTTAAGCTAATTAAAAAACGTACGAGTTGCTTAATCAGATTGAACTTTCTTAGTCTTAATTTTTATTAAGCATTTTTTTAAATATTTTTTTCATTATTTTGTGTTAATTTAGGTCAAAATAAGTGGAACATCTTATATTTAGTATTTTAATAACTTATGATTATGAAATACAGTATGAAACACTGATGTCTTTTTCAGTGTTGAATTTAAAATTTTCCCAACACGGCTCACGAACTAGCCACATGGTATATCCTCTCTAATGCAAAATCGGGGACTTCAGGAATTGCCATGTCTTCTGGGTTTGGTTCAAAATTTCTAGGTCATGGAAAGTAGTCACCTCTCTTGCCTATTAAAACTATATATATATATACTCCCATATATTTTGAGCCTCTCAAATTCAAATCTTTCAACAACAACAACAAAAAAATCTCTTACCGAATGCCATTAAATGCATAATATTAGTAAAGAAACAAAAGAGTGTGTATAGATCATAATACTATTTAGTGAAATATTGCTAATAAAATCAATCTGTTTAAATTTTCAAGTGATTTATAGCTTTTCAACTATTCCGATTATTTTTTCTCTTTACATTTTCCCTTCTCACTACAGAACTGCTTCGATTTTCCTGAAGATGCGTCTTTTCACGTTTCCGAGGAAGCCAAGGATCTGATGCGGAGGCTTATCTGCAGTCCAGAATGCAGACTGGGACAAAATGGACTGGAAGATTTCCGCAATCACCCCTGGTTCAGCGGAGTCAATTGGGCTACTATCAGAGAAAGTAAGTCACAATGTGCTTGACTCAGAGACCGAAATCAAATTTAAAACTTTTTCTTTCAATGATCCAGGGTGCATAGCGTTTTTAAAAAGTGCTTCTTCTTTTCGATTTTCGTTTTTTTAAAAGCCCTTAAAGATTCTTTTTTCATTGGGTATTTTAAAAAAGTGCTTAATTTTCCCTTTTTCAAAATGAGATTTTTTCTTTACTATGTTGATTTTCACTTCGAATTATGCTAAAAGACACAGTTCACATTGAGCTATTCAACGTCTGGACAATTAATTCAACCCCAATCTATTTCGACGTATTGTCAGTTCGTGGCGTATGAAAACGCCATTCGTTTTGCAGGATTAAAAATTTTATGATTTTTGACAGTTGTCAAAAACAATGAATGCTGAAATTTTTTTTGGACATGATTTTTAAAACAAGATAAAGCTGTCAATTGTTAAAAAACTTTCAAACCCTGCCTAGTTATGATATTTTTTAAAGTGCTTAAAAATATTTTTGAGTGCTTGAAAAGTGCTTAAAAGGTGCTTATTTTTTGTTGAATAATTTGCCTACGCACCCTGTGGTCGTTTTATTATTTTTTAGAAACTTTAAAAACTGTTTAACCTCAAAACCAGTGATTTTATTTTATTTTATAACCGTCGTTGAACAGCCGACCCAATTTTATGGGTTTACGACTACTTACGTTCAACTCCGTAGCCTTGTAATTTTGAACCAATCCAGAAGACAAGGAAACTCCTGGATCAGTACCCCCAGAGGTATTGATTTGTTGTGGGAACATGGAGGACTTTGAGACTCGACAGATTTAACGTGCATCAGTCACCATTTACTACACGGGGAGTCTTCGGCCGGCGAGGATCGAACCCACGACATCTTGGATATGGGCCCAGCGCCCTACCGACCAGGCTATCCCGGCCCAAAACCAGTGATTGTATAAAAGAAAGTTAGAGCATCTAAAAAATAATATTTGACACTTTGCAATAATAATCGAGTTGCTCAGATGCAAATGCGATACCGCAAACATAGTGCTCAATATTCTTATTATCAACAAGAGAAACGCCTGCAATAGTTCTAATAGAGACTAAGCCGCGGTGGCTCAGGGGATAAGACTTTCACCTCCCTATTAGGTGATCCAAGTTCGAATCCCGGTTGTGGCTGGTTGATATAAACTCTGCTCCCCTGGCTTGCACCGACCACAGTGCTGATTTAAAATAACCTTAGTGGCCAAGGTTTGGAGATAACTACTTCAGAGAACCCTATACTGCGAGAGAAACTTTTCATGGTAAATTCTCTTTCGCCTCCATTGGTATTTTAAAGTTCAGAGAAAAGTGAGTTTAGGTAACTAACCCATGAAGTTTCAAATGTCAAAATTTTTTTAACAAAACGTCAAATTGCAACCAAATTATTGCGGGATTACTTCCCCACTGTGTGATCCTGCTGTAATTTGTTTGCATTTTGAAATTTTTTTTAGTCAGGATCCGCTCTAGGTTTACCTGAACTTACGTTTTCTATGTTTTAAATTATTTATAAAAGTGATAGAAAATTTGCGTGAAGAGTGTGTATGGCGTTCTCTTAACTTCTATGACTTCTCTGACACTTACAGCAGCTTGTTACTTTTACTAAAACTCTTATCTTTTTTACTTTTTTATAGCTGAAGCTCCTTACATTCCCGAAGTTAGCAGTCCAAGTGATACATCAAATTTTGACGTGGATGAGACTGATTTAAAAGGATCAGTGAGTAATATTTATTAATACAATGTTAACAGTTAGAAATTTTTAAAAGGATCAGAAAGTAATTTTTTTTTAAAAATGAAATACTAATAGCATAGTTACTAGCTTTTTCCAAAAATCTAATTTACTAAAGTTATAGATCCATTTATTTCATAGACTGAACTGTAATTAGTCATATAGCTATTTTTTTATAAAGCTGTTTTTCTCTTTCCTTCCTTTAATGCAAATTCATTCTATGAGGGCAGTATCCGTGCTATGGATTCAAATGTATTTATATAAATTTTAATTTGTAAAATCTTGGATTATAAACAATTACATTTTGCATAAGTAACTTTTTATAAGAAATTTAAACTTCATATAAGATTTCCACATTATTTATTTATTTGTAGGATTCTGTACCACCTAGTTCGAATTCTGTGTTTTCTGGTCTTCATCTTCCTTTTGTTGGTTTTACTTTCTCTTCCAAAAGGTAAGATATACTGATGCCATAAGGAACTATTTACAAATTCTTGCAAAATCGTCTGCGTTTTACTAAAAATATCTTATTCCCTGGACAGGAAGTAAAAAATGCATTATTTTTTGCGTATGAGTGCATTTTTTTCTTTTTTTAATTTTATCAATAGAAAGTTTTTAACCCAGAACCTGTGAAAGAATATTTCACATTTTTTTTAAAATTCTGTTATGGCAAACGACTTTGGTATCAAAGTAATTTTTTTTATGGAAGACAGCTTTGAAATAAACAAAATAACCAGAAATTTTGAAATAAACAAATTATTGTCATGATATAATAATAATTTTATTTCAAAAGTCGAAAAACTTTGTAAAAAAAAGTGGAATAATGCCATTAAATTTTTCTATTATTTTTCAACTATAAGTTTTAGTTTTTAAAAAAACAAACTATCCCCTTATTATAATGTTCTTTTTTATTTCATTTACATATATCTAAATATCATAAAAAGAAGGAGTAAAAGAAATAGTATAAAAGAAGAAGGTAAGTAAATAAGCGTTGTTTTGTGTGCAAGAGTTTAGAAAGTTTTTAGAAAGAATGTTTCACAAATTTTTTTATTATGTTTATGAAATATGACAATGTTATAGAAATAAATTTCCTTATTCAAGACAATGTTGAAATAAACAAAATAACAATACGTTTTGAAATGAAATTTTTTTTTGTCATGCCATAAAAATTGTATTTAAAAAGTCGAACGATTTTATAAAAAAAGTGGAACAATGTCATTATGTTTTTTTCTGCAATTTTTTAGTTACATCTCGTTATGAACTTTTTCAGCTATAATTTTTTTAAAGCGACTGGCATATTATAATACTTTTCATAAATTCATTTTTATTTCATCTACATATGTATATCTAAAAATAATGCTCTTTGGCTAGGAAGAAGTTGTATGTACAGATTTGAAAAGTATGTTTTATCAAATTATCCAAGTTACTTAAAGATTAAATTAAAGATTATTATTTGTTAAAAAAAAAAGACTTATGAGATTGTTTAAAGATTATTACGCATATAAAAAAAAGTTAACCAATAAGAACTATGCATCTTAAAAACTGATTATTTAATTGATAGATATCATGATTACTTTTTCTCATTTAATTCAAATGTATATATTTTATTCCAAATGTCATAGAAAAACAAAAAAACTTTATGGAATTATTCCATAAAGTTTTTCTGTTTTCATCTCTTTATTATAACAGCAGAAAACCTATAAACACAATCCTAATGATATATACTTACACACAATACAAAAGAAGTTCGATTTTGCTAAGAATCACTTGTGACATTGATTATAATTAGTGGAAGATCATTAAAGGACTCCTCCAAATATGTAATTAAGAACATTGATTAGAGAAAGAGGAAGTTGCTCGTCATTTAATTAATGGGATTATTTCGTTTGTATTCGATAAAATTAGATTAACATAATTGAAATAATATTATAATTTGAATAAATTGAAGCAGTCCATGAACTGTAATTACGTAATTTTATTAATATCAGTTTTCTCGTATTATTCAGATGAACCTAATAATGTTGATACTTTAAAAAATTTTATGAAATTATTGATTTTTGTGCTAAAATATTGTTCTTTTTTTAGTTACAATAATTATGTGGAAAAAAAAACTTTTTTTAACTGATCATTAACTATTTTGTAAAAGGGGGGGGGGAGTTAAAGAAATCTTTAAAAAAAAACGAAGGTTGGGGAAATGGTTATAATTTTGAAGTGGACTTTCCTGTACATTAGAAAGAAATATTTTCTAAACATTGCCTTCCTACTCGCTATCGCTGGCCAACCAAAATATGGATGACATATGCATTTATTGTTAAATTTTCAAGATTGTATAAAGAAAATCACCAAAATTTTAAAATTCAGTAACTCTGAAGCTAACTCAAAATTTAAAAAAAAATTCAGCAGCTTTTTTTTATTTTTAGTCGTAAGAGTACGTGGTTGCAAAAAATTATAATTTTACTGTGATTAGTTTTTTATTTACCTACTAAAATGCCTACTATTTACCTACTATATTTACCTACTGAAATTTTACTGTGACGGTACAAATTTACCCCAAAGAATATAAAACATTTAATTACTTCAAAACTAATGTAAAATTTAAAAAATTGCAATGCATTATACATGTCAGTAACTGGCAGTAAAAAAAAAAAAAAAATCATGATTATTTTGTTAACAGTTTTTGTAAAACTAAATTACTTAGCACAACAAAATGAAAATAATCAAATCTTTGATTTTCTAAACAATATAATTATTAGTTATAATTTTTCAAGTTAACCGAAAAATATTTTGTTGGTTTGTCCTTTACCCAGAAAAAAAATATTTTCGATATAATTATTTGTAATACTTTTGCAAGTAAAGTAACAATGTTTTGTTAATTTGTCCTCTACAAAGAGAAATTTTCTATGGTTACTATTTTATAAGTGGATTTGTAATTAATGGTTTTAATTTTGAGAATGGACTTAAAATATTTTGTGAATTTTGTCTCTACCTGGAAAATATATTTTTGTTAAAGAATTAATAGTTATAATTTGGAAAGTAAGCTTAAAATGGTTTGTCTTCTTAATTTGTCCTCTTTCTAAAAAATTTTTTGAAATCGACTAAAACTATTTTGTTTCTTTATCCTCAGCATGGAGAAAAATATTTTCTGCGATTACAATTTTGTAGATGGATTTATTATTAAACTTTATAATTTTGAAAATTGACTTAAAATCAATTGTTAGTTTGTCCTCTCTCTACCTGGAAAAAATATTTACTAAAAAAACTTGTACTCTGTTTGAGCTAGTTTTTTAAATTTTTTAATAAAGACAAAATTCTTTGTATTAGAATAAGAGTTGTGGGAAGTATAGTTATCGACAATATAAAACCTCATCTATGAAAATGTTCCCCATCATAGAATTGAGTTAACATGTCTTATACTGAATTGGAATTGTATTTTTGTAGTGGTAGATACACTACAGTACTCCACCACCAGAATTTTATCTGTGATAGAATTCGATGAATGAGATACCACTAGTTGATTCATTGCTGTTTTGTAAAAGGCCAGGAGAGCTGTTTTAAGATCACCGTACTTTTGCTGATCGTGAGAGCTGTATTAAGGTTAGAGCCGTGATTTTTCCTTTGTTGCCATTAGCAGTCGAGTGTATGTAGGCCAACGTTGTGTGTAATCGAGACTGAGTAGCAACAGCGCGAGGAGATGGATAATGTCGCAGTCACAAGTAGCAAGTCAACTATTCAATGTGGACCATCCATCAAAGTAGGCATGTTCAGATGAAAGTGAGCGTTACTGTAAAGATAGGCGTGTTCATATCGAAGTGGGAGCTTCTGTCAAGGCATGTTCACATCATGTCCGGGTCACCAATGTGGGGAGAGTAGAATTTGACCATGTCAATCCTCATCTATGAAAAGGTACCCCAACATAGAATCGAGTTAACACTTCTTATATACTACTGAATTGGAATTGTATTTTTGTAGTGGTAGACACACTACAGACTATTAAATGTGTTAAAATATGAACTCAAATCAATATCTTTATTGCAGCAGACTTTCAGGTTTTGGAATGCAAAATGGAATCGACTATCATGCAGAGGAAAATCAAATAATTTATGAACAAAGAATACAAAAACTTGAACATGATAAAATGGATCTACAGAGGAGGTTAAGAGGTAAATAAGTTTTACAGTTCATAAATGAATTATGCTCTGATTCAGTTTTGTTACTGATAGTTTGATTATTTTTATAATAATTCTTATTGACAACTTCTTCAACTTTTAGGCTCTTCTTTAATGACTTGGTCGTCATATAAAATGATGCATTTTAGTGAATAATATGTTATTTGCATAACTGTTGAGAGTTTTCAACAGTTAATCATGACTGTTACGTTTAGTTTTATCCATCTTTAGCTAGCGCCCTCTTAATCTTCCCTATTTATGAAATCGTTACAGAATGCTAATATGAGATAAAGCTTTGTGTTTTGTGAAAATTAAATTTATGATCTACTTTTTTTAAATATTTGAGAAATTATCCTAGTTGTTTGTAAATATGCAAAAATTGAGAATCATTTGTGATTTTTGTTTTGTGAGATTTTCTTTCTCTCGGTAGAAAACGTTTGAAATATTTAATAATTCTCTTAGGTTTTTAAAAAAAAGTTAAATATTTTGTTAAACATTTAAGCTATTTTTCCATTTAAGCCCAAATTGTTTTTAGAGCAAGATATAGTTTATAGTTAAATGCTTTGCACTGAATTTAAAGTTCTTAAAATGTCTCTTTAATTTCCTTGGCAAAAAAAAAAAAAAAAAGGCTATGAAGAACACAATTAATATATATTTTGGTAATTACCCTTTCCCTAATTCATGATGCGTTGTTTCTATCTTTGGCATCAATGTTATCTCATCATCATCATCATCATCATCAATGGCTCGACAGCCCAGGGTGGGCCTTGGCCTTCTCAAGAAGGTTTTTCCAGGCATTTTACAGAAGATTTTTCCCATTTAGTTTTTAAGACAAAAAGGTCTTTCTCTAGGCCATCTATCCATCTCAAATTCAGCCTGCCTCTTTTTCATGTGCCAACTGGTCTGGCATTAAAATCTCTTTTTGAGGTACGGTCTTCGTCCATTCTGATAATGTGGCCTGCCCATTTTATTCTTTGTCATTTAATAAAGTTAATAATGTTATTATTATTATTCATTATAATTCTTTAATTATTAAATTTTGCACACCTATTAAGCAAAAGTTTTTCATTTTTTTTTAGTTTTATTAAAACCATAGCATTTAATTCATATATTAATAATTTAGAAATAATCTTAAAGTAAAGCTGCTTATTTAGACAATTATTAAATAAATATTTGTACATGGTATTGTAAATTTTTAAATATAGAGAAACTCATGAATATGTCACTAGAAAAGCACATTGAAACACATTTTTAAATAATTACATTTATTATGCATAGTTATAGTAGTTGATTTTTATAATCTAAAATTGTTTTAAGCTTTTGTGATTGTTTTAAGCCATGGTGATCATCCTTAATGTATGTTTTTTATTATTGAATATATGTTATTGAATATATAAATATTTATATGTTTTTATTATTTATGTTGAAGTAAAAAAATTCAATACCAATTTAAAAATTGCATACCAACTTAAATTTTATTCTAATATCAAGTATACCTTACACATTATTAAGTTTATAATTAGATGTTTTCAAATCTATTTATTAAAAAATAAGTAATAAATTTTTTTTATTTTATTTATTAAATTTCTTATTGTGATGAATGTAACTATGCTGCCTTATTTTTAGTTGGTGCTATAATTATCATTTTTGAATTAAAAAACTATTTGCCAAAGCTTTTAAGATACAACGTTAAATTAAAAAACGTTTTTACTTTTTATAATTTATGTAATTCTATTTTTTGTTTATCTCATTCAGAAATGTCAAAATTCTTCAAACAACAGGGAATATTATTTGATGAAAATGATTTTGGTAAAGGTCGAGGTTCCGAAGCAGAGAGCCGTAAACTGCAGGATGAAATTAATACCCTCAGAAAGAGGAAATCAGGTACTCCATATTGTTCTTCACTAGAATTAGAACAAATAATTTTTGAAGAGATATTTGTGAATTAAAGAAAGTTAGGAAGAATTATTCAGTTATCTATGTGGGAGAGAGTTTCCATGGTTTCAAGGTAAAAAAAAAAAAGAGGCTAAAGTATCTGCTAGAGCTCCAATTTTTAAGAGTCTCTCAGATTATCTAGCTATTTATTTTAAAAAAAAGTATATTTTAGGAAAAACATTTCAATAAGATATTTTTACAAAAAATATTTCAGTAAGTAACTCAAATTTTTAAATACTAATATCGAGTTTTTACTAAATTCATGTCCAGATAGGTCTACAAATAGGCATGTTTTCATATCTTTAAAATCTATAAATCAGCCTTTAAATATTGATATACATTTATTTGAATATTTACTTATTGGTGTAATGATACATATTTACATCATTACAATGAGACAGCATATTATTGGGGGTGGGGAAGGTGGGTATTTGTCCCCCTCTATAATTAGAAATCTCTTAAAGTCCCCCTCAATATTTCAGATAAATAAAAGAGAATTTTTGTAAATTACATTAGGAAAATTTTTTTTATTGCATTTACACAAGTACTTGATCTTGCCTAATTTGGGTGTAAGGATTGGCGATCGAAATGGGCTGCAGGTGGCGTAGAGCAGAACTCTTTTCCTATGGCAACACTTCACATGCTTTCCCCATTAGCGTGTGGAAAGTCATAGAGGGGGAAGTACGTTGGTTTCTCTCTTGATTTTCACATAGATTAAAATCTTTTAACTTGAAAAACTATATGGAACTGAAAACTACTTTAAACATAGTTCTAAAGAAAAGTATCATATAAATTTAAAAAAATATTTTTATTACATAAAAAGGAAAAATATTAAGAAAAGGGAAATTATCGTAGTACATTCCTATACAACTGAAAAGAGGAGGAGAGGGAAGGGAGAAGGGCTAAAGGCATGAAACCGGTCTCTCCCCAGATGGCGTATTCGAGTGTTGCGATTGCGAATTTCAAATCTGAAATTAGTTTTGCTTCTAAAGCTACAGATTTTTTTGAAGTGAAATTTTGACTATTTTTTTGTTGAAATGAAAAAGTTAAAAAACATTACGTATGACAGGTACACGCATAAATGTTACAACAAACTACTAGAGGAGTTGAGGCATATCATCAGAGAAAAAAATCGCAGTGCCCCTAGTGGTGTATGACAGCATTTTCAGGCATGGGTTCCTATGCATTTCCAATCTCGAAGATGTGCCTTAACTCCACTTGAAGATTGTTGCAACATTTATGTGACCACTTTTATTAAATATAACGTTTTTAAACATGTACATTTCGACAAAAACCACAAAAAAATTTCATTTTAAGAAAAACTGTAGCTTGGAGAAAGAAATAGACTGCAGATTTAAAATCAGCAACACAGAAGTATCTAAGATCTGTTTAAAAAAATCTCATGTCAAGGAAACCAAAAAAAGAAATTGTTCTCCAATGTTATCATTGTTAAACTCATGAAAGGTAAAATCAAGAAAGAGATTATTAATTTTTTTTTGCAGATTTTTAGCAAATTGAGGAATTTTTATGTGTGAAATTTACAGAACTACTGCAACTGCATATTTTAATTTAGTCTCCCCTCCAATCTTCATACCATGCATATATTTACTCTAAATACATATATCTAAAATTGTGATAGTAAAGTTACACTTAATAAACAAAGCTGCTAAAAGTGACCTAATAATCTATTTGAGAAAAAAATAAGTTATAGACAATCAAATGGGAAACTATTTTTTCAACATTATACGGCTAAGTATGTCCACAAAGCCCTCTTTAGTTTACATTGTATTGCATTGATGCAAAAGAACTATTTATTTTTTCACCAAAATGTTTAAGAAAGGTATAACTAAAACTGTATCATTCTGAAAAGAAACATGATTTTTAATCAATTCTAACTTTTTCTTATATTTGTAATAATTTTGTTTTGTTTGCTTTTAAAATTATCTTCAGAGCTTGAATTAGAAACTAGCAAATTAAGAAAAGAACATAGAGACATGATACTTGGAAAACAAGAGTTAGATTGCTTACAAGATGAGAAAATCCTGCGTATTAGAGAATTAGAAAAAGCCCTTCGCTTTTCGAAAACAGAAAATGACGATCTGCACAGGGTAAGTCAATCAATGACATTAAAGTCTTTCAATTTGCATATAGATAGGCTATTTGTATCGAAATATTTTGCATACCTTTGTTTAATAAGAAATATGTTAGTTTTATGATTTTACACTACTACTTCAAATTTCTGATTCAAAGATAACATTTTCTTGCAAAATGAAAATTTTTTTAGATTCTTTCTTTAAAACATTTCATTTTAGCTGTAGAAATAGTCGTCGCAAGAGCTTGAAATCGGGGTACAAATCAAAGTAACTGAGTAAAGTATAAATACTTCATTCATTAGTAAAGTGTGAAATAAAATTAATTAAGCAGAATGAAATCAATCATTAATTTGTTTATTTGTTTTACTGTAGTAGATAGTTAATTTTCTTACATCCTGCCTTTTAAATTGTTAGAATTGTTTTTGCCAAGTGCATGAGAGGTTTGAGTATCAAAATTTAACTATTGATGGTAGATAAAATAAAATTTCTATGTTTTAAAGTAGTAAATAAAAATGTTTCTGGTTTAATTAAAAAAAATTTTTGTTCATTGCTCTTACATGTTTCTTATAATTCTTGAGGGTTTCAAACTTTTTGTTCATGATTACCACAAGTTTTTTTGTTAAATAATTTGTAACCGGAAGTGCTTCAATTTATCTTTTACATTTAAAAAATGTTAGTTTTTAAAATAGGGAAATAAATACAATTCTGAAAATAACATACTTTTTAATCATTTTCCCCTATAAAATTCATTTATTTTTTAACAAAATATAAAACTTTTTTGGGGTTTTAATTGTTGGGAAGAAATAATTTGTAAGTTGTATAAAATGTGAAGGTTTTTTCTTTATAGATAATGGTAGCATACAGTTTGTGTCTACTCTATTACTTTGGAACTGAAGTCTAAAGTTTAAATTTTTTGGTGTTCCATTTAAAATCATGTTGAACAGCATTCATTAATTTTTATTCTCTCTAGGATTTAGTAGATTGCCATGAAATTTTGTTCACTGCTCTTACATGTTTCTTATAATTCTTGAGGGTTTCAAACTTTTTGTTCATTATTACCACAAGTTTTTTTGTTAAATAATTTGTAACCCGAAGTGCTTCAATTTATCTTTTACATTAAAAAAATGTTAGTTTTTAAAATAGGGAAATAAATACAATTCTGAAAATAACATACTTTTTAATCATTTTCCCCTATAAAATTCATTTATTTTTTAACAAAATATAAAACTTTTTTGGGGTTTTAATTGTTGGGAAGAAATAATTTGTAAGTTGTATAAAATGTGAAGGTTTTTTCTTTATAGATAATGGTAGCATACAGTTTGTGTCTACTCTATTACTTTGGAACTGAAGTCTAAAGTTTAAATTTTTTGGTGTTCCATTTAAAATCATGTTGAACAGCATTCACTGATTTTTATTCTCTCTAGGATTTAGTTGATTGCCATGAAAAATTAAAACTCCAAGCAAAAGAGCTTAAAGAGGCCTTAGGCCAGAGAAAACTTGCTATGGCAGAATATGCTGAAGTTAGTGATAAGTAAGTTGATTATTTTAATTACGATTTTTACATAAAATAGTTCATTAATTGTTTGTAAAATAATTATGTAATTGCTTTTTCAGTTTGAAAAATTTATCAAGTATGTGTCAATACATTTCTTAATTCTTTTTGTTTCAGTTATATAAGTGAATAAAATTTAATGTCATTGTTGTACAGAAGATTTATACTTAATAATCTGCAAGGCAAAAGATCATGAGTTCGGGCTTAAGGCTGGTTAAATACTTTTGGTGGTATTTAAACCTGTATTGTACCAATGATTTCCCTCAAATATAATTGATAAAAATCATAACAGCTTATAATAATGTAATTGTAACAATTCAATGGTAGAAATAGGTAATTGCAACCATCAAATTAAAACACTCTAAATAAAATTTTAAATATTTAGCTCAGCTTGTTGGAATTAATAATACCTAAAATCAGAAACTAACTTTTAGTACGATTTATTCCTCCCTTTTTTTATTATGATTTTTAATTTTTGGCCTCTTAGATGAAGTATTAAGGCATTTAAAAATATTCATAATGAAATAAAGTTCTCTATTTGTTTACAAAATTATTTCCGTAAAAAACAATGCATCTTGAGAAAATCTGAAAAAAATAAATAAATAGAAAGTTTGAAAAATATTTAATCATATAGTCTGTGTCTTTGATATTATCAGAGAACTTCTTTCGTTAAATATCTTAAATTAATGATTGGTTATAGTATTCAAGTTAGAACTTTATTTAATTTTAGGTTAGAACTTTAATGGTTAGAAACAAAGTAATCTCTTTCTTCAGAAATTTTCACTATAGATGGAATTTTTGTACACCAAGGTTATTTACTTGCAAAAGATATCTCTTCTTTCTGGAATTTGCTCTCAAAACAGTAAAATAATTTTCTTTTAAAATTTCATATGTTCATGTCCTGCAAGAAATTTTAATGCATCTAAAATATTTTGCTGTTCACAAATTTTATTTTGGAAATCTTATTTTAAAGGAATGTTAAGTACGTACTAGTGAGAAAGATCTAGTCCTTTACTTTAACTTAAACATAGAGTTGGTAGCTACTCATAGATTTGATTAAATTTCCTAAATTTCTTGATTACCTAACAAGGCATTTTTGAAAACACTATTGAATTAAAGTTTGTCAAAAAAGACTACTATAATATTATCGCATTTAAAAAAAATTTCGGTATTTGTGTTATTTCTTCTTGATGGATGTCAATCTTTTTCTAAATTATTCATAAAAATTTATTTTCATTAAAAGTCTTGTGTTACTGAAAAATTATAAATCATGTGAGATAATCTTTTTTGTTTTGATCCAGTGCCTGGTATCATAGTGGAAATTTTTCTGTCAACAGATTGTCTGAATTAAGAACACAAAAGCAGAAACTGTCTAGACAAGTACGAGACAAAGAGGAAGAACTTGAAACAGCCATGCAGAAAATTGATATCCTACGGCAAGACCTTAGAAAAGCAGAAAAGTTTCGCAGAGAGGTATATAATTTGATGTTTATTTCTAAATTTTTGTTAATAGGAAAAGTTTCAATGAAATCTATATAATTTTAATCAATTTGGAAGATGATTTTAATCTGATATATTTGACATTACTATAAAACAGTTATGAAGAATAAAATCAAAATGTTTGTTTTATGTCAAAATTTTATTTTTATAGATGTTATTTAACTTCCCCCCTCAATTTTACCATTTATTTATCTTGGTTATGATTAAAAACTTATCTTTCGATTAATGTGTTTTTATAATCGAAAAAATTGCAATTGATGTTTGAAAGGCAACAGCTGTGTAATTTAATATGCATGTTATGTAGCCTGATAAGTTTGTTGTATTTTTTTAATTACATGATGTTGAATTGTCTTCAAAAATACTTAATCTATTATAATTAAAGCCAAATAAAGTAAAATCATTGATCAAACTAGGGCACTTGTTATTTTTGGTCAAACTAGGGCACTTGTTATTTGATCAAACTAGGGCACTTGTTATGTGATCAAACTAGGGCACTTGTTATTTGATCAAACTAGGGCACTTTTTATTTAATCAAACTAGGGCACTTCTTATTTTTGATTAAACTAGGGCACTTGTTATTTGATCAAACTAGGGCACTTGTTATTCAATCAAACTAGGGCACTTGTTGGCAGACTAGGGCACACTTACCCAGTTCCTTTTGGTTCACGTCCTTCACTCTTTTTTTCTCAAATCTTTTTTAGTTCCCCAGTTATATATTTATACTTAAGTATTTAAGTTTATAGGTATTAATTTTATCAAAGGCTATACCTTTTGCTTTTCGTTGTTTACCAATCCTTGGAACTGCTTGCTCAATTCTTTTCAGATCACTGCGCCTGAGCTTTTCATCTGTCCAGCACACTGTGGGAAAAAATACCAATTAAATGGCATGCGAATCAAAATGTTGTAAAGGATTTAGACTAATGCAGCAGTTCTTTTCAAATTCCTTTGATTGCTTTTCTCACTTATCTTAAAATAAAAATTTAGTATACATGTGTTAAAAAATTCAAAATAAAAATTATGATTACACATATGTGTTAAGGAACCAAAAATTGAAAATATAAATTGAAAAAGCATTTATTTCTATTTCTTTTTCATTTATGCTCACTTTAAATTTTTTTAGGCGAATGCAACCTAAAAGAAAATAAGCAATTACATTAGTTTAGAATAAAAATTGAAATCAAAATTAAATTTACTCTTTTAACATATACTGTTGTAAATCTGTATAAATTATCAAATTTAATTTGAAAAAAAAAAGATATATTTTTAAAAATTTGTATTGAAAATGTTTTAATTGCAAAATAATGCCTTGCAAATAAGTAAAAACGTTGGAAGGAAAAATAACAGTCTGACATCACTCATATGTGTCAGGATGGCTAATTTAACTATATTTGGCATGATTCTATGCTGTAATAAATATAACCGTTATTTATTACAGTAATATTTTATGATATTCTTAAATCATTCTGCAGCTTGAGGCAAGGGTTGAAGAAGCTCAGTCCGAAGCCACCAAAGAACGAAGACTGAGAGAACGTACAGAAGAATATGCCCACCATTTGGAAGATGAGATGGAGTCTCTTAAGCAGAGACATATTGGACGAGCTCCTAGTCCTGTTCATTTGGAAACACTGCAAGAAGTCAACAGGTACTTAATTTTATAAATTAATTCATAAAACACTCATTCATAAAAACTTCAACTATACAAATGACATCAGAATTGTGATACTGCTCTAATTTGCATTGACTGCTTCAAAATAAGAATATTTTGTTCTAAAATGCTTTAAACTCTATCCATTTTTACTCCAAGTTCTGCTATGTTAATTTTTATTTATTTTCTTCTCATTTTTGTTAATTTTTTTCTTTTAATTTAATTGGAATTAAATACAGCCATTTTTTAAAAAAAATTATAGGATATTTTTATAACTGTTGTAAGAACTGTTTGGAGCTATTAGGCTAAGCTTTCCCCAACCCTAGCTAGCATCCTCTCTTTACATGTTATGAAATTGTCTCAAATTGTTAATATAAAGGAAAATCATCATTTATTTAGAAATCGTTAGATCTGATATTTTCATTTGCAAAAAATTACTCTAACAATGTTTTGTCAGAGCTTGTAAATACAGGGTTTGCCATAGAACAGGAGAGCAGGTAGAAAAGAAAAAAAAACAGGGAAGCATAGTGATCTGAAAAAAATCAGGGAAATATCAGGAAATTTGATTAAAATACCTAAAAAGGCGATGAAAATGCATTAATTTGAAGATATAGGGAAGAAAAAAAAAAGAAAAACAGGTCTTGCAATAGTTTTAAAAAAATAAAATAAAGCATAACTGAATTATTAATAAAATTTATGCCATCTGTTTCCAAAACTCAGATAGGTACAATAAAATCAGCCTGGAAAAATCGTGGAATATTTTTCCGGAGTGTTTCTGGCCATGTTAAAACATGTAAAATTTGAAAACTATTTATGTTGGTAGATAAATCTCACCAAATTAACCACTTTTTAACAAAGTTTATTTATTTCTTAAATTAAAAAAAAAATATTTGTTTTTTAAGTTCAGATAATTTTTGCACCAAGGCAGTACATGTAGTTTAAAAAAATAAAATTTTGTTTTGAGTTTAAATTGTCACTTTCAGGCTGGGATAGCCTGGTTAGTAGGGCGTTGGGCCCATGTCCAAGAGGTTGTGAGTTCGATCCCCATAGCCTAAAGATTCCCCGTGCAGTAAATGGTGACTGGTGCATGTTAAATCTGTTGAGTCACAAATTCCTCAATGTTTCCATAACTAATTATGTATCAGGGGTACTGAATTCGAGATCTTTCTCTGGTTTAGATAAAAATTACTATCTATCAGGGTGTGTATGGTTTTTAAAGAGTGCTTATTTTTGATTTATGTTTTTTAAAAGCCCTTAAAGGTACTTTTCTTTTATTCGGGATTTGTAAAAAGTGCTTAATTTTCTATCTTTTAAAAGGATATTTTTTTCGTTACTTTGTCAATTGTTGTTCTAAATTACAAAAAATGCATGATTTTCATGATTTTCTCTGCAATATATATCAGAAACTAGTTATTTTATCATGATTAAGTAAAGCTTTTGAAAATATTTTTGAACTTTATTGATTTTATGTTTATAAATTAATAATTTTAAATGATAGAAAAAAATTATTGCTGCACAGATCCTAATCATGATTTTTTTTTTGGAAAGTGATTAAAAATATTTTTTGAGTTCTTAAAAAGTACTTAAAAGTTTGAAAAAGTACTTTATTGAAAAATCTGACTACGCTCCCTCATCTGTGGATGAATGAACAAGAAATGCTCCCTCTGTATTAAATTTGCTTGGTTTCAGTAAGCAGGCTTGTTGATGTTCGCAAGTGACATTAGAAACAACAACAACAAATAGTCATTTTGTAATTCTCCTTTGATAGGAAGTGATTTATCATAATATTTTATAAATTTTTAATATTGTGTGTTTCTATGAATATTTATGTATGGCCAAACAGAATATATTTAACAATATAATGAAATTCCAATGTTCTTGTAGACTCAAAATAGAAATTGAAAGAATGGAGCTGCAAAGGAATGAAGCTTTAACAGAGCAGCAAACAAGACATCACGTCGATATAACAAATTTACATGAACAACTCCAAGAAGCAGACATCACTATAGAAGCTATGGAAAGAGAAGTAATAAAACCATTTTATAATATCTCTCTATTTGCATCTAATGTCACTGAAATACCTGATTCAATAAGAGTCACAATATGAAGCTAAAAATGTATTTTAAGGGTGGTCAATGCAGAATACCTTGTATATGTTTTATAAACCGAAAATTTTAATTTTTCTTATTATTTTTCTAGATAATGTCTCTTAAAGAAAAAATAGAGGTTGCCAGATCAGAAAGGTAATGATCTCAAAAATTATGTATACTTTCTTTTCCTTAAATTTTTCTTTTCTTTTTTAATTCTCCTTTCTTTTTTAATTATCTTTACTTTTTTAATCCTCTTTTCTTTTTTGAAAGGTAATAATTTGTGAAATCATGTACTTTATATACTTTTAAAAAAAAAATCTGGTTTAATCATTTTAGCGTTGTTGAAAATAACGAGGTCATGAGTGAGATGAAAAAATTGCATGAAAATGAAAAATGTTTACTCCATGAAGAAAATAATAAACTAAGCCAAGAAATAGATAGGGTAATGAATTTCACTTAACACTTTTTTTTTTTTAACTACATGATTAAAATTTGGTTCTTATTACATGGTTTATGACTAAATATTCTTTTTTTAGTTAGCACAGGTTGTTAGTAGGCAAGAAAACCAAAACAGGAATGAAGATGATGTAAATTATATTAAGGAAAAGTCACTTGCTAAGTGGGAATCACAAGTTACAGAGCTTATCCAATGGTATAGTATATTATGTATATTCTTTGCAATTATCTGCTAATTATAAATTTTTTTTTAACTGTATCATAAGCTGGTAAAAATTTGTCAAAATTGGATTTATTTTCCATTTGGTGAAAAGGGCTTTAATTATCTATTTGGAACATTAATGCAGTTACTTGAATTAAAATGTTTTCTAAAATTTTAAACTGTGATTATAGACTTATACATTTGCAACAAAATGCTGAGACATCTTCTAGCATTTCAGAGCCATAGGGAAAGAGAATGTACGGTTGAATCCCTCATGATAGGTTTATATGTATTTATAAAAATTTACAACACCCAGTGGCTGAGCGATAGTGCTTTGCGTTGTCGTGCCATAGGTCCCTGGTTCGATCCTCGGGCCGAGCAAGGTTGACTCAGCCTTTCATCCCTTCAGTGGGTCTACAAAGTGAGTACCAAGCATGCTTGGGGGCTAAACACTGGGGGTTCTGCTTTGGGCTGACCACCCAACCGGAACATCTGCTCTTGCACCTCAGATCTCAAAGGTCAAGAAAACTGAGATTGTCACAGTAGGCCTTTGCCCTCTATGGGCTGTCACGCCACTGAGTTTAGTTTATAAAAATTTATATTATTTACTTTTTGTGAAAAAAATTTGACCATAAGAAAAAAATATTATTCCAAAACTCAAGTTTCTTTTTTATAATCAATTTATTATAAATATGTTTAAAACTGTCGATTTTGATTTCTTAAAACATTTATTTATTGCAAATGCCCAGAAGATTGGCTATGACGGCATTAGATCTCTGGCCTTCCAATATCTCTGAACATTACAATTTAAAAACACCAATGCAGAACAGGAGTCAAGAGGAGTAGCATCAAAAATTTGATGTTGTCCACACAAAGGACAAAAAAGAGAATGTAAAGGCCAAACCGAAACAAATACACGGACAAACAGTCATGGCCTGTAGTAAGGCAGAAAAGTGCCACAGCTGCTCGTCTAGGAAAATCTGGAATCAACCGTTAGTCATCAAGCAGTGGGGCCCATGACTTACTGGCAGAGTCACATAATGCTTTCTGCCTTATCCTAGTGTTGTATATTTTTTTTTATGAGGAGTATGACAGAATGAAACGAGAGGCTTTTCAAAGGTCTCTGGAGGATTGCTTAAAATATATTTTTAATTAAGCAGAAAGAGGAACTACCAATACGTTTTGATATAATATGCATGAAATATGCAATGGAATACATAAAAATACTTCTATTTTTATTTTTAAATAAGAATATTTTTTTCTCAAAAGGAATTATTAAAATATGTAAGATCAAATACTTATTTTATTGATTTTTTTTGTACAACTTGTGTTACTTTATTGCTATTGTTCATTATTAATACTTTTAAGTAATTAAGATTGATTTTCAATAATTTTCTACCACAACACAAAAAACTTAGTAAAAATTCTTTTTCTTTGAAATTTTTTTCTACCACCATTTTATTTTGTTCAAATAAATCAGTGCAACTAAATACATCAATCTATCTTAACCACACTCTTTTTATTTTCGCTATATTTTTTTTTAGTTTTACCCAAAATAATTATTATTTTAATATTTAAAACTTCAAGACTTTACCCATTCTAAGAACAATATCTATCTAACGTTCTGCGATTTCCCCTAATGCAACAAAGATGAATTTTTTTGCAGCAATGAAATTTTTTTCTTCAATTTTAAGAAGCATTTGTTACAAATATTATAACTATTATGATCCCAATCTTGGCATGGACATTGTGTTTGATGTAGGAAAAAAATACAAAATCTGGCTGAATTCCAAATATGATATTTAGAACTCTGGGACTTGTGACAGAATTTGATTCTTATCATTTATGTTTTGGACACTGTTGAAGAAATATGTGATTTAGTCCTGTATTTAATGTTCATATTTTGCATTATGGTTTGCTTGATAAAGGTAAGAGTCATAATTTAATATTTAAGTAGTTTTCTTATAAAATCCTTTTCCTTCAGTTTTCATTATATTTCCATTAAGATTGTATGTCTCAACATCAAAATGCTGATTCTTTATCATTTCAGTCATACAATCAATTTATTTATATTATTTAACAGTCATATGGTTTCTATTTTTATAGAATTTCATGATGATTCATCAAATTATGATTGTCTTTTATTTTTTTCATTTAATATTGGAGCCATTAATGTACACAGTCTAATAGTTCCACTTAAATCAAAGATTCTATGAATGGAAATTAAGGATGATGACTGTAAAAAAAAACTACATAGATTAGCTATTTCTTGAGCTAGTAAGTCGTGAAGATAACTTTCCAATGGGGCAATTCTAGTTAAAATCCCAGCCTCAAATACTGGTCCCAGTTCGTTCTAACCATCTTGCCATCTTATTAGGGGAAATTTTCTTCTCCTTGTTAAACAAATGCAGGTTAGTTTCAGTAAAACGTCCTTAAAAAGTGAGTCTATTTCAGAAGTTTTCCTGTCTTCTGGGCTGGGTTCAAAGTTACAAGTTTACTGAAAGGAAAATTGTTGCATAGTTGCAAACTTGATTTGGTTTAGCTATTTGACGTAGATAGAATGTATTAAACTAATTTAAAAAATCAGCTTTTAAATTTTTCTGTTTTTGTTTATTATATAAAGATATGCATCATTAAATCAATAATTTAGGTTGTCTATTTTCCTAATTATTTGTCAAAGGGTTGTAACATTTAAAATCTGCATTTATGAAGCTTGTAAAAAAATATAAATTAATCAAAATTGCACTGAAATTTTTCTGCTGTACAAAGTAAAAACTATTTTTTTTTTGATGAAGAAAAGCCAACATACATTATAATTTTATGTGATAATAAAATGTATATATTTATTTGTAAATAGGTAAATTAAAGTGGTTTTTGTGATGTGATTTTAGGGTAAGTGATGAAAAAGATGCCAGAAGTTATCTTCAAGCTCTTGCTACAAAAATGACCGAAGAGTTAGAAAATATGAAATCTAGTGGTGTTACTCCAGCAACAGCTGTAAGTATTAATAAGATTATTAATATATATTATTTTTAATGAATTGAAATTTATTTTTAATATTGTACAACATATTTTGCGAAAATAATAAAAATTGGTTCAGTCTCATGGAAATTTTCTTACATACATAAACATCAATAAAATATTATTTGTAATTAAGAAATAATATTTTGGGTGATTGGGTAGCAACAATATTTTCTGTTGTAGCAAATTTATAATTATAAGCAACTGAGATCAATTTCTGTAACAAAACAGTTTCAGCCAAATGAAGCAAAATCTGCAATTTATTTTATTTTCCAAACTATATTTATCAGCTACAATAATTATATAAAGATTAACAATCAGACTTTATAAAGGTATTGGAATGTCATTTTTTTTAAAAAAATTCTTACTTTTATTACAGACAAAGAAATAAGTTTGCCTTTACACAAAAATAAGACATTGTCACCGAATTTCAAAAAATCCTGTTAATAAGAGGTTGTTTACAATATGAAAAAATTGTGCAAACAATTGTGCAATATCGCAAATTTATACTTCTCTGTACTTTTCTAAAACTTCCATTGTTCTCAGTCAGTAATCCCAGAAAATTTGTTGCCACTCCTGAAATATTGGAAAACTCATTTTAAATTCATTATGATATAATTATTATTTATTATAATTAAAATATGAAAATATATATTTATACATATATTTACAAATAAATGCTCAAAACCTATCTCATACATTTCTACTAAAGTACATTCTCTTATGTAATTTTTAAATATGCTTTATAATCAACAATCCCTGTTTTTGAAGCACACCCAGCTTCAGGTTGATGGATACCAGCTTCTCTGGGAAGTAAAGGCAGTCTATGCGCAATGCTGACCACATTGCCACTATTCATGCTGTTGGTCACAAAAGTTTGGAGGTTTAACCTCCATGACATTCTTGGCTCACAACGGGCTGTTACAGAAATGCTTCATAATCAGCTGTATTTTTATTTGTTAAAACCAAGGTGTTAAAAATTGTTCTTTTTATCATTAAGCATGACATTTAGCTTATGATTAAGTTTATAGCTCAAAATGCATTAATTATTTAACTAAGAATACTTAGTTTTATAATTATTGAACAGTTTTTAAAATATTTATATTTACTTGTTATTGATTTTTCTTCATGTTTCAGCAAAATTTTAATAATTTAAATATGAAAAGGTACAGCATAGGATGCCATTTAGAAAGGGTAATTACTGGCTTTTTTCAAAAAATAATCCATTGTTTTAACCATTTAACCTGTGTTGAAAAGAATGCGATTTTAATGCTGTTAATTACTAACATTTATTGTTGTAGCATGAACTGTAATCGACGAATGTTGTTTATTTGAATTTGTTTAACACTTACAGAGTATTCCGTTCTTATTTTCTGAAACTCTGTAAAAAATAAAGTGAAAAAAAACTTTAAGGACACAAATCAATGTTTAACTGAACAATATACTTAACGGAAATGTTATTGAAATCAGATTAAAAAAAACGCTATACAACATTTTTATTGTTGGATGAAACTTGAGAGAGATTGAGAACATAATTAGAACACCTTTCTGTTTAATCCAACAATGAAATTAGTTTTGATGGTTTTAATCTCTCTTATATGTGATTGATTTTTAGAATTTCCCTAATTTTGAAGTTTTACAAATTTTCCTCACTTTAATATTTATTAATTTGAATGTACATTTTTACTAACTCTTAAATTTTAAAACTTGTAATGTGTGTATTTTTCAAATCATTTTGAAAAGGATTCTAAAAATACTTCTTAAAAGCCGAAATTACGGAATATTCTTCATAACCCAAATTATAATGGCTATGTATAGCAATTGACGTTATGTAAATTCAGAAAGCAAAAAGTATGCCCTAAAAATTGAATATGAAGTTATGAAAGTTTATTCATTTATAAGAAAAATAAAGCTAATAATATGTAATAAAAATATGCTTCCATAAAGGAAAAAAATAGCTTGTAAAATGGAGTTTTCATTGTACTTGTCTTTTTACATATAAAATTCAAGTTACCTTTTAAAAATTAAAAAATATCTTAATTTGCATGATTATGAAGAATTGTGATATATACAATGGTCACATTTCGAGAATACACTTAATTAGTTTTTTTTTAAATGGAACTAGTTAATTAACTAGTTAGATTAACAGAACTAGTTAATTGGCTGTGTTTTTTAAAACATTAATGTAATAAAAATGCAATTGGTTAATGATATTGTTTTAACTCATTGCACTATAAGTTATTCTAGTAATTTATGATTAGTTTTTATATTTTATTAAACTTTGAAGGTCATAAATAAGAGATATGCACAATACACTAAATGTATTGTTCATTACATTAGCAACTAACATTAGGATGACAGTTAAAGATAAAGTTATTAATCATTTAAGAAATTCTGTTTACAATGTAAGTTAAGGTAGCATGGATTATTTTTATTGGTGAAATGGGGCATTAACTTTTTCTTTTTTTGAAAGCCACAAAAGTAATTGTTCCTTTTCTCACATAGATTTGAACTATCATGTCTAAATTAGTAATTATTTATAATTTAATTTTAAAGGAAAAGAACTGGAGAAATAGACGCTCTCAGAAACTGGAGAAAATGGAACTGCTCAATCTTCAGTCTAGTCTAAATAGTGAAATTCAAGCTAAACAGTCAATAGCTGATGAATTAAGTAAAGTACGAGCAGAACTAGTCTCTGTACAAAAGTAAGTACAAAATACTTTTTTTTTCTATCTTTAACTTAATATTGCAAAATTCTTCGATTTATGCAGTTTCATTATATTAAAAAATTTTTAAAAAAATAAAACTACATTTTTATATTTATTAAAAAAATTAAATTTTAAAGTTACAAATAATAATTTTCTGTCAGTTCTTTTATGTGGTTTTTAATTTAAAAAAATGAATGTGTAATATAAATTTTAAAAAAATAAAGAAAATACTTGTAACTTTTAAGAATATTTTATTATGATTATAAATATGTAGTTTAAGTTATTTTCTTTAAAATTAAATATGTTGCTTATTAAAATTGAATACTTAATTTCACTTTTAAAAAAATAATTTTCAATCAGAACTTTTAAGAGGTTTTTATAGTTTAACAGCTGATATAAAGTTTTTTGATAAATTTTTATGAGTAAACTATGCTGTTTATAAGAAAATATTTTCGTTTGATGTTGATCAATGAAGATTATTTGGACATTTCGAACAAAAAATAAGAAAAAAGTATGGTATTTTCATGTCAAATCGCCAACAAAACATTTCTTTCTAAAACTTTCACATAGTTCTGCTGTAGGAAGACCTCCTAAGCCTTGATTTTTTACGCCATTATAACCATGGATGTTTCAAGTATTCAATTTTTGAGAAGAACGAAACTAAAATTCACAGTAACATTAGTTCTCACAATTTTACATATGAAAAAATGTTGTTTCATTTTCATTTGAGAAGTGTCTGTAAAATGATTAATTTTTAAAGTTTCTCAATTTTTTTAAAAAAAAATTAAGCTTATTTTATATTAATGATAACTATATTTTTTTTTATTTGCTGAAATATTAGAGGCGACTTTCTAAACTTTCTAGTTATTGAGAAGGACACACATATATATCCACAGTTCTTCATGCCTTTATGCTCATTTCGTACCTTTATTTCTTCATGCTCATTTCAACTACATAATAATTCTTTATTTTCAGAGAATTGAAAGAAACAAAGCAAAGAGTAGAAAATTTAAAGAACGAAGCCTCCAAGAAAGACCATCTCATACAGGATTTGCAGCAAAAGCTCGATTCCTCTGGAGATAATTGTATGCCCATCATGTTCTATTTGATTATGATTCTGTATGATTATAAATGTTTTTTTTATTCCAAATCTCTATGATTATAAATGTTCTCTTTATGATTCTCTATAATTATAAATGTTCTCTTTATGTTCTTCTTTATGTCTTCTAAATGTTCTCTATGATTATGATTTTCTCCTTGGTTATGATTATTTATGATTTTAATTCGATATTATTGTAAATGTTATCTTTGATTATTGTCATTATTATTACAAATATATTTTCGTTGTTATGATTCACAATAGTTATAAATATCGTGTTCTCTTTAATTATGATTCTTTATGATTATACACAAATAATTAAATATAGAAAAGTCATAGGTATCATTAACTTAGTATTTTTAAGTCTTTTCTATCTCAAGCAACTCAATCAATTAAGATTCACTATGGATGATTGCAATTCTATTTAAAATTAACCTGATTAATTCACCTCTTTGTGTGCTCTGTAACATTTCGTCTATGACTGGGGAGCATCTATTTGATTGTCCCTCTCTTCTTGACATTCGTTCCTGTGACGACTTACACGCCCTCTCACCTTCTGGAGCTACTTCACTGTTGTATTGAACGGCAAGACGCCTTATGTCTGAGAAGACGATGGCGGGCGTAACTGAAAAGAAAAAAAAACAATGATAATGACTTATTTATTAATTATTTTTATTAAAAATTGTTCAAATTCTCCAAATTAAAATATATAGCAGTCTTAATCAGTATAATAAATTTCTTATTTAAATATTTTTATGGAATATTTATTGCCAAAAGGACATTGAATTTCAAATCCTCTTACAGATCAATTCTTGAAAAATACACCTCGTCACCTTGTCAGAAGTGAAAGCGGTGACTCAGCTGGAGCTGGTGATGAAGCCGATGTGGAAGATAATCAACCTCCATCTGTAACTAGTAGTAAATCAAATGCTTCAGATAATAGTGGAGTAAGCATTTTATTTCATTATCTTTGAGAATATGTTTTGTGCTAGATAATTTATTTGTAACTTGAGTCAAATCAAATGTGTAAGTGTAAGCAAACATGTATATATTAACTAAAATCAATAGTGCTAATTGTTTTATAGCTTTAATTTCAAATATTATTTTGCCTATGTTATACTCAACAATGTATAAATTTACAGGAAATGGTTTCTGCACCTGTGTCTCCCATAATTGATACTAGGCCGGCTCATTTACCTCCTAAGGTTAATATAGAATATTTCTTCAAAATTATAAATTATTTTTTAAAAAATAATTTTTTTTTATCATTATTTAATGATAGTATGCGAACTAAAAAAAGTAATTTATTTACAGCCAAATAAAGCACATCAATTTTTAGTGAGAACATTTGTTGCCCCTCTGAAGTGTAACCACTGCACATCTCTAATGGTTGGTCTTATAAGACAAGGTGCTGTTTGTGAGGGTAAGTCTTAATTTTAAAATTTTTAATTAGTAACTTTTGATCTGATGATTGGATTTTCATGAGCGAGGGACTTAAACTTTGGATATGATTCTTAATTAGTAGCATAAATTAAAAACATTTTTATTAGTAACTTTTGATCTGATAATTGGATTTTTAAGTTAGAGGACTCACTTTAGATATGATATTTAATGAGTAGCATAATTTAAGGCCTTTTTTATCAGCAACTTTTAATCTAATGATTGGATTTTTAGGTCTTAAATTTTTTTCCATTGTAGTTTTTCATTTATGGATGATAATTTTTCAATCATTTGATCTAATAATTGGATATTCAAGTTAGAGCAACTGGCTTTGGATATGATAGTTAATTACCGTTTTAATTAAAAAAATTTTTGATCTCATGATTGAACTTTCAAGCACCAATTTAAAAACTTCACTGTGTGAAGGACTAGCTCGATATAATATTTTATCGTCCACAAATTCAGAAACACAAATTTTACTTTTTTAAAATATTTTATAATTTTTTTTATTGCTTCAGATTTAGAAACCTCAAAAATACATGAAGTAGTCATAATCAGAAAAATGTGCCTTTAGTACTTCGTTAGAACTTTTCATGTTGCATTAATTTTTTATGCCATTCCCTAAATCTATGGAACCAATTGCAAGAAATTGTAAGTTTTCATAGAGATTTATGAAATTGTGTACCAGAATGTAGTTTCTTATAATAAAATTATTTTTAATAATTATTAATAATGAGAAAATTTTATATAGTGATAAATTATATAATTTATATGCCTTTACTTTAAAACCCTTTTAACAAAACAATGATAAGAAGCCAACTGAAAAATCACCTTGTATCAAAATTTTAATTTAAATATTTTTTTCTTGTGTTTTCAAGTTATTTAAATTGTATTGTATTTTATTACCTAGTGTGTGGGTTTGCATGTCATGTAGTATGTCAAGAAAAAGTACCTTTGATGTGTCCTGTTCCTCCTGACCAAAGTAAGTTTATGACACAGTTTTTTCAATATTTTTGATCCCTTCTCTTTTTCTACAATGTGTCACTCTTCATCCTCTCCTCCCCCTTGTCACATGTCACACTATATTATGTATCGTATATCCAGGCATATAAGTCTACTTTTCAAACCCCCAAAATTTTCTAAAAATCAGGGGGTCGACTTATACACTGGTAGTAAAGTTGTAGGACATTTGTTGATTGGGAAATATGGACACATTATAAGCATTCGAGAAAGACACGGTTAACTTTGTATCCATTTATCCCTTTCAAAAACTATTTTTTAAATGTTAAATACAATTTATTTTGCATTTTCTTCTTGTCATATTTTCTTTACATATAAAGGTGTTTTTTTAAAAGTGATACTTAAAATTACATTCAGAAAAAAAAATTAGCTACATTCATTTATTCAAAAGTATTTCAATTGCAACACAATGATAACTTTTAAAACATACCATAAAGCTACAAGTTTAAACATACCAAAACATCATCCGTGTTGGATTTAGTAACGTTAGCAGATTTCATTCTGTCATACAGATCTTAGTGTGCAATGGATTCTACTTCATCCTCATCTGCTGAGTTCTACAAATTGTCTTCCCCATCCAAAGAATTCGAAATTCCATACTTTTTAAAAAAGAATATTACTAGAAATTTGCTATCTCATATTCAAAAATAAGGGCTTGACTTATGCAACGGGATATACATTAAATGGAGTATATAATATAAACATATACTAGCACCATATTAGTAAGCACCACATTACAAATCATACTTCAAATTTAATTTTTAAACATTATGTGTTTTAAGAACATCTGTGAGCATATCAGTAATAATAATTACTGTATGTAGTTTTAACAATAATGATTATTATATATAGTTATAACATTAATAACGTTGCTTAATAAGATCATTTGAGAGAAATTGCTTAATAAGATCATTTTATAAGAAATAATATTAAAGTTTAAGACAAAAATCATAATTAATATACTATCAGAATAAAATATTTAAATAAAAGAGCAATCTGAAAACAGTAATATTTTGGAATTTTAATACATTTTGCTTTAGATCTTATCTTTATTTTATGAACACAGAACACTCCTCTAAGCATAAAATGTAGCATCATTTGTGGATGGCCCATTTGTCTAATATATGACTATATTTGTCTATTTTTCTATATATCTGCCCATTTGTCTGTATTTATGACCTTCTAATTTTAAAATCTAAATCTAAACTTGTGTATTATTTTCCAGCAAAGAGACCAGTTGGCATTGATCCCACTCGTGGAATAGGTACAGCATATGAAGGATATGTGAAGGTATAGTTTTCCTTTAATGTATGCTTTATGGTAAGATTTTCAGAGTGTTCTGTAATTCCCAACTTCAATATATATATATTTTAGAATCCTTGTCAAAAATGAAGTCAGAAAAGTATGTATAAAATGGATCGCCAATTAGTATTTGAGGGAAGGCAAAATAATAAAATTTTTTCAAAATCTAATACAGTAAAATGCTGATTATCTGAATGCCAAACTGTCCAATTATCGGAATTGGTCAAGGACCATGTTTTTTTCCCACCATTTCCAATATAAATAAATAAGTTTTTTTTTTTAATGAAAATACTTTTTAATATTTTCAGAACATAAAAGGATTAAGTCATATATAATTATAATAAGATAATTTTCATAAAAGGATTAAAATAATGGCTTCTTTTGTTCCTTGTGACCTTGAAAAGAATTTCACGTTCATTTTCGAATTTCAGTGTGAATAGCAACTAACAATTAGTTTCTAGTAAGGGAACAGATTTATTTATTTATTTTTTAAAAAAAAAAAAAGAAATAGAAAGAGGAGGTTAAACATGTTGTGAAAATCCTCCTGTCTGTTTTGAAACACATTTTGTTAGTTTATTTTGTAAAAAATAAAATGTTAAAAAGTTGCATATTTTTAACATACATTTTTAGTATACAATAGTAGACACAAAATGAAAAGAAAAATATCTAAATAGCATTCTCATAGCTGTTTTTGAGAAAGTTGTCTAGTTATCTGTTTTTTTCCTTCGTAATCTGGATTGCCTATGGTCCTGATTAGTCCAGATGATTGGTGCGCTATTTTACCATCGCAGTTGATGAAAGTGGGTTTGACCAGTTTGATTGCTAGATGAAACTTAAAGGTGTTCCTAATGATTGGCTTTCTCTGTTACCAAATAGGTTTAGATTGTTTTAATCACGCTTTTCTCAGTAGTGATAAATCAGATTACGATAACTCTAGGACCTTTCCATGGTCAAATGTTATTTCAATTTTTAAATATACATACTTTTTTCATTTTAGACAATGATTCAAAAAACATAAAATGGAGAATGGTGATAACAGAACATCTTGTATATTTGAGTATAAAACAAAAATTATCTACACTTATTCTTAAATATTAATTAAACAAAGATATTGTTCAATAATGATTGAGATATACATAATTTAAGAGCTTAGCGAACTTATCTTATGGAATTACAGCAACATAAAGATAGATACATAGATAATATACAGTGCATTAGATGCAACAATCAATAATGAGGCAGAGCACATTAAATTAAAACTATGTTAATTAGAAAAATGCTGACAGACTTGAAATTCAGTAACTGGTGTGGCAAAAAAATAATATTTACATACTTTTCTCATGCTAATATTTGTCATGCAAGGTATAATACAAGAATTGTAACTGAGCTGTTGACAGTCCATTCTTTCTGTTTCTAAGAGAGACATTTGACGGAGAGAACATTTACAAAGGGCTGCTCTTTGTCAATATCTTAGAACTAGAATTAATAACCAGCAGTATTAGAAGTGCAGAAACATTAACAAAATTTATAAAGACATTCACATAAAGTATGCAGGTAAACTTTCATGCTATGTCACACATCACCCAACCTAGCCCCATTTTTTAGGGCTCTATCTTTTAACAGCCACATAATTTTGATCTTGGTCAGATGAGATGTTCAGCACCTGAGCTGGTACCCTTCTCTCCAAACTTCTAGACCACAACCAGCAGAAGGACTTTCAGCCATGACGGATTTAGTGTGCAGTTACACACCAGTTATTTAGTCAGCTGCTAGGATCAAACTCGCAACCCCCGGCTCTCCACCATTGGGGTGTTAAAGCTAAACCACATACGGCCAAAGCAATAAGTCAGACAGAAATTCAAAAGATAATCCTGAACCACCCACAATACAGTCCAGATCTGTTTCCCTGTAACTTCAACCATCTTTCGTGAGCTCAAAAAAGCATTGTAAGGACAATGGTTTTAAATCGACAGTAAAGTCAACTACTCTATACAGCAGCTAATTGATTTGATAATTCTTGTCAGAATGGGACAAGGATTATACGTAATAAGTGGTGTCAGAAGAAATTATCCATTTCATGTAAAAAAGGTTACAGTGCTTATATCATTACTGTTAAATATGAAGTGTTAACGGAATTTTTTCTGTGGCAGGTGCACAAAATTTTAGATTTACCTACATTATTTATGCTAATATATTATAAAACGTTTTAACTAATCTTATAGGTGCCCAAACCAGGTGGTGTGAAGAAGGGATGGATGAGGCAGTTTGTTGTTGTCTGTGATTTTAAACTTTTCCTTTACGATTTAGCCCAGGACAAAAGTGCCCAGCCATATGTGTGTGTCTCTCAAGTCTTAGATATGAGGTAGATAATTCTTTATTTTTTTTATAGATATTATTCAAACTATTCATAATTTTTATATTAAATTATATATATATATATATATTAAGTGTTTTTATATAAATTTAATTAAACTGCTGTAGTAATAGTGCTTTTTTAGTATAGTTGTAAGTGCTCTGAGAGAGCACTGAAAAGTAACTGACTGTGAAATTTATGGATTGTAATTTTTAAAGAACCTGTGCGCATGTACTAATTATCACAACCGTCACTAGACTTAGAGAGATATCTTCAATGCTCTATATCTTCTTCCATATTATTTCGAAATGTATATCATTCTTTTTTTAAAATAAACGACTTTAAGCATTTTTAATTTTATTTCTTTGAATGTGTTATCCTTTTATTTTTATGTACCTACTACACTAGTAGCCCTTAGAAGTGATGTATCTAAAGATATTTAAATAAGTCTTTTTTTCCCTAATACTATAATTTTGATTTATAAAAAGTTTTTCACACAGAGCCCTTAGATATGTAGAGACTATAGTTTCTTTTTTACTTCATTACTATGATAAAATAAAAAACAAGGTTTATAAGTATAAATACTTTAAATAGTTCTTTGAGAAATTATTTATTGTTTTACAAATTAGATATCCATGCAACTCCTATCTAGGCAAACTCCTCACTTACGATGGCTTTGTAATTATATGTACCTATATTTGGAAATTACAAAAAATCTGTATTTTATTTATCTTTATTTTCCCTTGCGTATACTACTATACATAGTAGATTGTAAACAATCTTTATAACGTTTGAAAAAAATGATCCTGACTAAAATATCTGAACTTCATTTTAGATTAAAATTTTTAGGCATTTAAGTATCTATGCATTTCATACAATGTGTTTGAATTATATCTTGATAAACATGTATTAAGATTACATCATAATAATTTTACCTATAAATGAGTCATATTTTTGAAAATAAAATATCTTGTAAAATTTTGTGGTGAAAAAGATTAAAAAAAATAGTAGCATGTCCTATCACTAAAAAAGGGAGATTACATAAAATTACTACAAATACTAAAATATTCAAGATTTTTTTTATTTTAGAGAGTTTATTTAATGAATCGATAGGTTCATATTTAACCTTTTACTTAAATGCAAATATTCATATAGATTAAACACCTACATATCCTTAATATAAATTATTGTCCTGCATACTTTTAATTTTGAAATAAATATTTTATTTTTTAGAGATGAGGATTTTTCGGTTAATTCAGTATTAGAGTCAGATGTCATTCATGCCAACAGGAAGGATATACCTTGTATATTTAGGGTAAATATCATATTTGTATTTATTTTTAAAAAAGGTGAATCGTACTTTTCTTTGGTTAAGAGCATTGTTTCTGATTATTTAAGTTGCAGGCAAACAGTGGATAGAGATCTACTGATAAATTAGGAAACCAAAAAATTTATTCTATGTCTACTAAGTTTGTCGACAGATGGCGCAACTGACCGAAAAACTGTAAAACAATGTTTTCTGCTGCATGTCAGATGATATGAACTGGAATATTTACATGGGCTTCTGTTAATTTTGTCTGCTAACTGCAAGTGACAGTCATTTTGAAAACATGGATTTATAATTTCTTCCAATTTGCAGTGCCATTGGATGATTCTTGTCAAGAACAAATTACCTAAATTTCTAAGCAGAATATTTCCATGTTTCTCAAACCTTTTGATATGGCAATAAGCAGGCTAAATTTTGTTATTTTTGTCTATTTGTTTTACTTTATTTTATAACTGTTGAACATACAACCCAATTCTGAGTTTACAACTATCAATGTTCAACTCTGCATCATTTTTGAAACTAACACAGAAATATAATTGATAAATTGATATTGGCATATTATAATAATCATGACATTAATCGACATTATTTGTTTCATGCCCTTTTTAAAAATGTCTATGAAAGGTAGTCAATAGGGAACACCCTGTATATTTTCCTAATTTCTGTATATAAAATAAATTCGTGTTTCAACATTTTAGATTACAACTTCAATGATGGATCCTCCGGGCATGAAGAATCAAACTCTAATGCTAGTCGATCGAGAAAGTGAAAAAAACAAATGGGTAGATGCACTTACTGAGCTTCATCGTATTCTTCGTAGAAACAAATTGCCATCTCGAACTGTAAGTACAGACTGTAGTTTCATTATAAAACATTTTACATTTTCACTGAATCGACAATTTTTTTAAAAATAATTACCTATCGTTTTGATATGAAAGGTGAGTGATTTATTTATAATTTCAGGTATTTCAAGCCAAAGAAATTTTAGATAATACTATTTCAGTTGTAAAAAATGCCTTATCTGCTGCCATAATTGGTAAGGAACTACTTCTTAAAATTTTCTGAATTAATTTTATCCAATTCATAAAATGTCATATCTACTACTAATTATTATTATGAAGAATAAATTGTCTTATTATAAAGGATGTGACTTCAAACAATATATTTAAAATATACATCATATACCAAGCTCAATACATATTTTTAGACATCGTGTTAAAAAATAAATATATATATTTCTACAGTGCCTAAAAAAAAACATTTGATCTAATGATCGGATTTTCATATACTAGGACTCAATCTTAATGGTTCAAAGGGGTGGACCACAAATAAGTTGAGTAATTAGTCTAGACAATATTTTAAATTATGAAATGAGGCACAAAAATGTACTTTCTTTAGATAAACATGCCTTCCCCCCCCCCCGGCGGATTCGGATTTCTGACTCTTAAAATAATGAAGGTGGCCGCACGCTGGGAAATATGGTCCCAATAGATTGGTCAGGAGAGTGATCCAAAGTTTGGACTCCTTAATGTTAATTTTTCGTTTTGCATATTTCCCCATATCTCCAGATTTCTTTAAGGGAATTGAAAAATTTTTGAAGACAATTATAAAATTAATTTATTTGAAGGCAATTCTACTCAAAAAATATTTTTTTATAATTATGCATTATTTTTTACTATTTTATTTCATAATGGTAAAAAGAAATTTGAATTGTAAGGTATACAAATTTCTACTTAATTTATAAAAGAATGTAATTTTACCTGGCAATAAACAAAACTTGAATCAAACCAACCGAATAGTTTTGGGAAATTGAATTTTAAATATACTACTTCTTTAACTAGTATATTTTTTGTGTTCTGTGTACATTAGTGCTTACAAATTAATATTTCATTAATTGAATAAATAAATAGAGTTTTCGAAATCAGAAAAAAAAATTTTTTTGAGGTCAATCACAGTAACCAAGGTAATAAAAACTATTAGATTGCCATATGAATCCAAATTGCATTTCTAGTCACCATTTTTACCACTTTTTAAACAGAATTTACAGTTGCATATGTGAAAGGTAATGTATCTCAATACTTTGAGGTATCACCATAAACATGATAGGTGTATATTTATGGCTTTTAACCCCCCCCCCCTAAATTATTCTATTCTATTATAAAATGATTAGCATTGTGTAAAGCATATTTCGGAGTCTTTAACGTTTCTCTACTTTACAGTATTTGTGCCTTTTAGAAACTTATTGTTGCTATTAGTACTAAATTGTGTATACGTATTTCATAAAATTTTTTATTGAATATTTCTATTTAAATCTATTATTAGATCGTGAGAGAATAGTATTAGGAACAGAAGAGGGTCTTTATTGTGTCGATTTAGATCGAGAAGGTATGGTTTTAAGTGTTATAAATCTTAATAATTTTAATTTAGATAAAAATTCAATTCATAATTTTTTTTCCAGAAATTGTAGCTTTTGTTCAGTTTAAAAAATAATTTTTAATATTAACACTTATTAAAACAATATGCTATTTTATTAAAAAAAATATATATTACTATATTAAACTTGTAACTTATATTGCTTTTTGTAAAATTTTATTTATTGTATTAATCATAAACTATGAACACATATGGAAACAAAAAAAAAATCCCAAGTATTTTAATTAATAGTTGTAATCAAATGTTTTTATTATTATACGTAGTTACATAAAATTAGCATTGTACACATTTATTTATGCAAGATTCACTAAATACATTAATTTTTATTGGTTTAGAAATTGCTAGGATAGGAGAAGGAAAAAAGATATCACAAATTGAGTATGTACCTGAGGAACAACTTTTAATTGCTGTATCAGGTAAGTTATCTTTAGTACTGAATATTAAATATATTAGAATAAAAGCAATCCAATTAGACAAAGGAAAAATAATTACACTGTATAACATTTAAGGTCCTTTTAAACAACAAACTTAGAAAATTTCTTTATAATATATTTATATTTATAATATATTTACATTACAAGGATAAGTTTTAAAGATTACGTTTTTCGGATATAAAATAGAAAACTATGTAAAAAGCATATGAAAAATCAAATCTGGTTTCATTACTACATAAAGATATCATCTTATATAGCATCTGATTAGCAAACATAAGGATATCACAAATATCTTGATGTTTGCTAACTTACTGCTCTATTAAATATGGTGCATTGCATTTTTAAAAAGTGCTGCATATTCCTTTTTTGAAGATAAATTTTTTTTCTTCTATACCATGTTGATTTTCACCACAAATTATGCAGAAGTATGCATATTGTTCTATTCAAAAGTTTTTACAATTCATTAAACTACTGTCCATTTCGGCGTACCATCGATCTGTAACGTATGCATAAGCCAATAATTTTAAGTTTGATGAAATATTTGCGAGTTCGCATGTGCATCTACAGAGATGGGTTCCTTGATATTCTAGCACTCTCATATGCAACTCTGCTGCATTTTGCAAGATATTCTCAATTACAAACTTCATTTTCCACCCTCTGAAATGGAACCGAAAAATCTTTCGATTTTTTTATAGTGGCTAGTATAATAAAAAAAAAAGTTCTTTGTCAGGAACTAGTTATTTTATCATGTATAGTCTTTGAAAATTATTTTACATTTTGTTCATTAATGTATATAAGGCTTAAAATTTATTTTTTAGTACTGTAATTTCGCGGAGAAACGCCCCCCCTGGTATACACCCCACGCCCTTAAAAATTGGCCCCCCCAAAAAAAAAATTTCGCCGCACACGCCGCGCCGTACCGGATTATACTATACCAAAGCAGGTATTGACTTAAAACATGTTCTATATACGCATATATATATAACTTAAATAGTTAAATAAGAAACCAATAAAAGGATATTAAATACACAAAAAAAATTAAGCAATCCTACTAAAATGGATTTCAATAACTTTCTAAGTAAATATTAAGCATTTTCTAATTTTAATTTGAAGTAACCATTAAAATATGAATTAAATAATCAATGTAACAATAAGCATTAAAATTTTTAAAAATAAAACGATCTTACTTTTAAATCAGCATTAAACGATAAGTCCAAACAAATTTTGTGCAAAGCAAAACTAAAATTTATTCTTATATCACATGTAATCATGTATCTAGATATCAAATATAATCACATCCAGCAGTTAAAAACCTTCAAAATCTAAGCTCTCAGTATCGGAGCAAAATAAGTTTATAAGTTCAATGTTTATTTCCGGGTCATCCCCGTCACTAGCACTTTCATCACTTTCGGTTTCATTGCCCCTGGATAAAAGTTTGGCTTTCTTGAAACCGTTTATTACGGTTTCTTTTTTCACAGCTTTCCATGCTTGTGACACCCATGCGGCGACCTCATCATAACTTGCCCGCCGCATGTGTCCAGATTTAGTAAAGGAGTGGATGCCGCGCTCCATCCAGTTTTCCCACAGCCGCCTAACTTTTTGTTTAAAAACCCCATTCACAGTGAGGTCCAGAGGTTGCAGCACCTATGTTAGGCCGCTGGGGATAACAGCAAGTTCCCAGGACAATTGTTTCTTGCACATATCTTTGATGGAGTCCATTTTATGGGAGCGCAGCGAGTCGAGGATTAATAATCCGCATGGCTGGAAAAAAGCACCTTTCCTCCTCCAATAAACCAAATCCAGCCACTGTAGCATCATATCCTCGCACATCCACCCCTTTTTGTTGGCTCTAATTATAACATCTTGAGGAAAATTACCTTTCGGTATTGTTTTCCTCTTGAAGATCAGCAACGGGGGAAGCTTCTCCCCCGTTGCGGAACACCCAAGAACACAGGTGAAGGCCATTTTTTCGTGGCCGGTAGTCACTATGGCCACGGACTTGGTTCCCGTTTCTCCGACAGTCCTGTTTGGAGGGCAGTCAAATGAAAGCGGAACCTCATCCATGTTAATCATTTGTCCGTGATTAAGTCCACGTTCCTCCATCTTTTTTGACACAAAAGTTAAAAAGGAAGCCTTTTTTTCAACCCAATCAGTAGTGAATCGTTGCCCTACTGTAGTTTTTTGCCTAACTGACAAGTTCTTCCTCTTCATGAATCGGAAGCACCAATTCGGGCCTCCTTTAAAATCTTGAATTCCCATCTGGGAAGCAATTAATTTTGCTTGCATCCAAATTCGAACAGTAGAGAGGGACAACCCTTTGGCCCTCTGCTCCTTTACCCATGCCGCCAGGTTATCCTCCAGCACTGGCCATCCAACAGTGCCATTGCGCCGAGCACGCTTAGTTTTGGGTAGAGTAGCCAAGACACCCTTTTCAGACTTCCACCTTCGGATGCACCGTTCATCTACATCAAATTCTCGAGCAGCAGCCCGATTTCCAATTTCTTCAGCTCTTTTAATAGCTGAAAGCTTAAATGCAGCCGTATAACTTTTCCTCTTAATGGGAGGCATTTGAAATCTAACTTAAAAACAAGTTATGTTGAAATTTAAATAAAACAAAATAACAAAAAAATTAACGGGACAAAAATATTAACGAAAAAAATATTAACAAAACAAAAATATTAACAAAACAAAAACGCAACAGAAGATCAGAATTGAAGATTAAACGATAAAAAAAATAAGCTAAGGAAGAAGATAATCGAACTCTAAAGGCAGAAATGCGAGCAATGAAAAAAAGTCCAAGAAAAAGCGCTCCCCTCCCAAACATTTAAAACACGTTTCTATACTCCCCTCCCCCTACTTTCTCTTCTCAAATGAGACTTCAGAAAGCAGCTCTTTTTTTTTTAATGACTCCGCCTAGGAGGGTGTAAAATTCGCCCACATTGCTTCTTCCTCTCTTCACTGACCTTGAGTTGAAAGTTAGAAATTCTTCTTGAATTGTAAGAATATTCAAGGCCATCTCAAGCTCATTGGCACCATTCATTCATCAAACATTTATGTGTTTTTAACAAACAGCTGAAAAAAAGGGGAGTGGATAGTTACTGATGAAACCATGACAAGTGGAAGAGACATATTTCCTGGAAAAAAACGGGGAGGGGAGCGTTTGTTTCACAGTGAATGTCATCAATCGCACCACCCTGATTTTCTTTATTCATTCCTTTCTGATTTATGCTTCTCCACTCCACGCCCGTCCCCTGCACTCAATTGCTGTTCTTGAGGCAGAAGGGAAAGAAAAACTTTTGTTCTCTTGTAGATAGCGGTTTCCAGAAAGTGATTCTAAGAAGCATGGGGAGGAGGAAATTCCAGGTGCGTTGACCATTCTTTGGAGTAACATTAAAGATGAAAAAATAAATAAAAAGCATAAGTAACAGGTGGAAAAAATGATGATGAAATTTCCAGTGTGGCTTCTAAAAGGCAAAATTTTCTAAAATAATGCTATGTAAAAAAAAAAATTAATGCTATATAGGCCCCCCCGTTAGATACGCCTTTTTATTAAATTTGCAAGTTTTAAATCAGTAACGCCGCGGCCTGTCTCCGCGAAATTACGGTATTTATTTTGAAAAAGAAATGAAAAGGTGCTTATTTTTTGTTGAAAGATTTGGCTACGCACCCTGTTTAATCAAAAACGAGTTTCACAGAGCTTTTTAAATGGTCTTAAATAGTTATTAAACTGGTTCAAAATGTTAGGTAAGCATAGACAAAATTTAGTTAGGGTTGTAAGTAGTATTTTGATAACTATTTTAAATCACATCTTTATTGTGTTATAAATGAGTGCTTAATCCCATCTCTATTGAAGCATGTTCCTATAAATCTTAAGTCAACAATAATTGTAAAAGAAATTAGATTCTATGCTAAATTGCCACAATGTATACTTAAAGAACAGTTTTGAATTTGATGATTAATATAATTGTTTACTTGTGAAAATAAAATATTAATAAATTTAGGTAAGCAAAGACATATACGGCTGATACCTGTTGGTGCTTTGGATGGCCACGATGTAGACTGGATAAAAGTAGTAGATACCAAGGGTTGCCTTACTTTCGATACTGCCTGTAACTCTCAGGGGTCTTCTTCCAACTATGTTTTTTGTATTGCTCTAAAGAGACAGGTAACATTTCAGTTTTTTCAGATTATTTATATCTTTTCTACTAGTATTCAAGTTACATAGTCACTGTTTCTTATATTGATTAAATTTTTTTTCATTAAAAACTGAATTTTACTACATTAAAAATTTTACATAGAATTTAGTTAAAAAATGTGTAAAAGTATCATTTTAAAAGCACTAAAATTTGTGAATTTTAACATGTTATGACACTTATAATCATACAATGCAATTTTAGGCAGAAAATTCTTTAAATAATTTAGTTTTAATAGAAAAATATATTTTACGAGCAGCTTCCTAATATTCCAATACATTTTTAAACTTATTTTCACAAATTCACCAGTAAATAACTTAACTTGTTCATCAAATAGAATTATCTTACTTTATGATTTTGATTGCCTGCATAAATGTGACATGAATTGCTTGTTTATTTTTCTTTTTAGGTAGTACTGTATAATATTAACCGAACAAAAACTCGCCACCAAAGACGCCGTGAAATTTGTTTGCCAACTTCTGCTCAGTGCCTCAATGTGATGGGGGATAGGTTGTGTGTTGGATTTCCCTCAGCATTCTACATTTATTCTCTTTGGGAAGAAACACCTCCATTCTGTAAGTAGAATTAGTTAATTACTTCTTAAAATCATTACAGTGGAACCACTGCAATCTGACAAGGGATATGCTAAAAAAAAATCACAATTTTTGAATAATTGTTAGGACATTTTTAAGTCATTTTTTAAGATGTATAAACATGAAACTCTACATGAAACTACTCAAATTATTTAAAGACTATAATAAAGTTTTTTTACCCATTGGCAAAATGGGTCTTGGTTCGAATTTCATGGCATCCTCACTTTTTAACTACAATAATCAAGAGTAATAGTAAACAGCCTGCATGCGTTGCTATAGCGACCGCTGCTGTTTGATAATTTTTTTAGAATTCTTTTTTTTAGTTTTAATTTTGTTATGCATTAAGTTAGTGAGTTTATTTTTGAGATATGGGACCAAAGAGATCCCATAAATACTTCTTGAGTTGTGAATAAAAGAGAATTTCATAATTTGAACGATGTTTTTGTTTTTATTGTTTTAATTCAGAATCAGAAATTCTAACCTACAGTTCAAACTGGATCATTTTCAATACTAATTCAGGTGAATATCATGAAAAAAGAGGGTCCAAACTGATTGACACGGTCCCAAAAGTTAGAGTTGAAGCAAGAAAAAGAAACGATGCCAATTCTTAAACTTACGGAGCTAAAAAAGCCAAAGAACCGAGGCGGGAATACTTTGAGCATTACACACAAACGGAATAACTGAAGCCTGTCCCTCACAAAAGTACCAAAGTGGTTGAGAGAATTGAATCTTAACCAAGAGCGAATGATGACTCTCCGAACCGCAGCTTACATTCTCCTTTGATGCTTCATTCTTTTTTGATGCAGCTTACAATCTCCATCAAAGACCATTGTACCAATCTAAAAATGTTAATACTGGTCTCGATTGGCTGTTCAATGTCTATTCAGTCTTCAAAAGAATTTACACAGAATGTGTCTGAGCTGCATTTAAATATGTCTGCTAAATTGTGTACCAAGCAGTTCAGGATTAACAGTTATAGATATCCAACATGAAAACACTATAAAGTTTTCTTTCCAAAAAAAATTAGACAACCATTTTGCCGATGGGTAACCTGTGATCGCTTATTTTTTCATGTGTTCCAAGCTTTGGAATTATCATCACAACAGTGATTGGATTGAATTGAATGCAGGGTTTAATAACACAAGATCCTAAAAAAAAAAAAAAAAACATCAATCTGTTATCATCATCAGTAATAATAATGAATGTGTGTTGGGTAGCTAGCTTTTTAATGCTTGCCAGGAGTAGTATCTGATAACTTCAGTTTCTTATTATTGGGTGTTGAATAATCAAGGTTTTTCTGTATTTGAATGAAAGCGAATTTTCAAATTATAAGTATAGCTAAAAATATATAACATTTTGTATAGTTCGTTCACCAGGAGTTGGGACTTGGCTCCACCTCCTTGAACGCATTGTTCATTTCAGCGCAGGAGTAAGAGGAGAAACGTCTCCACGCTTGAAAATGAGACAACCCTTAGTGCGCGCCAAACACAAACAGTGAATTCTTTTTCAGTCACTTACTTCTCTTTATCATCTGCTATTATACCTTTCGTTACTCTAGCTAATTAAATATATTTTAAATTTAAAAACCACTGTTTTCCTATCAAACTGTCGCAAAAAGGGCAAACTATTCACGCGAAAGAGAGAAATATCAAATTTATGAAATATTTAATATTAAAAAAATGCACATAAAGATTGCAAAATGAATATAGTTGTCATATGATCGCCAAATATCAACCTTGTTCAGGATTGTTCACATCCGTCTCACCAAAATAGTATCTTCGGATACCATGTGATGAAGGCTAATTGCCAAGTGCCAACTCCTGGTGAACGAACCATAATTGATAAATTTGGTTGCTATTTGGGTGATAAATCTTAATAAATAATAATGTTTATATTTGCTATTTTTAATCAATGACTTTCAGGTTGTTTCATGAATAATAATTATTTAAAGGGCTGTTTTCATTAAACTACTTTCAGGTTTAGTGAATACTGAAACTGCAGCCCTGTCCTATCTTTGCCATAGTCCCATGGATGCTCTAATTGCTGTTAATCTTCCAAACAACGAATTTCTTCTAGTTTTTAGTTGTAAGTAATTTAAATTATAACTATTATTTTTGAGGTTTAATAAATCCAATTTCAGTCAATATTTTTTTTAGGAAATAAGCTTTCGTTTAAAATTATATATTTTTTTAAAATTTAGATTTAGGCATATTTGTGGATGGTCAGGGTAGGAAGACAAGAGACAAAGAACTTATGTTCCCTGCCTTACCTACAGGAATTAGTGAGTATTGTCTATTTCCCAAATCATATTATCAGAAATATTTGGAAAAATTTGATTTAATCTAGGAAAAGATGATCCCAAAATAACAGTAGATGTTACTAGTTTTGTTATACTATAGTTTTGTTTTTTAGATTACATCATCAAACATCATTTAATATATTTGTAGACAAGTTTCTGTGACTATAAAAAAGAAACTCTCAAAAAAATGTCGGAGAAATTTAATGAGCTTAATGCAATATTTAGAAAAATTTGATTTAATCTAGGAAAAGATGATCCCAAAATAACAGTAGATGTTGCTAGTTTTGTTATACTAAAACTATTTTTTAGATTACATCATCAAGCATCATTTAGTATATTTGTAGACAAGTTTCTGTGACTACAGAAAGGAAACTCTCACAAAAATGTCGGGGAAATTTAATGAGCTTAATGCAAAATAACAGGAGTCTTGACATATTTTGCTATCGAAATTCATCACATTCGATTTAATAGTTTAATGAAAAAAAATACTTTTTAATGAAAAAAAGAAGAGGAAAAGAAAGAATTAAAGAAAGTTTGATAGTTTTAACTAATACAAGGGGGAAAATGAACACTTCAAATCATTACTATAGTAATATTAACAAAAATTTTAATTCAATTGAATCTCTAATTGTTTTGTTTTTTTAAATTACATATTTCTGCAATTACAATACATTTTTTTACACTATATTCTTCATACTCTGGCATATTTGGTTACCAAAATTCATTACTAGTAGTAGTTAGATCTAGCAGTTTTCTAGCAATATATATCTATTATTTTTGCAAAATAATAGATATCTATTATTTTTGCAGCAAAATATCTTTTAGTTTTGGGACACCTTGTAGATAAATTTAAAAAAAAAAACTATCTTAATAATAATCTATGTTTAATTAATTTTGAAATTTATTTTTAGGTCAAAGAGATGATTATTTATCTGTATATAGTGATTCTCATGTTGATGTATTTGAAGTAAACACAGGAGATTGGGTCCAAACAATAAACTTAAAAAAGGTATGTTTTGAAAGTGTGTTACTTAGGGAAATCTGATATGGTTTGAATATGGCTTCTACACATTAATCTACTACACATAATTAAGATTCATTGCAGACAGCTTTCTATTTAGTATTTCAATTACCTTTTGTCACATATTAATGTTCTTAATTAAAAATATGTAATTTGATACTGCTTTCTCTTTATTAAAACTGAATGATTGAAAAAGTTTTAGTCACTTGGCCTATTCATGATCAATTAGTTTTTATAGAACGTTCCAATTTTTCAATATTGTTTTGAATATTTAAGACTGAAGTGAGAATTGAAAAAAGTAAGCAAATGAGTTATTATCTAAGATCTGCTGAAACCGAGATCAGCGGATTAGACACCAACATGTATAAAACAATGTTAGAAGATTATACCTTTACATCAGTCTTCAATATCTGAAACAAAGAAAAGATCTATTAATTTGTAATTTATGCTTTAACTGAACTATGAGTTTTATAAATAATGCTTGGAAAAAGAAAAAAAAAATATCATAGATATTCTTTAATAAAACTTATCACACATTTTCTAAAAAGATTAAATTCATTTTTAAATGATAATTGTATAGCTGTGAAGTATAATTGAAGCTAAATGAAATGTTGAACATTGGAGTAACGCATTTACGCATATATAGAAGGAACACCGGTGTCCCTTCTGTATATTTTTTTCTGATTCTTCAATTACAAGCAAAAATATATGTTGGTACTTTTTAATTATAAAAAACAGTCTAAAAATAGCTAAAAAATATCAGTTCGATTATTGAAATTATCTTTGTGCTAAAATAAAAAATCCAAAATAGGTAGTTCAGAAATTTATTTCCATTCATATTCAAAAATTTATTAGTAATTGATTTTGTAAATGTAAGAAATTTCAATGATGAATAAATGTTTTTCTTCGATCTAAATCACTGGAAATCTGAAAAATTATTCTTTGGAAATGTTGAAAGAATTTTTCCTTTAACGCAGAAAGAGGCACTGGTGTTTCAGGCTGTATTTTGTGACTATAAATTATTAAAATGCTAAATACAATATTTTTCACTTATTTCGAGCTAAATTAATACAAAATGAAAGAAGTATGAAAAAATATGTTTAATAAAAATTCTGAGTCAGAGAGCAAAACAGTGCACAACATTTTCCTGTTTAAAGACTCTTTTCTGAATGAACAGCATGTGTCAGAAAACAGTTTTTGTTTAAAAAAAGGAAACAGCTAAAACTTAAAAAAAAAAAAATTACTACTTAAGTTTAAAATTTTAAGCAAACTTAATTCCATCCCTTTTATAAAACAAATGGAACAAACATTTGATCTCATAATTAAAAAAAAATACTATGAAATTTGTTTAGGAAAAATACATTGTTATTTGATAATGTAAAAATTTTTCATGCATAATTAATAAGCAGTATATGCTGGTAATTACAGTAGTAGAACAAGTGCGGTGAGTGCTGCTGATTGATTTTGGCATTGCAGAAAATATAAACTAAACATTGAAAAAATTGCTTTCAAAATTAAGTTAGATTTTAAAAAAATTGATTTTCCCTGTATTAACAGCTCATTTTTTTATCTTCATAAATTAAGTTTTCATCTTCTTTAATTAAGTTTCTATAAATTAATTTCAATTACTTTCTTCTAGTAGTGCAGTTAATTTACAATGCATTGTAGTATTAAGACATTCTTGATTTTTTAAAATTTGTAAATTTACCTATTACAGTATTTAAATACATGTACTATACCACACGTTCTTCACATTAGTTTCAGAATTTTTTCAGATGATGCAGATCAATATAAAAGTTTGTGCAAGTGAGTTTAACAATTCTGTTATGTCCTGGTGTTATTACAAAATTTAAAAGTCTAGCAATAGTCAGTGCTTAATTTCTGGAGTCGGCACAGTAAAACACTGTTCTGGAATCTCTAGAAGCAGAAATTTAACAATAAAAACAAACTCTGTATAGTTAAATTTACATCAAAGTACCATTTTTACAAGCATTAATAATATTTTGTTTCAAGGAGACCTCTGTATACCTATCCTGGGTGGGTGTTTAATAAATATTACATATTAGTTTAACAAATTTTAAAAGATTTTTGCATGGAATAAAAATGAAACAACTAGAAAACAAAATGAAAGAATTTTTAATGAAAACTAAATGTAAGAATGGTAAATATATTGCAAGATTGACTGACTGATGTAATTTTTTATAAACAAAATCACCAGTTTTGCTCATATATTTTTTTTTAAAAACTTTATAAAAGATTTGAAGTGGTTGCATTCTTGCTCCTTATTTAAGAGAGAATTAATGTTCGTTTGGAATTTGAATTATATGTTCAATACTCAATAGAGTAACAAATGATACTGGAGGATTTGTTGAGAACTTAAGATGAAGATTTCACTCAACTATTTCTAACTTTCTTTCAGACCAAACCACTTTCCACTTGTGGAATGTTGTGCCTGACGTTGGCAACTGAGCTTCCCCATATGGTGTACTTGCACAACGTACAGCACAGGGAGAATCAAATTCGTGTCCCTGAAATCAGCATTCACCATGTGAAAGAAAGATCTGGAAAGACTGTGCTCTCCAGAACCAGGCGAAGGTTCTCTGTCAGAGAACCAGAAAAAGCAAAAGCCAATAAAAAGTAAGTGCAACTGTCCATATATATCTGTTGTTTTATTTTACCAATAATCCCTAGATTTATAGTATGTTTACGGTATTTAATGGCACTTTACAATATTATATTCATATGCAAGTTTTCTAATTAAATGAATGTTTCTATATTAAGATATTAAAACAATACTGCATAACATCTGCAGGGTATTAAAGTGTATGTGCCATCAGGGCACATAAAAAAAAAGTTGTAAAAATCACCCCTGTATCTGGGAAAAATAAATAAATAATAATAATAACTATATCGTTCAAAGTTGGTTTTATTAAAGATAGACCAGTCACAGTTTGTTTGCTTTAATTACCAATTGGCAAGTTAAATTAATTAATCTCAAGAGTTTTGTACTGGTAATAATAATTAATTTCAATATATACAAATTCAAAATTAATCTGGACTATCACGGAAGTGGTTGACAAAATGGGTGTCATTGGTGCTGTTGAAGGTGGATGTCTTCTCAATAAATGGAAAGCCCAATAGTCCTCCCTTATTTTAAAGTAAAAATTAATATGCAGCTCTTAGGAGATGAAATAGTTTTTTTTTTTCAATTTTGAGAACTATTGTGTGTAATTTTAATTTCATCCCCCTCGAAAATCGGATGCACATAAACAATAAATGTTAAAATAATTTTTTTTCAGTATGTTGAAAACTTTTTATTATTTTAGCATTAAATTCTGATACAAGATCAGTTTTATATCGATTAGATCTTTTTTCAGTGTTTTTAATAAAGGTAAAATAGCTACGTTTTATGCCATCGTTATCAAAAATTCATAATTGGGAATATGTCCAGAAATAATTTTTAAAGCTATGACAATTTAATTGTTGAGATTCATTAACTTATAAGCTGTTGTATTTCTATAATTATTTAGAAATGAATTAAGGGCATACAGGGTGAATTAAGGAAAAAATTTTGACTATTAATTTCTCTGTAATTTTTAAACGTATTTGATTAAACCAATATATAAAATGGCGACTTTATTTTAAAATTAACAGCAGCACAGCAGAGAGAAGATCTCGAATGATATCTGCACCTACGAATTTCAACCATGTTTCCCACATGGGTCCAGGTGAAGGAATTCAACTCCAGAAACTCATGGATCTCCCAGCTGTAAGTAACTGATAAGTAGTAATTTGTTGGTTTTTTTAACCCTTGTACTGACTAAATTATACATTTGCTCTTAGTATGATAGCCTATTATTATATTAGATATAGGCCATATTAATAAAACAAAAAAGAAAAATAGTTATTAACTACTAGATTTCCTCAATAGTATGTGACTAGTCCCTTTCCTTTATACAGTTTAGTATTCATTATATTTTATAAAATCATTAAAGCAAACATATTTTTTATTCAATAAGCCACATAAAACTTTTAAAGTTTTAAAAAACAAAAATTTTAGTTCTAGGTGATTTTCTAGAACCTCCTTTTCTTTTCAAACATCCATCGGCTCTAATTGGACTCACAGTTTCAATTATGGAAAAAATACTTATTAATACTTAGTCAAAAAATTTCTAATTTTTTAAAATTTTTTTATAAATTATTAGAGATATAAATGCTACTCTTTTTGTTTCATTCAACTCCTAAAACTGTGCACCTGGCTTCGGAAGACTTAAGCGCTTTTTTAAAAATTTAGTAGTTGCATTGAAGGGTGCTAATTTTATATAATTTTACAATTACCAAATTAGCTGTGTTGGTTTTGGATTGTACAAGCATGTGGAATTCAAGAAGAGAGGAAACTAAAACTGAAAAAAAAAAAGACTTTATATGCTGTAACTATTTTATGCTTCTTTTACTTTCTTTTTTTTACCTGCACTCCAGACAATTTAATTAGTATTCATATAATTATACCAAAAATTCTCTTGTCCTAAGAAATATCGTTCTATTTTTTATCGGCTCTATAGCTGAAGAAACTGCATTCACTATTATAAAAAAAATATATTTATTTTTCCTAGTGTTTAATGCAGTTTCTTCATTCAACATTTAAGTCTAAGTATTTTATAAATAATCTACATATTTTATTTATTCTACACAATACAAAGTACTAAACTGCAATTTATAATTAATTTTTGAATTTGCAGCTGGTTAAACCTTCTAATCAACAACAGTGCCAAACTCCCACCCAGACCCCTACCTCTATCTCCACCCCTGTTTCTTCAGATGAAAGATCTCAAAGAACTAGAAGTGTGCCACAGCAACCAAAGCCCCTCCCACGTGCGCTGCAAGACAGTGCCAGTAGAAGGACAATTCATAATGGTAAGAGTAATATTATTTTTTTATTAACTTGTAGTAGATTTTACTATATCGCTTGATTGTGAAGCTTAATGTTGCAATATAAAGAACGAATTGCTGCCTACAGTTATTTCTTTTATATAAATGTTATTGAAAACAATATCATCCATCATGTTACATTAACATTACAAAAGAGCAACGTTAGTAGTACTATTCATAAAATAACCCGACAAATAGTTTAAAATAATGTTGATTCCCTCATCTTAATGAACAATAGTCTGGAATTTCAGGAAATTAAGCATCCTGATGGTCACTGCTGTTAATTTCAGAACATTAGTACCTGTTCAAGCCTGGTGGCTGTGCCACAGGTCCTGTGTTCGATCCTTGGGCCGGGCAAGGTTGACTCAGCCTTTCATCCCTTCAGTGGGTCGATTAATGAGTACCATGCATGCTTGGGAACTAAACACTGAGGGTTCCGCCTTCGACTGACCACCTGACCGAAACGTCTGCCCCTGCACCCCAGAAAACTGAGATGAGCACAGTAGGCCTTGGCCCTCTATGGGCTGTCGCGCCATTAAGTTAAGAGTTTAGTACCTGTTCAAGGTTTTCTTATTTTGCATTCATCTAATGTTCTAAATTCACATTTTGACTACATATCATTGTCTTGATGTTCTGATATGTAAATATGATGAATTTTATTTATTTTATTTTTACACGATGTTACCTAAATAAATGCTTGTCTTGCACATTAATTTTTTATCAATAATAACATGCGTGCAGAAATCCTTAAAGAAGTTCTTATGAAATTAAACTCACAATACGCAACATTTACATTGTTATCTACAGTTATTTCCTTTATATAAATTTCACTAAAAACAATATTCATACATACAAAAAAAAATCCCAACAAAATTTGTTAATAAGAGGAAATAAAAATGCAGAACGATAAAAAATTCTGAGTCAAACACTCGTGGGTTTATTTGTACAAGATATCTTTTCTTACTAAATCATCTAAGATTTTCAGCTTTAAAATAAACATTTTTTGTTTCGTTGTTTAAAACATAAGGAAGCCTACTCAAACTTTTGCCCCTGAAAATTGCTTGTTAAAAACATATCTATTCTACTATGTCTAGTTCTAGGATCCATCTGAACCAATTCTATAACCAAGTGGAAATATAAGGCTTTTTAGTAGACACTGGTGTATATTTTGGTGTTTAACTATAAAATATCATACATGTTTCCATTTTTAGGTTCTGCATCCAATAAACACCCATCATTTATGAACCCTTGGAATCAAAAACCAACTAATACTGCTTCTCCAGATGGTTCAGGGTCTGTATCTTCACAAGAACATTCAAATCCAAGCGTGCACACTGCTGGTTCAGCACATGCACATTCACATTCTTCTGGGCATGAGGTAAGTTGAAATGGTATAGTTTAAATAATAAAAAATATATGATGTGATTACAAAGCTCGAATAATATAAAATTTTTACAAATCTTTTCAGAGAGCATTTTCTCTGCAAATGGATAAAATTTGCCTATTCATGATTTAAAAGATCAGAGTACACAGTAAAGCAAGTCTTTCTCCTTCATTGTATTATTTATCTACCTTGCTTGGGGCATTGTGGTGATTTTTGTCAAAATTTCAAAACAGTATTTTAGGATAGTAAATGTTTACGTACCTGGCCAAACATGTAAGGATGTTTTAATATGATCTGGGTGAGTCTGGTAGCATAATTTTTGAACCCAGGTCGACGTCTTTTTATATTATCAAAAACATAAATAAGAATTAAACTGAGGGGTTTTTCTATAAAGTTGTTATGGAAACTGTTTTCTGTTAACTTATCTAGTAAAATAAATTATTTAACTGCAACTGAATTCACTAAATTTGAAATGGTAACAGTTTAAAATCTTAGTTTTGAAATGGTAGCTATCAAGCTAATTGATTTTGGTTACTGTATATTTCAAAATGAAGGCTGAGACTTCTTTGAAGCTAAAGTAAGGGGGTGGGGGCTAAAGTTGGCTTATATTTAGATCCGTTATTTTGCATATTTCCATGTGAACTTCAGCAACAATAAAAAAAACTTCTACTACGAGCATTAAAGTAAAATAGTGCGAAACAGCTTACACAGAACATATAAATACGTAAAATAACAGCTGATAATAAAATGTCTAAAAATGATAATAGAAAAGAAATAATTTTTTAACCTTCTAACTTACAAATAATAAGAAATGTTTTGGTGAATGAATGTGATATAAAAAAGAAGTCTTAGAAATCCTATTATCTGTCTCATAATCAGATTCTACAAAAATTTAGTTAAGTACAAAAAAATATCAAGGAAACATAAGTTAAAAATTTAACCTAAGATCCAAAATGACAGAGGTTGAGACTTCTTCAGGGAGACACTTTTAACAATCATTACTTACTTATCCTCTACGTGCCTTTGGGCACTTAGGCCTCTAGCATATCCCTCCAACGCCTCCTGTCTCTAGCAATAGATCTTGTTTCTTCCCAGCCAGATATTCTGCATTCTTTTAATTCGCCTAAAAACATGCGTTGGGTGGTAAGTCTGGGTCTTCCTCTTGTTCTTTTACCATCAGGGGCCCATGTAAGCGCAACAGATGTAATTTTTTCTTTGGGCATTCTAAGGATATGTCCGAGCCAGCTCCATCTTCGTTTTTTAATTTCATCTTCTATTGTTTTTATTTTAGCTTTCTTTAATAGATTTTGACTTGATACTTTGTAAAGCCAGAAAATTTTAAAAATAAATCTTAAACATTTGTTTTGAAAGGTTTCTAATTTTTGTATTTCGATCTTAGTCTGTTTCCAGGTTTTTACGCCATATAATAATTTAATGATCATTATTTCTACAAAATGTAAATGTTTGTAATTTTTAACAGGAAATGAATCTATAATTAGGAGAAAGCTTTTTGTTCAGATTTCAGACAAAGAATTAATATAAAAACAGTTGTTAGTGGTTCTTATATTACCCATAAATACTTTATTTCTTTTAGGAATCACATGATCAAAGTCCTCGCCACTCCATAGCATCTAACACTAGTTCTAATGTAAGCTATCCTCCAAGTCCTCGAGAGAGGAGAACAACGGCTCCAGCTGCAACATCTGTACCACTTTTGCCACTTCATGCTCCAGGAAATGAGGATCATGGCGGATCATCAAGCTATGAATCTCAAAGCTAAACAAACTCTTAGCAGATATTATTTTACAATAATGGCTTTCAAGACGCAGCTTTCCTTCATCACTTATTTAATCATACCTTCAATCCCATTTTTTATTGATATTTTCAATTTTCATATCACCTTTTGCATTTTTTCCTCATAAACATTTCATTCATATTTAAGATTTTGAATTTTTAGTTTTGGAAAATAATAAGCTCCCAATATCGAATAAGCAAAACCATGCTTAAAACTTCCATTGCTTTTTTATTTAATTGCAAATTCAAGTGTTTTTGAATGCTGCTAAGTTCTAACTACAGTAGGGAACTGATTATCCGGAACGATCGGGACCATCGCTATTCTGGATAACTGATTTTTCCAATTTTCTGAATCGCTACAAAAAGCCGTTTTTTTTTTATTGTTAAACCCAACTAAAAATATATATATATATTTGGAAATAATCTTAAAAAGAAGAAAAAACGATGAAGTGACACACTAATGATTATTTCCAAAATGATGGTAAGGTAAACAAATGAAGAAAGAAAAATTCTAAAATCTTATGAGGAAAAAAACATTTAAAAAAAAATTGCTAGAAAATTTATTGAATTTCGTTCCGGTTTTTTGATTTCCGGATAATGGGTTCTGTACTGTATTATTATCAGGAAGAGATTTGTTTAAACTATGTATCTCAAACTATGTTTTTTTAAAATGTCTCTAAACTAATTCATTGTTTTTTTTAAACCCGGTGAAAGCAATGTATCTTCATAATATAAATAGTACCTAAACATTCAAACTAACCTAACATTAACTAGTATATTTATTTATTTTTTAATAAACAAACACTCATTTGAACTCATTTTTTGTTTTAAACATGTCAAATAAGCCATTTTAACTGATATTTATGCTTTTTATTATTTAATTTATTTTTTGTATGATAGTTATTTTGTACACTTGTTTATGCTTTTATTTTTTTATTTATTTATGTTTATGAATTTACATTTATTTATTAGAAATTATTTAAATAATAATGCACAGTATTATTTAAAAGTTTTATTATTTTACAATTATGTATCACTTTTTAACACCCTTTTTCTAGAAAATAATTTAGAATTGGAATTCATGTAAAAGAATAACGGTACTGCTGTAACTTCAAAATTAAAATTTTCATAAAAATTACTTTTAAACTCAGTATTACTTTAAAGCCAAAAACAAGACTTTTGGAGTGAGATTAAATTGTAATTATTTACCACTAAAATAAATAATTTAATTTTGTATACATTTGAAATCAAATTTCATTAAAAAAATATTTCAATTTATTTCACTTCTTTATTAATTAACATTACACATATTAAAAATAGATAGAATGTCTGGGGCTTCCTGTACTAATAGGTTTTTTAATTAAAGGAAAAAAATGTTAGGGTTAGAAATAAAATATTTGATTAGAAATTGACTAATTTTTTTTTTATTGATTATACTCACTGATAATTGCACACAGCATTGTGAGAAATAAATTAAATAATCTAAAAGTGAAATGTTTTTATGAACAACATATTTTTATGTATGTAAATGCTTTTGGGTTTCTGTAAAAGTTTTGTTTCTAGAAGCCGAATTACAATGTCTGTCATTGAAAAAAAAAATTTATTGTTATACTTTTAATGTTCTTTATATACTAGATAAATAAAATTTCACTTGCTTTATCTACCTAACTCTTATTTTATTTACCTTAATTCGTAAATAAATTTTTCTGAATGTTGGAGAAGTTGATATGTCTTTACTTAAATGTCATTTATAAATATAGCTCCTTCTATTATATACTTCCTAAATTAAAGATAAAATCTCAATTAAAAAAACATTAACATAAAATAAATTTTTTATTATATTCTGATAATATTTTTAATATGTTTGTATAATTTCATTAATTTTGACTTTACTAATATTCGAATAGAGTTCAAAAAATATTTGTTTTAAAAAATATCTCTAAGTACAAAAAATTTTGAATTTTTGTTTTATTTATACCAATTGAAACAGCTTTTAAACAAAATTTTGTATTTATCCATTATTTATTCTTTCTTACGACTGTTTAAGTACAAATATTTAGAATTTGTATTTTATCTTATTTGATTATTATAACTTTGATAAAAACTTTGTTTTGAAACAATTATTTACTTTTAATTACTCATTAAACTGAATTAATCAATTGTCGCTTACATCAATCAATATGATCTTTCATACCTTGGTTTTGTATATATGTAGTTATATTATGTGTGATTATTGTAAATATAACTAAATAAATTATATAAATTATGTGTAAATTTAAATGAGAAAGTTGTAAAGAAATTAAATAAGTGTTATGTCGATATGAATTCACTAATGTACTTAACACAACTTGTGTGAGAGGCAGTTGATCTATATTAACCAAAGCAACAACTTCAAGAAAAATCAAAAATTGTTTATCTAATTTTTAATTTCACACCAAAATTAGAACCAGACACAAAAGAAAGAAATGGCTTGTTGAAAAAGCACTATTACTTCCTTTAGCTTGTTACTCAGTTTGAGAACTTCATCTAATTCAATCTAATCTAATTTAAATAAATATAAACTATGTAAGAAGAAGCATGAATAATACCACACAAACAAAAATTCATAATGAAGAAATACCTTACTTCCTTAATGTGCAAACAGAAAATCAAAGAAGGAAAAACAGAAATGCATAAGAAAATTACAAGCAAGTTACAACAATGATAAGAAATAGGTGTAATGGTTGTAGAGAGCACAAAGAACCTTTTCGCCACTTAAACCTTAATTTAAAGCCTAAACAATTAATAAATAAAATATAAGTTTTTTTTTTTACAAATATTAAAACTTTTATTTCAAGAAATAATTCACCACTATTTTCTGAATAAGTTAAAAACTGCACTAATATTGTATAATGCCAAAAATAAATCTTAAAAATGAGTAGCAATTTTTATTTAATTTAAACATTCATTTTAATTCGCAATTAAAAATATATCTAATCAATACAAATGAAAAGAATAATTGCAAAAGAATAATTTTATTCATAATCATAGTCCCTATTTTTTATTTATCTGCAAAAATATTGCAAAAACATCCATCACGATAGTTTGAGTTGATCACGTTTTATTAGTTTGTACAATTCCGATTCAAAGCAACAATCTTTTAAAATTTATTGTCACAAAATATCTCAAAAATCATGGAGCAAGATTAAAATCTAAATGTTATTAACGTATCTAAATAATATCCTATAAATTTTACAAAAATAACCAATAATTAAATAATTTTTACTAAAGTAATAAAAAAAATATTAACACTAATCACATAAAACTGCATTATTTTTAATTTAAGTGTGATATTAGATGAACTTGAATATAAACTAATAAAATGACTTTAAATATTTTAGACTGTTTTAAAAAGATAAGAATCAAATTGATTACAATAAATAGAACTTGCTTCATTTTTTAGCAGCAATGCAAGAACAAGCAATAAATTTAATAATAATTTTATTTTGAAATAAAGGAATTTTTTTTAACAAATTTCCCAACTTTAAGAGAAATATTCGAAAATTTACAAAAACTAAAAGAATTTTTGATTAAACCAAGAGAAATTGGCAAGCAAGAGTTGGCAGCTGTGATTTAATATCAAATTTAATTTATTTTTAAAAATTAGAATATTTAAAAAAGAAAATATTCTGATTACAATTAACGAAGATTGCTTCATTATTAAACAGCAATACTTATTTAACTACTCAAACGGCAATAAACTGAGTAAAAAATCTATTTTTAAAAAACAGTTTTTTCTAAAAATGTTTCAATTTTAAAAAAATTTCTAAAATTAAAGAAAGAAATTGAACATTTTTTGATTAATCCTGGAGAAACTGGCAAAATTCGGCAATCTACTTAAAAAGTCCAGTAGAGTTGGCAGCTATCATTTAAATTAAGATTTAATTTATATTAATTTATTTTTTAAAATTTCAAAAACTGCTATCCTAAAAAAATCAAATAGTTGAATAATCAATTATGTAAATTATTAGAAAATAAAAATATATCTGAAAATTCCTTTAAAGTAAAAATTTTTAAATTATTATATTTAAAAAATTAAATTAAATGTCAGTTTTCAATATATAGAAATTTATTTTATTAAGAATTCAAAAACAACTTTCCTAAAAAAAAAAAATCAAAATTCACATTTTCAACTGAATAACTCAATTCACAGTCATTATTTAACCTAAAATATATATAGTTAATGTGTTTGTTAAATTTGATTATGCATATATATTAAAAAGAATATCTACAGCCTCTGTCCACCTATTAAATATAGAATTTTGATCTAAAAATTGTTAGTATAAATATATATATAAAATTTATTGTTAGTTATGTCATTAAAACTTCATTCTATTTTATCACACTAACATTCTGACAATCGGTTTGGCAGTTTTTAAGAACATATTAAAATAATAACATTTTAATATTCTGTAATACTTTTTGTTGCTACAATAAAATAATTTTGATTTATGAAAAGTGTCGTAAAAGGCTATTATAATATAGTTTCTTTTGGTTCTAAACTTAATTTAAAAAAAAAAAAATTTAGGCATTAATATTTATACAATTAAATATCTGTTCCATGCAACAGTATATGAAGTTTGCTAACACAGAAATTTAACTGTTAGCTGTATCATTAATTATGCTTACAATTTATTTATATTAAAACTTCCTGTCTGACAATCTGTTTAGGTGTTTTTCAGAACCTATTAAAAATATATATATTCTTTCATTTTTTTTAAACGTTTAAGAATTCCACTGTTGCTATTACAAAATAATTTTGGTTTATGAAAAGTGTTAAAATTTTTTAAAATTGCAAAAAGTAATTGAAGTACATTAGTACAATTAAATACTAATGTTTTTGAGGCCACAGTGTATGATGTTAGCAAATATTTGACTGTTAGCTGTATCATTAAAAATGATTTATTTTTTATTTACAGTAAAATTTCCTGTTTGACAATCGGTTTGGTTGTTTTCAAGAAACCACTAAAATTATAATATATAATTTTTCTAATTTCTTTGTTGCTGTAATAAAATTATTTAGAATTATGAAACATGTTGTAAATTTGTTTTTAACTATAATTCTTTCAGTTTGAAATGCAACTTTTTTAAATAGGCAAACAAGTATTTGAATTACATTTTGCAACTTAATAACTATCCTATGCAATGGTGTATGACATTAAAGTGCATTTTAAAAATTCACTATAAATGAATGTTTTCTTCATGTGACATAATTGAAACTAAACACTGTTTTTTTTAAATAATAAAAAAATATTTATTTCATAATTATATACTTAGCTGTTGTAGTGTTTTGAATAATTTTCTAGTCTGGGTAAACAACTTAATTATTTTTCTTTGAGATATGCAAAAATATCTTAACTAATATCATGAAACTTTATGTAAAGAGTGTATTTAAATGGCTGGAATTTAATTTATTGTAATTTAAAATGTTTCAATTTATATGTAACTATACTTAAATCTACTGTTACATGTTTTTTAAGAAAACTGATGTTAATAAAAAATATACTATCTAGTGTAAATAAAAGTTTTGAACGTAACTAATTGTTGTATAACTTATTTAATCTTAAAACATAAAAACAAAAGAAACAGGAACAGATTAAAAAAATATAAGTGTTCTGTTATGAGTGTCAAGCTCTAAGAATTAATTTAGAAGTTTTATAATTAGTTCTTAAAAGAGTTATATGGTAGAAGAAAACTTTCATGGTAAATTCTCTTTCAACTATATAATTTACAATTTAAAGTATAGAAAAAATGAGGTAAGACAAATCAAGAGCAGTATCAAATGCTGGAAGTATTTTTCAAAATATCGTATTATAAACAATTTAAGGTAAGTGGCTATTATGGAGACAGAGAATTAATTCATTAAAAAAAAAAACAATTTTTTCAATATAAAATACTTTGAATAAAGAAGCCAAAAAGTGGCATAGAATTCACATAGGAAAATGCACCAATTCAATGTTTGCAAACTGAACGTAGATCTTTATTTATACCACTAAAACTGTTTTAGTTTGCTAACAAGAGAAATACATAAAAATGTCAGTAAAAATATGATAATAGAAATAATTTTTGTTTTAATTGTTATATAATTACCTAAATTCAGTATCATATTTATTTGTTTCTAATCAGCAAATAAACATGTAAGTGTAATGCAAAGACAAAAAACAAGTAAGCCAAACAAAGAAATAAATCTATTTAGAAAATTTCAATTCAATTTTTACCTTAAATCTTTATTTGAATCACACTTTCCTAAACATCTGCATCTCATTTTAACCAGTTGTCTGGGAATTGGTAGAGAATTAAGACACTTTAAACAAATTTGTCATAGTTAACTTCTGAAATAAAAATAAAACATGGCAAACTAAAAAAAAATAGTTTTAGCTTTGATTAGTTATTTCCATTAATGTTTTAAAAATAATTTAAGCAAATTGGTAGTGTTAATAGTTATAGTTGTAATAATAGCTCGTTTTAAGTTATGTTGTTTCATCATTTTTGTTTGATCCATTGCAGCTTCTATCATTAAAAAAAATTTACTATCTCAATTTAAATATTTTTCTGAATTTACGAAAAGAAAAATATTTTAATGCGTGTTAACTAATATTTTATTGTATATAACCATTTATTTTGCTGCACGTGAAAAGTTTATTACACATAATCATAAAGGGTTAAAAGGAAACATTTTATTCAACAATATAAAAATATACAGAATAAATTAGCTTTAAAATAAAATATATTTTCCAAAAAACAATCATTTAATTTTTTACAAATAATTTAGTTTACACAAACTTTATTTAAAGAGTTTACTTATGATTAAATACAGGGATGCGCAGCCTATAATTTCCAATAATTAATTTTACCCTGTATTAACTACAAATTTCTTTTTCAAAAAATAAATAAATAAACAAATAAAAGTTAACTTTTGAGGTAGCTTAAAGTTCATAAGTTTATCTTTTTCTTCTTTTTTATACCTGCAAATTTAACCCATAATTTGCTTTGTAATCTTGTAACTATACTTGTTTCAATATATTTCGGTAAAATATTTTTATTATCTATGCAAAAGTGAACTTTGCATTTTCACCAGTATAAGCTTAATGTTTATGTTGCTTTCAACAAATATTTTCTAATTTTTGTGGCCTGTTAATCAAAACTGATGTGCATCTCTCCAGTAAATATCTTTTGTTAAGTGAATAAATCATTTCTTTCATGGCATAAAAATTCCTTAATAATTTCAAGATAATCTCTACTTCTTTTATATACTATATATATAATTTTAAAACTAAGTCAAAGCACATAATACAATGTTTTAAATAAATAAATAATCAGTTTATGAAACAAAATTTCATTGATTAATGAAACAAAAGAAAATGATCACAGCTTAGCTTTGCTCTACACACATCATTCGAATCTTTTTTTTTTTTTTTTTCGTTATAAAAAATAAATATAATCTAGTAATCAAAAATAATAAATTTAAAAAGAGAAAGAAAACTTATCTAATGAACTACAAGTCGAGAGCTACTCAGACATCATGCTACAAAGCAGTTAAAAAATATCAATAAAAATTATTTAGAGATTTTGCTTCTTTAGAATGACATTAAATATCATATTTAAGCTTAATAAAATCGGATAGCTAATTATTACGAATGGGGTTGTTCATCCCAAAATATTTAAGAATTGTAGATTTTTTTACCAATTTCTCATTATAAGCACATTAGTCATTTCCACTGTCACTAAAAGAATACTAATAAAATATAACATTTGCTGATCATAATGACAAAAATATAACTATTTTTTTTTTTTTTTGGTTAATGGGGTTAAAATGCTAAGTTGACTNTTTTTTTTTTTTTTTTTTGGTTAATGGCGGGCACTAGGGTCTATTTCCCTTTGGCCTCAGAAATTTGAATTGTTTGATTTGATCAGTGTTGTGTATTATTATGAAAAGTTGTAATAAAAACCTTGCCTTTTAAATTATATTTTTTTGGATGTATTTTGTACTTAATATAATTTCAAGATATTTATATTTATGAAAATATTGATATTTATGATATATATCATAAATGAATTATGAATCTATATCATATTCATAAATATTATAAATGAAATATTTACAAAAAATATGCAAAAATATTTGGATACAATATAAAAACAATTTTTTTTTTCATTGTAAAATATTGAAAGGAATATTTGAGTTTGAAATTAATTGTTATTTCTGAAAATGCTAGGATAATTTTTTAAAAAAATAATATCTAATTAGGTAATAGATACAATATGAATATTTCTCATTCAACTTAAACATATGTGTTATACATAGCAATTCTTTTAATATAATATTTTTGTTAACATATCTTGACAAACAGCACAAGGACTAAATTAAAATATTTTTAAAAAATGTCAATAAAGTTACTATTATGACCTAAAATTGAGGTTGCAGATTTAAAGTTCATGTGAGCAATGTTTCTCCTTCAAGGTCTCTAAGTTTCTTTAATTGCGGACATGGTCTCTGTTAAAAAAAAGCAAGGATTAAATAAATGTAAAATTTAACCAAATAGTTAAACCATTTAATAACATGAGAAATTTTTCAAAAAATTTACAAAAGTAGTTAATAACTTAAACATAAAAAAGAAAATATTATTATAATAAAAAATTAATTTCAAAGAAAACAAAAATAGTTTCCAATCAAATTCGATTAAGGCTGAGATTTTTTCCAGTTATAAGAAACATGGTTTAAAGAAATACCTGCTAAAAGTGTCAAAAGAAAGTTTCATAAGCAGTGCATTCAAAAAAGTTTTAGGTAAAAGATTTTTCTTTTTTTTTGTACATTAAAGTAAGACATTTGTACAGTAACCTGTTGTGGATAAAGGCTCCAAAATTAAATACCAATGGCATGATTGTGGCAATGTCATTTGCCACAGGTTAAGCTGCCTTTACTTCCCAGTCAAGCAGGTACCCATCTATGCTTGAAGTCACCACTGAGGATCAACCACCTCAGTTTTTCACAATTACAGCTCAGTGCCTATAACCACTATTTTGGTAAAATAATTCTAGAAAAGAATTTTTGAAATAAGTATGAATTCAAAGTCTTCTATACTTTAACAAAAGAGAACCAAACACAGGGATGAGAGTAGTCAGAAAGCAAAAAAGAGAAAATCCAAGAACGAATAAATATATATATATATGATGTTCAGGGTGGCCACTCAAAACAGATTTCAAATTTCCCTGATTTTTCCAGGTTTTCTTAAAATTTCCAGGTTTGTGTTTTTTTCCTTTTTTCTTATAAAGTGTAGGATGTATACAAGAAAAGTGTCTGTATTATAAAATATCTTATTCAAAATGTCATTTTTTTAAACATATCTTGAAAAAAAAAATTTTTTTTTTACAAGATATTTTTTTATTATTTTTTAATGTTCTGGTTTCTGGTACAACATTAATTTTTACAAAATAAAGAGGTGGAGAAAATAATATGTTTAGCTTGCAGAATATATTGTTTTCATTGAATAATTTTAATTGTTATTATTGAATTTAATGTGTTACTTTAAGTAGTATTTGCTCAAAGTGTACCTACAAAATGACAAAATCAGAATAACCAATAAAACCTTGGATAAGTATTGTTTAACATATTTTCATTAAGGAAAATAAAACCGTTTCAGGTGATTATATATCAATAATTTTTAATAATTACAGTGGCTCCCAAAAGTGTTCACTCACTTGTAACTTATATTGAAATAGGAAATAAAAATTCAATAATTAAAATGAATATTTCACAATGGGTATTTGATAATAAGATGTATAATCAATTTTTAGCAAAACTGCATGAAATATTTTAAAAACAAAGCAAAAGTTAATTTTTTAATCAAATAGTAACAAAAATGTTACCCCACGAAAGTCATCGTACATTTTAATGTTTTGGATCTCAGAATTGAAATTATCGTCAATTGCTTTTTTTATTTAATTATTTTTCATTTAATTTTTTATTTCTTTATTAGCAATTTAGTATCAAACCTATCATAGCACAATTATATTTTAAACTTTGCTTGCTAACTTCGTAATATTTTATTTTATCATTTAAAAATGACTTGTGGTCGTAATAAAATAGATCAAATTTGATTATTTGTCTTCATAAAAGGTAAATCAGTAATGAATATGTTAAATTAGTTTACTGTATTCAATTGAACTGTGCAATATGAGATAAAATGCTTAAAAGAAAGACTTAATATCAGAGATTAAAATTATAAATTTTGTGGAAAAATTCATAAATTTGCAATTGAGTGTTGTAAAAGTTTCTGTAAAAATTTTAAAAAACTATTCTGCACGAATTTCACCTGACAAAAAAAACTAGTTATGCGTATTTTCAACCTTTAAAAGCTATTGTAGATGCTAAAGGAAACTCCACTAAATGTTAATTTAACGAAAAATTAGATTTACTAATAGACTGAGTTTTTTCTTTAAAAGTGTATGATGACTTTTGTGGGATAAAGTTTTTGTCACTTTTTGATGATTGATTCCTTAAAAATAAACTTTTCCTTTGTTTTTAAAATATTTCATATTGTCATTTAAAATATTTCAGTTTTGTTAAGATTAGAACACATTTTTTATCATTAAATATACATTCTGAAACATTCATTTTAATTAATGGATAGTCTTATTTCATTGAAAGTCATAAGTGTATCAACACTTTTGTGAATCACTGTAATTACATTTCAATATAAAGCTGTACTGTATACTGCATTATACTGTATTTCATCTTACCAGTGCTTTTTATAAAATTCACTGATCATATTTTCCTTAAACCAATATCTCAAGTCAAATTTTTAAATAATGGTATTTTGAAATAGCATTTTTATTTTAAGAGATTCAGTATAAAAAAATAAATGTCAGAAATGTAAAATTGTCTAATTTTTAGTTCTATACTCTATAGAAGAAAAAAAATAGATAAAATTCCTTAAAATTTATACTTTTTTGATTTTTTTTCTTATTTGAAATTAAAACATTTAAAGAATTCCAATCTAAACACACAGTTTTTTAGTTTAGCATAGTTAATTGTTTTTGTTTGAACAACTGGAATCTTGTACAGTGCAGAACTAAAACACTAAGTTTCGTTTTCCTTCTCCTGACTAAACACATATGAATAAAAAAAATTATATTTTATGTATATACATCATTTAATATGTTTCCTATATATTCCTTAGTCATTGTCAGCTTTTTTAGGTAAAAAGAGGAATAGTTTTGAAATATCATCTCTGGAATGCAAGCAACATTTACGAACTTTCGATATTGTGATAACTATACAATTCGAATTTTGAATCAAAAAACTAATATTTACCAACAAAACCGTAAAATTTGATATTAATATATAGTTAGTTCTAAAAAAAAATTTTTTTCAAAATAAAAATATACTATAAAAGGTTAAAATGAAATAGAAAAAATTAGCATTAATGCAAGAATTGTAACAATTTGTCGACAAACATTGCTGTTAGTGATGGGGGAAAATGCGTGATTGGTTGGTTTGCTGAGAAAAAATAATTTACAGATTTCTTTGAATGGGAGTTCAAAAGCTTTCAGAAAAAGAGTGCAATATAAAATCTATTATTATTAAATTATAACCAACTAATTTTTAGAGAATTTAATAAAGTTAAAAATACAAAAACATTTTGTCAAAATAGAAAAAAATTACCACTCTCAATTGCGAACAAACTTGAATCATTGTGTGAACACGGACAGAATTTAAAATCGAATCCTAACCCCCTCTTCCACATCCACCATAATCTTTGCTTTTCCTAAATTTTACAGTCTCATAGTCTGCATAGAGATCAAAGACATTTGCTTAGCAACCATGGGAGAATTTTATGTTGTATTCTGGTTTAACAGGGTTATAATGGAGCAAGTTTTGATGAAATCAAAGTTGATGATATTTTAACTGTTTGGAGATAAATTTCCTTCTTAAAAATGTGGGTATAATGGATGAAACAATTTAAATTAAGAAAATTAGCAAATAATTTAAATTAGTGAAATTAAAAAAACATATAAGAAAAAATTTCCAGCTTTTCTTTAAAATTTCCAGGTTTTCCAGATTTTTATCCATATTTCCCTGATTTTTCCAGGTTTTTTCTAGTATGAAAAAAATTCCCTGATAATTCCAGGTTTTCCAGGTGGGTGGCCACCCTGATGTTCTATGAGTTCTATTTACTTGCAGCTTATGCACAATAAATAAAACCTATTGTTTTTCTTAATTTTCTTCGTGTTTTTTGTATTTATTTATTATGCTATACATATATACGAGTACCAAGCATGCTTGGGAACTAAACACTGGGGGTTCCGAGTTTGGCTGACCACCTAACCTGAACATCTGCTCCTGCACCCCAGAGCCCAAAGTCAAAAAAGCTGAGATGAGCACAGTAGGCCTTTACCCACTACGGGCTGTCATGCCACTGAGTTTACTTTAGTTTATATATAATATGTAGAAACTATGATATTCAAACATTTGACAAACAAAAAAGTGTGATTTTTAAACCTTAAAACCATGTGACTACAAATCCCGATGATTAATTTTACAATTGTATGAATATGAATCACATGCATGACTTTAAAATCATATGAATAAGTATTGTAATATTTGATTTTAAATCACATGAATATGAAACTCGATATTGGATTTCAAAAATGCAAATCATAAAGGGTAATTTTTAGATCGTATAAATACGAATCGTGATGCATAATTTTGAAATCACGTGAATATGAATCCCAGTGTCTTAATTTTTAAATCATACATAAATATGAAAATCGATGTTTGATAGTACAACCGCATAAACGAATCAGGATATTGGATTTTTAAACCTCGTAAATAAGAAACGCAATGTACATTATTTAAATTGTATGAATAAGAATCGCAATGGACAACTTTTAAATCAGGTAAATACGAAAATAGATGTTTGACATTAAAATCACGTGAATAAAAATCGGGAAGAGAAGCAGCAATGTCTGCATTATGAAAATATGAGCTATCCGGCGTGCAGGTAAAATGTGGAAAATCTTATTTTCTGCGGAGAAAATAGCTAAAATAAGAAAAAATGCAGAAGGGCGGCAGCTACGTAGTTTGAATTTTCTGTTTATTTTTGAAAATATTAAATAAATATAATTATTTTATTTCAAGGGCTGAATTTTCAAAAAAAAAAAAAGCAACATATTTATTTAACAAAAACTTAAGATGAAAAGACTGAAATTAGAGAGGCAAAAGCTGAAATCCACTAAAAAGTGGAAAAATCTCATCCCTGCAAACATCAATAAAAGAAAGTAAGAATTCATTCATTACTAATCTACAACAATGGAATCTTTTTAAATTTACACAATTTAAAAATGATAATTATAATAATATTTATATTTTTATATTGGATTCATAATATTTTCATTCTCATCATAAGCCTTTTTCAAACCTCAAGTAAAATTAGTTGCCACTATATTATCCGTGTTTAAGCTAAATGAACAAAATAAAAATTCAAAAAGAAAATGCAAAAAATTACAGTTTCATTGACGCATGGATGATTGTACCTGAAGAGAATTCCCTATATCAATCATTGTCACCAAGATATGAAGATTAAAGGAATCATGATAATTGAGCAAAGATTATTATAGCACATAATGCTTTAAACATAATTAAAATATTTACCTTTCTATTCAATCTATCAATTTTGTTGAGATCTAGAAGTGGTGCAATTGAAGGCCTGCCATGAGCACACTGAAAAGGCAACTTGCACTCTGATAATGATAATAATAAGTTCTCACATTCTGATAGAGTAAGAGGATCCCCAAATTTCACAGCACCTAAAAATTAAAGCAATAATCTTTATCCTTATAAACTGATACATAAAATATGCAGGTACTATTTTCATTTAAAAATAATTTTAAAAGCTTTAGCTAATTCTGAAGAAAATTAAATAGGCAACAAAATTTATGACAAATTTGTTAGTTAAGATTTCAGTAAATTTTGAAGATCAGGGAATAAAAAATGGCCTTTATGATTGCTTGGATATTTTTCTTAATGTTTCGAATGTTGGACAATAAGAATTCAAGAATGAATGAAAAAATTCTAAAAATATTTTGTTAAAAATTACATGATAAATAAGATTGACATAAGCTAATATGAGACGTTGTTATATTAGATAGAGTGAAAATATTGTTAATTTTTATAGTTATAAAATAGAACTTTAACTTGTTTTATAAGAAATATATAATATTACTTCTATTCATTACATACAAATATTCTGAAAAAGATTTTTAAAAAAAATCCTAAAAAACTAACTATTTCAATAAAATTCTTTTAAAACTTCAAAACTTTTACAAAAAATTAACTCAAATTTATAATACAAAAGGGTTTAATCCAGTAAAGATTGATGAATATTTTAAGGTATTAAAAATTGGAATGCGCCAAACATAGCCAAAATTATAAACTATTGAAATAAGTGTTAAAAGTTTTATTTGAAACCAATCATAAGAATTGGAGAGCTTTTAAAATTTATTTAAATAAAAACTATATTAAAATTTAGTGAAGTTAAATAATATATAAATACAAAACAATTATTTCATATAGGAAAATACCTTTAAAATAATTAATAATCAAATAAATATCCAGGTACTTTTCTATCATTGATATTTCAAAATTAATTCTAAATAGGCACATTTATACACATTAAATTAGTTACAGATTAAACTAGTTGTATTCCATTAGTGGGAAAACAATTTTTTACCTCTACATGCTTGAGAGTTCAAAACATTAGATAGTGTCTTGGGTAGAACACTTGATTTGCACCTGTTTTGTGTCAGAGATAAAAGCCATTCTTTAATTGATTTCTGTAAAAAAAAATTTAAAATAATTAGAACATTGATTAAAGTCAGTAAAGAACTTAGTGAAAGAACATGTTATTTGATGCTTTTATTAATTTGGGAAAATGAGCTATAAAATGCATAGGAACAATCAAAACCTGCTTACAAAAAAAAATGTTTTTGTTGTAAACCTGTAAAAATGAAAAGTGGAAGAACAAGTTAAGTGATGTTAAATGAATTTGAGAAAAATCAGCTATGAAATGTTTAGAAACAATCAAAAGGTATTTATGAAACATTTAATTTACAGTAAGTTTACTAAATTCAAAGATGAAAACATTTTTTGATGAATGGTTTGGATTTTTACTGTATAGATATACACTGTAAGTATGCATAAGTATTCAGGGTCTGTGCTAAGGATTTCAAATTATTAGCCAGTAAATTAGACAAATATCAAAAGTATCACCAACTTTTGAAAGTTTTTGCCAAATGCAAATCTTAACAATTTTTTATTATTATTTTTTTCAAATAGAAAACTGTTTTACGGTACTTTGTTTCAGACTTATATTATTTGAACGCAATTCTAATTGGTTATGCGGAAGATCTACCGAAAATTACTGTAATCAAATTAAAAAAATACTGACTTGTTTAGACATATTCATTTAGACGTAATTTTGAGAATTGAGTTAAATATATATTTTTCTTTCCAGTGGAAAAAATCATCCATTAATACTTTTGCCAAAACACAATTTTCTTCCCCAAATTTACGATTTTATCACATTTGGCGAGGTAGCGAATATTTAGCATGGGCCCTGCATATTAAATTCACAAATCAAGTGCAGCTTAATTATGATATCATTTTCACAAATTGTTTGTTATGTATGTTTACAGTATCTTTGCTGTATGTTAACATATGTTTAATTATTAGCAGAAAATTTATTAAAGATGACTGAGAATAATAATATGTGCACAAAAACAAATGCAAAGAACAAAATAATTATTTTGTGCACAGGGAAATCATAAATTATAGTTAGTATAAAACAGAAATTATTGAAGATAACCGGACATTATTCACTAAAATGTTTATGTTATTAAAAATGAAAAAAAAAAACCAGAACTTTTAAAATATGAATAATTATCAAACTTTCTGAACTGGATGAAATGTTTACTGAAATGGCAGAAAAATTCTTGTGTGAATTTATGATATTTGTAACTAAATACGTATAGGTATAGGAACTAACTTTAGTGTTACATTTAAAGAAATTGATAAAAGAAAATAGATAAAATTTAATGGTTTATTTATTGGTTGTTTGAATGTGTGAAAATACTTAAAGCCTTTGTACTGCAAAAAAATATAAATATTGTCAATAGTTAAATCCAATCGGAAATTTTTTAGAAAATTAAAATAAAAAGTTAAAATATACAAACTTTAATCAAATTTACAAACAGAAATTATTTAAAAATGCAAAGTTCGTAAACTATTCCCTAAAAATCAAATGCTAATAATTTACCTCAATAATAGTTGATATTTCAGATATGCTTCGTTTTAGTTTATTAGTATTCTGATCAATAAGACAGGAAGGTATAGATGAGACTTCAATGTCAGATTCATTTTTAATAGACAGTTTTATTCCTATGGCAGTCAGGTGCTTTTGATAAGTACTCAGTAATCTAACTTCATCTTCGTCCAATGTAATTTCAAGAACTGGGCTAATTGTTATTGATTTAACAATCTTCTCACCGTCATCTGATAACTCATAAAGCTCTGAAAAAATACTAACTTCAATTAATGATGAATTTATTAAACACTATGCAACTAAATATTTAAGAGTATTTACTAAATATTTAATCCAGGGGGTGATTACGAGCACAACTCAAAAATCCTGAAAAGTTCTCAAGTAAAATCATTATTGACGCATTTCAAAAATTTTAATTTGTCTCCATAAATTTTATTTCAAAAAATTAATGTCTCCATAAATTTTATTAATTGATATTTTAAAAACATGAAATTCTAAATAAATCATATGCAGCATAATTTGAATTAATAATCATGTATAAGTTTACTTTTATGTCTAATCACATTTATTATTCTAAAAGAAAAAATATTTACAAATGAAAGAGATGCCAAGTATAAATTCTAGTTCAAATATTTCTAAATAAAATATAAAAGAATTTTCAGGCATAAATGTGATCGATGATTTCTTGAAACTTCCAGACTTTGGATTTCCGGAAACTTCCGGATCGCAGTTAGAGAAAAGTCCGGAAATCTGGATTTTTTCCAGAGCACAATCATCTCTGCAAATGAAAAAAAGGAAATATGTCTGAAAGCATTAAATATATAGCAGCCATAGCCATTTAACTATTTATGATTTTAAAAGAGGTAGAAAGAATGATGCAGATTGCATATAACTGATTAAACACATGAGAACATTAAAAGAGAATGCAAAACCCTATTAAAGAGAGATGCATTCAAAATGGAACAGTAGGTAGTAATATGATTTTTTGTGGCTAAAGATAGATGTAATACAGATTATTTTAATTGGTCAATAAATATTTGATCTGCCAAGACAAAGGTAGATCGCATTATGATGAATGAATAACAATCACTTTTTCTTACTAAAAACCATGCTAATATGAATTTTCATCATTGATGATTTTATACACTCATTAATCAATTGTATGCAATCTATGGTACATTTTTTCTACTTTTCTCTATAACCCAAATTGTGGTGCTTGTTATTGTCCCTACTATATTTCTCTTAATATCCCACATGCCAACTATTTATTTGAGCAACGTTTATATTATACAATAAATATGAAAATATTACTTACTATTTAGGTTATAATAAAATGGTAAAAATGGTGAACGGCTAATATTATTTATTTAGCATAAACATAATAAATTTTTTTTAATGAGAAATATCATAATAGCCAGCAGTTCAGAGAAAAAATTATGGAGGTTTTCACGCTGAAAAATGTGACAAAAAGTTACAACTGCACTAGGTTATAGTTACAACTACACAAAGATATAGTTATAACTACACAAGGTTATAGCCACTGCACAAGGAAAATGTTTTAAATGAAACAATATTTTTTTCAATTTTGCATTAATAACATTTATATAATTGATAAAATCTTTTTTTTTTCCATCAATTTATCAGAAATTCTGTCTTGAACGGAACTTTAAAATTTTCAGTAAACAATGTTAAAAATGTTTTCAGTAAAATGTTAAAGTAAGAAATTTGAATAAGAAATATAAAATTTTTAAAGGTAAAATCACTTAAGTTACATAAATCATTCATAACTTTTTTTTAATGTTTAACTTTCCCTTTTTAAAAGATTTTTAAATTATTAGTAAAAATAAGGGAATACAATTTTCAAAATGGCTCAAAAATTAAGAAATCCACATAAAGCTTGGGAAGAGTGGAAACCCGTGAAAATATTAAATAAAATAATAAATAACTCAGTCAGAATAAAATGAGAATATATTATCAGTCTTGTTAATATTTTTCCCTAAAAGAATAATGATTTCAGATTGGATAAAAATTTGTAAATCATAATTCACTGAGATTTATCTTATGCACTTATTAATCAACTTTAAAATGATCAAAGTTCAAATTAACTTAGTTAGAATAAAATGCAATATACCTTTTACTAACTCTTCCAATCGAATTCTTTCATGAACAGCATGTTGGTCAAATAAAGCTAACAACTTTTGATCTAAAAAGTAATAACTTCATTAATCTAAATTGAAAAAAAGAGCTAACACAAAAACATATAAATATTTTGATAGAATAAAGTTTATTGCAATTTATAAATACAGTAGAGTCCCGATTATCTGAGTTAATGTGGATCACAACTAACTCGGTTAAAGCGAAGATTACGAAAAAGGAAAAATAAAGAGTACTTATAAATGTAATATATTTAACATATACAAAATTTATACAAGTACACCGCATACAATTCATATTATAATTAAAAAGCTTACTTAAAAACACTTAAAGAGCATACTTTAAGAGAATTAAAGAGTTTCTACCTAAAAAAGTCCTTAATCGTTTTTTGTTTTACATTACTTTGGCGCTTTTCTGCAGCAATGTTTTGCCATTTTTTAGGGATAACAGGAAGGCTGGTGTCGCCTCTTTTTGTTGTTCTACATATTCAGTAGAACTTACGATAGATTTTAGTCCATCTGTATAAAATATTTTTACATGTTGATTTTCATTGTCGCAGTCTTTATTATCTTCGCTAGATTCATTTTCATTATTGACGATATTAACGATAATTTCATCAAATCAAGTTGTTGGATTTAGTTTTACTGACTGTTTGGAAGATAACATTCAGATTTTTTTCTTCGGCAGTAGTTATTAAAAAAAAAAAAAAAAAAAACAGGACAAAAAAATCCTTGAAATATTTGATAGCTCGGTTAAAGTGGAAACTTGGATAATCAGGGCTCGGATAATTGATACTGTATAATAACTGTCAGATAATTGGGACTCTACTATACATTAATATTTATCACATTAATATAAACACTTCAAAACATGACAACAATTTAAGATCTTGACAGAATGAGAATTTTATGTAAAAGACAAAAACTAAAAAAATTATAATTATGTTGTATAACATTTTCTATAAGTTAAACTAATATTTAAAATCGCTTAAAAAAATATAGGGTTTACAGCAAAACTTTGTCAACTCTGCAAAAACTCAATAATTTAATAAATAAATAAATAATATATATTGTATTGAAAATTGAGCAAACTAAACATCAAATGTGTATGATAATAAATGCTGCGATAAATTGTTAAAAAAGTCATTATATTACCTTCATTAACTTCATTGAAATCATCTAAGAGACAAGCTATAAATTTGCAGTCAACTTGGCCAATGACCTAAATGGACAAAAAACAATGCATTTGTATGAAACAGAAATAAAACTATTGAATACATAAATTAAGCAATGAAAATTAATGTTAACAAAGAATAAATGTCAATTTAGTAGCCTTATATGCATTGCAATATGCAAATTTTTATAACATGTGAATACGAAATACAAATTTCAATGTTTTATTTACAAATTGGATTGTTTCAAAGAGAGATGTAAGAATTTTAATTGGCATGAAAATAGATCAAAATTTGTGATTTTCAAATCATTAGGATACAAATTGTGATGTGTAAATTGTGTAACACAATGATTGATTCTTAAATTGGTATTGAGTTGAAATGTAGGATCAACCTAAACTGGGTCAACATGAACCATGGATAATACAGTTTGAAAAATATGTGAAGTAACAAGTCATAAATTCTAAGAATGTGAATCAAAAGTGACTTTAAACAAATCATGGTGTGAGCACAAACTACTTCGTAAATTGTGTTATTACCTGATATATACTTATTTTAAACTTTAGCTCAACTTATTTCAGAAATTTATTTTATACTAATTTCTATTGCTTTATGTTTGGCGTGCATGCATTAATTGTTAAGTCTTTAAATTTAATTAAATATTATTCACATTAAATAATGCTTCATTGTTAGATTAACATTAGCTATTCATTATCATTATAAACTAAATCTTACTTCAATTTTGAAAAGATACTACAATTTTTAAGATAAATAGGAGGCCCACTTTAGCCATCAGACCCAGACCTCGTGCCACCTTAATTTGTCCCTAAGAGAATGTAAGCGAATAAAAGTATATAATACTACATTGAATGGCTAAATTATTATGACCACTTCCTCAATACATTGTTGGAAAACTTTTAGTCCGTAATACTTCTCAAATTCTTCTTGGCATAGATTCTATAAGATGTTTGTAGGAGGAATTTGACCCTATATCCAATGAACAGCACTTTACAGTTCTGACAGATCGGATTGCACTGGACCCAGCCGTCTGATGCCCCGTTCAAGACTGGCAGCGAAGGCTTTCAAACAGGTTGGCGGCTCCCATAACTTATACGGCGTAATTTGCAGCTCTTAGTTTGTTCAAAGGCATTCGCAGTTGCAATTTCATTAAGATTCCTCTGCTATATGATGTACTGTTGCTTTTCTGTTGGACTGGACAACTCTGGCAAGTCTCCTTTCACCTCGAGCATTTAGTAGCCTGTAACGACCACAAGCCTGACGTTGAAACCCAGTTTTCAGCTTCGTAGTCTGTACACATAAATAACTGCTGCTCTGGAACACTTTACTAGAGCAGCCATTTTAGTTAATACTGGTTCCGATGCTTCAAGTGCCTACAATCATTCCGCATTCAAATTCAGTTAAGTCACGTTTTTTGCCCATATCTTTGCACGTAACACAGTGCAATTGATGGTTCACTTGCCTAACAGTCTCTTTTTGTAGCTATCTTGCCCTTTACAGGCAACACTGTGACGCAATAGTTCATTTTGCATAAAATTGTAAGGTGGTTATAACAACTTGGCCACTCAGTGCATGTACTGCTTAAAAGTCACTAAATCATGACTGATTTAGTAAAGCTGCAAAGAAAAAAAAAAGAAACCAAAAAAAGATGTCAGTATTTTTTAAAAAGTTAATTTGATTCAGAATTTTGTCCCTATAAAAGACAAATTAGTATAAACATCTATGACAATATCAACTTTAATTTAGCAATATCAAAAATAATGGCCAAAAATGGTAATACTTACTTTTAAACTTTTTAAAGTAGCTTTGGTGAAACGATAAGAATTTATAATATACATATGAGACAATGATTGAAGAATTTTTGGATCTTCTGCAGAAACAGCCTTTAAAAAAATAAAAAGTGTTAAAAAAAGATGCTGAATATTGGAATACTGTTAGAGAACATTTAATAAATTTAAAAGCATACTTCTGATGGAACTTCAAACATTGGGTTTTCCCATTTATTAAACAAATCCTGGATATTATTATCTAAAAAAAAATCATATTGATACTTTAACTTCAATAGAAATATTAACAGATTGAAGTTTACAGAAAAGTCTAGTATTAAACCGATTTAAAATATAAGTAATGTAAGATACGTTTTAACTGCACTTTTTCATACATTGTATATGTATTATTAGAGTGCCTAAAATATCCTTTAAAAATTAAGAATTTTTGTGATTGTAACTGTAATTATAAGAATTAAATAATCGTTTTTGTTGTTCATGGCAGTTCTAAATATTTCCAAAAGTTTGGAGAATAAGTTTTGCGAGTTCTGGCTCCTGAAAACTGTATAGGATATCTTCTGATGGAGAGCTGAGTTTAAAAAGTGAAGCCAGAATGGCCTGATAGTTGAAAAAGTGATAAAGTAATAATAATTTTTGTCACTTATATTTGATCATATACTTTATAAAACCTAAATACAAAATTTTATTCCATTCTCTTGAACAGTATTATTCCCAAGAGGTGGTTGGTAAATAAATTAAGTTTATGTTACAATGAAAGAAAGAAAAAAAAACATTTGTGCACCAGGCTACACCTGATCATTTGCTGTCCTGTATGAGGCTAGAGAAGAATTTTATCAAGGAGGGTCCGGCGATGGTATATGATTTTCTGTCGGTGAACGGTCTTCTGGACTTGGTCTAGCCTTATTCTGGGCCAAGTGGAATAAGTAACAACAACAATGAAAGAAAAAAAATATAATAGGGTAAATGATTAATGTTAAACATATAATTGCTTCAAGAAGTCATCAAATTCAATGTGAGCATATTTATAATTAATTCACCATAATTTGAACAACAATAACTCGAGTATTCCTTTAAATGGATTATTTTTGGTCCCGACCCCTTTATTTTTAATTTTATTTAATCTTTAATTTTATTTATTACAGAATACGTTGGTTTCTTATAACTCGAATTTTATTTATTACAGAATACGTTGGTTTCTTATAGCTCGAATTTTTTTTAGAATACCAATTTCTTTTGCGACCACTAATGAAGTGAAATATTCAAACTTCTGAGGCCCCTCACACTTGACTCAGCATGTCTTGAACAGCATCTGCTAAATAAAATAGAGATAAGTTATGTTCTTTTGTGATTACTGTTTGTATAGGTGGTGCAGTACCTTAGTCAATCAAATGAATGTATTTTTCTTAACAACATCTGAAGACATGTTAATGGTATGAATCATTTGAACTGGTTGAAACCAGTTTCTTGCTTATCATAATTGAGGCAACTTGCTTGAAAAGCTTTTCTTCACTTGAGTTGCTCATTCTCAAGTTGATTCCCTTACGTTAATCATTCACAGCTTAAAATTGTTCACCAGGAGTCAAAAGCATATCAAAGCAAAAATAAAAAACTCTTAGTTCAGAAGATAAAGCTAATCTTATTAATGATTAAGAAAGAAATCTAACCACACACACACAAAAAAAAAAGCACAAAATTTGGAATTCTACCTAGTACTCTTTCTACGATTTTAAAAGATAAAGAAATCATCCTAAAATGCCATGAATACAGGAACACTTATTCAATAAGAATAAATAAGTATGCCGTTCCTAAGGTAGAACCAGCTCTTCTTAAATGGCTTCAACAGCATAGGAACTTGAATAATACAATTTTGATAAGCAATACTTTGCTAAGCTACACTATCTACCAATAAGTATTTGGGCACCTACACAAATGACTATATCTGCAGTCATGAGATACGTCACGCCCTCCGTTGGTATATATCGTGAAGGAAACAACATCGGCATTAGTCCCATGCAAGATGCCTACTGTACTATTTTGGATTACAATATGCTTCTTACATTGTGGCAGTTTTACGGGGTGGACCCCTGTTACTTCCAGGACGACAATGCCAGCTGTCATGTTACTAGGATCACCAAGGCTTGGTATGGTGCCAATGGGTTAATCGAATGGACTGGCCTGTCCAGAGCCCAGACCTGAACCCTATCGAGAGCCTCAGGAACGAATTGGATCACCGAATTAAGGGGTGCACTACCCGTCCTAAATCGGTGAAGGAACTTACATGTCTTCTCCAGGCCGAGTGGAAGAAAATACCACTAGCCGTCACACAAGGACTTGCGGAAAGTATGCCCCAGAGGGTTCATGCTGTAATTACTTCTCGTGGAGGCTCTACCAACTATTGATTATGAATAAAGTTTGCTTTTCTTTTCAATCACACATGTCCAAATACTTATTGGTGGATAGTGTATAAAGGAAATTATTTAGCAGCTTAATTGAAGATTGTAAATTTTAACAGGAGCTGTGGCTTACTTTGATGCATGCAGACTCTAGTTTATGATAAATTTTTTCATAATATTTCTATATTACACAGGGAAACAATACCAGCATTAGGTATGAAAACATAAAAATTCATTAAAAGCATCAGAGAAAATCTAAGCAAAGAAAATAGTCAATAATATGCTTTTAAATTTTTTTTTACCTGTTTCTTTAAAATGACGCCATTTCAAATTCATCTCATTTTTGTCCTTCTCATTCATACATGAATTTAAATGAGATTGTAAGACAGTAATATCTTTATCACAATCATCTTTTTCAGTGATGGGGCTGTTGAGGCTTTTAACAAAAGGTGAAAAATCATGTGTGAGAAAAAAGTGCTTCTTATTAGTACCTATGAATAAAAAATATTTTTAATACATTCATCACCAACCAAGACTGAACAAAATTGAGAATACAATTTGAATAATAACTTTCAGTGCATAATTCCCATTTTTTAACACATAATTTATATTTTTTAAGCAAAAGTAATCACAAAATAGAACTAACTGCAAGTGAAAATATTTAAAACAGAACTGATTTACCATCTAAGTTTTGTTCCTGGTTAAGCTGGATAGTTTGCAGAACAAACTGGTAGTTTACCATGCAGAAAACTAGAATTTTTCCAATTTTATTCAACAGAGAAACTGTTCTTTGGAGGTAAATTTTAGTAAAAATTAATGGCATAACAGTTAAATTTATTATGAATTAAAATTGTTTTTATTGAAAGAAATAAGTTTCTTTTGGAAAATGACAAGAGTTGTTTAAAATATTATAACAAGATTAATAGATAAAAATTAAAGTAATTATTTATAACATGAATCATTCAGAGCAGCAATGCAAATAATTTCTTTGAATAAATGGTCCCAAAAACTAAAAATCAAATAGGGTAAAAAAAATTTTAATCAACTTTAAAAAAAATGTTAAATTTACAATATAAACTATAATTTTTTAAATAATAATAATAATAAAAAGGTGTTAGTAGAACAAAAACTTTTTTTTTTCGTAAAAGTCAATGTAACTAAATTTACTAACCAACAGTTTTTATACTTTTTTTACCAAAATCAGGAATTAGATTAATTTCCTAACTCATGCATCTATTTTAAAAATTAAAACTACACAATAAAGTAAAATTAAAAGGTTTCAAAATTAGCTTTAAATAATTAAAAGAAAATCTATAAAATTCACAAGTAAAAATATAAACTTTTAGATTATACAGTAGGGAACCGATTATCCGGAACGATCGGGACCATCGCTGTTCCGGATAACTGATTTTTCCGGTTTTCTGAATCGCTACAAAAAGCCGTTTTTTTATTGCTAAACCCAACTAAAAAAAAAAATTTTTTTTGGAAATAATCTTAAAAATAAGAAAAAACGATGAAGTAATACACTAATGATTATTTCCAAAATGATGGTAAGGTAAACATCTTTCAAAAAAGAAAGGAAAATCCTAAAATCTTATGAGGAGAAATTTTTTTTTTTTAAAAATGGCGGGAAAATTTATCGAATTTCGTTCCGGTTTTCTGATTTCCGGATAACGGGTTCTGTACTGTATTAAAAAATATAAATAAAAAAAAAATATTTGTGAACATTATAGCAACACAAACGATAGACAAGGGGTTCTTAACCGCCCTTTTTTAAACCATATGAAGCAAAATCAAGCAGATTAGTTCTATAATCAAAAATATTTAAAGTTTAAAAAAAAATCATTTTTGTCTTTAGAAAATGTTCAAAAACTATCTCAGAACTTCTGGTCCAGACAAACAATTATTTACTAAATTAATGATGTTGGTAACATTTTTGCTTTAAATTAAAATTATAATTAAAGCTTGCATACCATTATTGAAGCCAACAGTCTCTTCCAAGGTTTTAGATTCTTCTTGTAACAGTTGCGGCATCACGTAAGTGGAATTTCCAGTAACAGTATCAACATAACTAACTCTCTTAGTTTCATTATCAATTTGGCAAACCCAACGATTTCCCTTTTCAACATTATTTTTGTTATCTAGCATATTAATAACAGAGCAAGGTTCATCATTTAATTTAAAATTAATTTTTTCTGGATCTACTTCTATATGTCCATGATTTGCACTTTTTTTTAGAGAGCCACTTAAATTTTCCGAAACATTAGAGCCCTCAAACTGATCAATTATTTCAATTTCAGAATTATTATTTAAAAGTTTATTCTGACATTCAAAGGAAATTTGACTTTCATCTCCTTCAAATTCATGGAAATCTAAATTTGAGTTTTTTCCATGAAGGGAAAATATTTCATCGCTATTAAATTGTTCAACTTCTAATTTATCTTTGGTTTTTACTGGTTTCTTAGATTTAGTTGTTATAATCGGTATTTTTATCACTTGAGGTAAAGACACATTTGATAAAATTTCTGATGATGCTTTAATTGCATTTGAAATTTCAGGATTCGAAGAACTTGAGGAATTTGAAGAACTTATCAAAGCCTCCTTCATAGGTTTTGGTGGGGATGAATTATAAAATGTGCTAGATTTGACATATTGTACAACCATATCTAATGAATTGCCTTCATTTGATACATCATTTCGATTACATCTCAATTTGAATTCACTAACTGAGTTAGATTTCTGAGTATTAATACAAGAATGATTGAACGGTATTTCTAATTCCCTAATTGAATTATGTTCTAAAGTACTATGAGCAGCACTGTTGAATGATACTTCTAAATCACAAATTGAATTATGCTCCAAAACACCATCATTGATTGGTAATAAACTTGAACAAATAGAATTGTGAGGTTTTGAAAGACTAACAGATGAACTATCACTCCAAAGAAATTTTTTTCTATGGCTTCTAAAATTATTTACTTCCAAAGAATTACTGCTTGTAGTGTCAGTGGAACTTTTATCATGAAAATCAATTCGAGAATAGTGTTTATTAAGATCTTTTGGTGTAGTTGTCGTTAAGAAATCTGAATCATTAGCACAAATTACAGAATTATAAACACCATTTTGAGCAATGTTTGGTAAGTTGTTCGAATCAATTACTGAAGCATCATTGTTCATGAGTTGATTTGTTTCCAAATTTATCCTAGGCATAAATTCTTCTAGCAAACACGTTCGATTCAATTTAGAATATTGTGAGGAATTAGGACTAGAACTGATTCTGGAACGATCTTCAAAATCCTTAAAATGCGAACTGGTTTTATCATGTTTGTTGAGTCGTTGAATTTTAGATGGACTGGTCATATTTATATCCTCATTAAAAGTGTTTAAGGGAAATTCTGGTAATCTTTTTCTTAAATTTGAAACGGGATTGTCAGTGTGAGTTTCATCTTTTTCATCAGACATACAATGAGAATGGAAATTGATAGTCTTGGTTGTTTCCAATCTTTCCTTTAAGTTTGCCACAAGTGGAGACATATTGTTGGCTAATTCATGGTCTGAAATGTCACCCATAGTAAGCACTTTTATAATTTCATTTTTTGGTTGTTTCGTTTTAGTTCGCCGAAAGCGTTTTAAAGGTGATAAATTGGAATCATCAGAAAACGTAAACTTTGATGCAACTCTTTGGGATACTTTAGCATCTAATGGTTGAGAAATATCAATCGTTTTATCAAATTTAGAATGTCCAATTACTTTATTTTTTATTGAAGAGTGTTCATGCTTTTCAACATTTTCTTCGCTAGATTTTGGTGGGAAACTAGTCATCTGTTTCATCTTTGGGGGATTATAACAGTACTTTTCTCTTAACTTTTGTAATATAGAATTGTCTTTTTCCAACAATGACAAATTACTTTTAATAGGTACTCGCATCATTACAGGACTTTTTGTTGGAAAAACTTTTCGAGATGGAATATCAATACCAATATTAGGTTGTACAGACATCTTTGGAACTGGAACAATATTTGCAGCTGTTTGAATATATTTTTCCTTATTCCTTTGCTTGTTATTAGTTAGAGTAGTTTTACAAGTTAATTTAAGATCATCAAGAATTGACTTGCATGGTGAATTCTTTTTTAAGCAAATAAATTTTTGGGAATTCGAATCCCCTTCATTAAATTGCAATCTTTTAATCAGATTATTTTCCTCTTCTACACACAAAAAATTAGATGATTTATTACTTTTTGCAATATTTCGTTTATCAGAGATTGCATTAGATTTATCTGCAAAAGATATAACGACATCATACCGCTTAGCAGTATGAGAAAATAAACCTTTTTTGTAGTTATCAACCCCAAGTTTTGAAGTTAAGTCATTTTGGTTTTGAAGATGTGCTGAATCAGAAGATTCATCTCCATCAAAAATGAAATCTCTAACTTTAAGAAGTTTTAAGATTGACATTTCAATGAATCCTGAAATTTTATCCCACTCAGAAAATTCGACCACTTTATGCCTCCGATCAAACATGGAATCATATTTATTTAAAGGACATGAAATATTGATGACAAATGCACAATATTGAGCTTGAGTTTTGGAAGGACTTGAAATGTTAGGGGTAGAGATGCTTTCTTGTCGGCTTTTTTGCTTAGCACATAGGAACTTGCATAAAGTTCGATTAATCAATTTGTGAAGATTGTTAGTTCTTAATATTGGCTGTTTACTCACATACAAGAATTGCAATTCCCTGTTTAAAAAACAATCCATGCTGATAACTCCATTGATCCGATAATCTTCAAATTTCTCATCAATAGACTTGAGATTCTTCGCTTTCTCTCGACCAAATAGCTGCATAAAAGCAGACTCTGTAGAAGAACATTTTTTGAAATGGAGAATGGTAGCACCACTAACTTCATTTAATAATGAAAAAGAAATTTGGGGGTGCATCAAAGCAGTGCTCTGCAACAATTTGCGAGTTTCCTCTAAATCTAAAGCTTCAGATATTGTATTTTTTCTTACAGGCCTATTATACATAAAATCAAAAACAGTGACAGTCGTTCCTTTACTTACTCTTTGGTTTAAAGAGGGGCATACTTTGTCATTATTACCAAGGGTAAATATTTTACAAAATGTTTTTTCAGAATCAGCAGCTCGGGTTTCAATCATTAAATTTGAGGAAACATTTTTTAAGCTAGAAATTGCTTCCCCTCTATAACCAGCATATTTGAGGGAATTTAAATCTTCAATTGTATGGCATTTACTAGTTGCATACCTAAGATATAGAGAAAAAAAGAGGATTAATAACATTAAAAAAATGTAAACATGTATCGATAAGGGTTTTAAAAAAATGTGCAATTTCAACAATCTCTGCCAGGTATGTTAGTTAACAAAATACCCACCTGAACATCTTTTTTTTAGACCATGGTAATAAAAAAATATAAAAGAACATATTATTAATTTTTCAAATAAAAATGATAGCAACAACATAATATTTACAGCAACACCCCTGTGTCAGAATTTCTTCGAGCTATTTGCAACAAAACTGTCTAGCACTAATATCTTTCTACAAGATACTTTTAATAATAACAAACATAGATGTCACTAATTTAAAATAATAAAAGCGCTAAGTTTACAAAAAAAAAACTATAATTTTTTTTTTATAATTGCACATATAATAATTTTTTATTCCAACATTATGGGTGATATTCAAGCATTTTATTGGGAGGGGGGGGGGAAACACATAAATTATTTCCTTTTCTGCATATTGTAAATTCACATCACAATAAAAAAAAGTAATTAAAAATCATGAAGTACGTTGCCGAAATCAAGTGAATCGGAATCCTCAAAAAGAGGTTACTCAAATGCATAATAAATAATTCTGATAAAAAATATATTGTATACAAAATACTGGATTTAAAAACTATTGAGAAATCATAAGCAATAACTGCCAAAAATTCGCATGTTACAGCACATTTTACAAGTGCAAAAAACTAAAATACAGTAGAGTACTGTTTAAACCAAAATTTCAGATTTCAGTGATCAAAATGATAATAGTCTGGATAACCAGTTATTAATCAAAGGGGATGATTAGAGAAATGAACCTCCATAGTCAAAAGATTTTGCTATTATTGAACCTCATTACTTTGGATAATTGAGGTTGTAATGTACAAGCTACACTCTTTGTTCAATTAAAAAATTATCTAAATAATTTAAACATAATTTTTGTGTAAATATAAATGAAAATGTATTGTTTGCAGTATAAAACTATTCTTGATGTCAAAATTAAAATATCAAGGGTCTGTCTAGGTTTTTCTGAGAGGTAACTATTTTGTGAAAATTTAAACATAATTTGTGAAAAATTAAAAATTATATTATAAAATCAACACAAAAACATGGTAAAAATATAGATTTATAGTTTCTTATAGGATACAAAAGTAAAATTTTAAGAAAAAGCATTTTGTGAAACTACCGTTTTCCTAAAATTGAATTCGTGAAGGTACCGCTAAGCGGTAGTAAGTTCGACCTGGACAGACCCCTGAATATGCAATGTAAATTTTTTTTAATATTTAGCATTATTTCAAAAATAAAAATTAACTAAACATAAAAGTTGATAGCTGATCTAATTTTTATTAGGGTGACCTGGGGTAATTCCTGATCAAAAAACGCAAACATCTATTTTGTGAAAAAACTATTCAAAATAGAATTTTAATATTTACTGGAAGTTTGAGGCTATATGAGATGAGTCCAATGGCACCTTCTTTTGTTTGAAAATCTAATTAGAATTTAAAAGACTTTACATTTCTAGTGATCAGGAATTACCCCTGGTCTTGATCATTTCTGGGGTAATTATTGATCACCAGTTTTTATTGTAAGGGGGCTGTTTAAAAATAATTATATAATGGTAATTAATAAATAAGACATCAAGATCATACAAATAAACCAAAAAGATATGTTTAAGCAGCTAATAAAATGATTTATTTAAAAGCAAGAAGAACGATTAACACTTTCAAAATTCTTTGCATCGTGCCATACATTTTAGGCAATCAGCCAACTCGTTCTCATGTTCTTCTGAAATATAAGAGAGTTCCCACATGGGTTACTTTTGCTGGATTTTTTAACTTCATTAAGGGAAAGTGTAAAGTTAAGTAAGGTACGTCAACAGCTCTGGCAGCAGCTCTCACACTGAAATTTTCATTTTCCATCATTAAAAGAAATTCACTAATTTTGTTTTCTAGAAGCTTAGTATCCTTTTTAGGCTTATAATTTCTCACCATATTTATACTAGGCTAATTTATCAACTTAAAAATTATTCTAACATTTATACTAGGCTAATTTATAAATTTAAAAACCATTCTAACGATGTACGCACATAAAATTAAGATAGAAACAAGGTAAGACAAACCAGAAATGGTGCAAATCAGAATACAGTCTTGTATACAGTTAAAAACAAATTTTGTGATGACAGTTAAAATATATTTTATAGTTGTTCCACTTAATAAATATGAACTGTTATTTAAGAAAAGACAATTAGGTATTTATAAGCTATTTTATATACTATTTATAAGAAGAAATGACAATGATCAGGAATTACCCCAGTGATCAATAATTACCCCATCTGTAGGGGGCAACATTTGATATAGTTTCCTATAATCAATTATAATGTTTACAGTAGATGTGAAACAATTAAACAAAAGCTTACACTACTTTTATATCAAAGAAAAAGAAAGTGACTCAAAATATTTATTATTAAGAGAAGGAGGGGGATCTTTGCAGAAATGTGCACATTTTGAAACCCATCTTTGAAATGGAAAATACAGAAAGCCGTTTAAAAGATACTTATTTTGCTAGATTAAACAAAAAATTATTAAGTAAATGTAGTTATACTTTAGTAAAGTGTACAAGCATTCTTGTCCATGTCTCAAATTTTAAAAAAAAAATAATTTTTTTAAAATAAAACTTAGGTGATCATTATTTACCTCAGAAACAGAGTGATCGTGAATTACCCCGGGTCACCCTACCTGTAAAAAACACTTTTAAAACCAATAAAATTAATAGAATGCTTATATTTTAAGCAACCAAATCTAAACATTTACAATATAAATTTCAATTTACATAATCAAATTTTAAAAACAAACATATACAGATTTTAAATAGCAAAAAACTCTCAAAAATAATTAAAAAATCTTTTTTTGAATGGGAACTGAAAATAGATAGTTGATCTCTAAAAATAATTTTAATCCGATATACATGTTTGAAAAACAAAAAAGAATAAATAAAATAAAACATAAATAAAAACAAAACTGACCTTTCTCCCACCAGTTGTAACTCTTCAGCAGAAATACCATGCCCATTGTCAACAACTTGTATTTTGTATTGCTCAAGATTCAAGCGAACAGCAATACATTTTGCATCAGCATCAATAGAATTCAACACAAGCTCTTCCACACATTGAGCAACAGTTGTAAATGCTACATCAGACCTTATTTTCTTTATAACATCAGAAGGAAGCTCTCGAACTTTCATTCCTGTAAAAATATGTGGGAATATTAAATGCGCTTTACCATTAATATTATTTATTTATTTGCTTGTATGAAAGGTATTTTTAATACATACGGTCATAAAAAAAAGGAGAAAAAAATTAAGTCGCAAATTTTGCAGTATGATGCGAGTTGCAAAGCTTTACAGAGGAAAAAAACATTAGAATTATTCTGTTTTTAAAATTTCAAGTAAAAAGTAAAAAATTTATTTTTTTATTTTGCTGAGTTTGAAACACAAGGTTGAAGATCCAACTAAATTATTTATTCCCAGTTATAATTTTTGAAAAGTTGTTCTTGAATTTCAGCTTACATTTAATTATTTTTTGTCTCACAGTCCTGTTTTATAGTTATCACTGATGTTATGCCATTAATTTTATTTATTTTGAAATCTCAGTGCTTGTATTGTTTTTTATGCAATATGGAATATTTGCAAAACATTTTCAATCTTTCAAGACAATCTGGTTATTTTTTTTTAAAAAAAATTGTATTTATAGGACTATGAAACAAAATAAATGTTAGTGTTATATGTGAAATTTATTTCGTTACGAAGGACATTTTAGAACTTCATGTATTATCTAATGCAGATTTTGGAAACTACAGATAAATTTTTCAACAAAAAATAAGCACCTTTTAAGTCCTTTTTAAGCATTCGAAAAATATTTTCAACCACTTTCCAAAATAAATAAATAAAATAAAAATATCATAATTAGGATCTGTGCAGCAATAAAAAAAAAAATTTTCTACCATAGAAAGTTCATAAAACTTTACATAATCCTGATAAAATAATTAGTTTCTGATAAATATTGCAGAGAAAATTGTGAAAATCATGCATTTTTTGTAATTTAGAACGACAATTGATAAGGCAAAGAAAAAATCTCTTTTTAAAAGACAGAAAATTAAGCACTTTTTACAAACCTGAATAAAATAAAATACCCTTAAGGGCTTTTAAAAAACATAAAACAAACATTAGCACCTTTAAGCACTTTTTAAAAATACACCCTATTCTAATCAATACTTAACCAGACATGATGATAAAAGATTCAAAGAAATGGAATAAAACATTTTGATGAAAGACCTTTTAATTTGTAAGGCTGAAACTTTGTGGTTAATTTTTTTTCTTTTTTTACTATTTGTATTAATGGTAACTTGAATATTTTATATCAAAATACTAAAAACAAAAGGAAGTCATTCTCTTTTCCATAAAAAAAAGATGGATGAGTCTAGCTTTTCTCTGAATGAAAATATTTTCGAGTATTTTTAAATCTTATCATTATTTAATCAAAAAGGTGGGTAAAAATTATGAAATGATGAGGCTTTGTCATTGAAACTCCTAAACCAAGATAAAAACTTGATTTGTGAACAATCTTCAAGTTTAAGCATGACAGTACTAATCTGCAAATAAAACAGCAGCGTCAGCTTTCCAGTGACATGACAGTAATGTGTTGGCGTCATCAGCGCATAAAATAGTGGAAAAAGAAAAGAAAATTTTTTCTTGAGGAAAAACAAGTTACTCAAAGTCAACCCCTCCACTGAAATTCTTTAGATTTTCAGAAGTACAAGTACTTCTGTAATTCATAAAGCTCCACCAGCACTGATTTTAAAACACCTTTGAATAAGAAGACAAAAGTTATTTTTCTAAATCATACATATTAAATTGCTATCTCATATCCCCTGACATGCTAAAATCATAAAAGAAGAATCGTGACAATTTAACAAGTAATTGTTTATTCAACGATTGATTTTATTATTTTTTCATATTATTTTGAGCATTCTCAAACCAAAGCACAGAATACTCTCATATTTGTGAAATTTGATAAGGTGAAATTTTCCCTGACAATTCCAGTGTCTGGGGTAAAATTACAATTTTCCCACTTTTATTTAGTCGAATATCCTTTCCCCTGATTTTTTCCAGTATTCCCCATATTCCATGTCCCTGCAATAGACCATATATAATAATAACTCAATAATGAGGATAATAAATGAATAAAAACTGGATCATTGCATATAAATTAAAACTAAGTTAATTAGTGTGTTCTTCATTAAGATATATATTTCTGTTTTCATTGTAAGTACATTATTAGTGTACGTTTTAAAAAATGTTATCTACATTTGAATTTATTTGAACAGATCAAAGACTTCATTACCTAAGTTCATTTTATTTAAAATGACAATACTTAGAATAAAAATTATTTTTGCTTCAAATATACATTGAAACTATTTAGATCAAACATTGAAAAAAAATTTGTGAATTTCGCTAAATTTAACCGCTTTCATTGAAGAATAAATAATATAATAATTCATACTGGGTAAAAATATAATAAATCATTCAATTATTAATATTTCTTTAAATACGTAGAAGTATAAAAAATAGATTCATTTTAAGACACATCAAAGTTAAAATAGTAGATTTAAAAATAACACAAGCTTCATTTCATTACGAAATCGGATCCAAGAAATAACACCCGAACAATACATTTCAACTACCAAAACGAAACAATTAAATTAACAGTTACGAGTTAGAAAAAAAGTTCTTAATTTACAACAGTGTTTGAATTTATGTCAATAACGATTTGATTTTAAGAAGAAAAACATAATCATTTACTTCGATATTCACTTAAAGATACATTCTACATTTTTATCCCATAAATTTTCCCTTTTACGTTAAAAATGTTAATCCATGAATCAAAATTGAAGGGGAAATAAAGAGAATATTTTTCAGATAACCAGATATTCTAGAGCGAGCGACAGATAAAAACATAAATTTGTAAAGCAAATTTTAAATGGAAACATTTCGCGCACTTCACTGTGTTCAACTTTTCAAACTGAGTTGTTGGTTATGTCGTTTAAAATGTCATATTTAAGAACATTAATTTTTTTCACTGTTCTGTTTGTACTGACAGATTGATTTTAATGAACGCAGGATAGAGCAACAAGAAGTAAAAGTTTAAGTTGTTGTTGCTAAGTTGTTTCTTTTTATATTTTTGTTATTTTGATATTTAATTTGATCTATATGCCACATTAGATAAGAAAATCGAATCTCACAATTTTTAAAACTAAAAAATCAATAATAATACACTAAAAACCACCTGATAAAGTATCTGATGAAAGTTTTACGAAAACGCTAATTAATCTTAAAAAGGCAAAACAATATTAAATACATAAACAGGTAACAATGTAGATTTGATTTTTAATGTGAAAAAGTTTTATTTTATTCAAAAATATACTAGATTCCCCTCTGAAAAGACATGTGAAATTTAACGAAATTTGATTGGTTGATAACGAAACAGCTGACCTACCAGCTGGTGAAACAAAACGTCAAATCAAATCAAAATATTCTGCCGCGGATGATGAGCTTGTCCTGTGGTTTCATTTCGTAAACATTCAGATAACACCTGTTGATGAATCAAGGGTTGTTTCTGTTGGGTTAAAAGGATTACTAATATATTGTGTACATATGACTCATTCTAAAGATTTGTGTGTCTATCGAATTAAGAATTAGGTGAATTTGTTTAGAGTAAGTTTTTTTATTATGTTTGTTAAGAACATTTAAGTTATACATTTTATTTGTATTTTTTTAAAATATAAATTAGTTATTTTTTCATTCATTGAAATTATAAACTATAGGTGAATTATGTTATTAAATCATTGAGAATTTTAATTTATTTAAATTACATTATGAAAATGCATATTATTATTATTATTATTATTTTTTTTTTCATTAGAACTTGTTTTACTTTTAAGTTCTTCTGCAATATTAACAGTATTAACATGCATTTAAAATTGGTACTTGAAAGAGCTAAATTTCTATCTTTGCTCAACATTCTTTTACTAGTAGTTATTGCAAAAATTATTTTAAAGGAAATAGTTTGCCCAATACTGCTACTTTGTTTTCCGCTTTTAATCAAAGAAAAATAAAAAGAATGAAGTGAAATCGAATCGCAATCAGTGCTTGATTTATCATAGGCCTGAGAGGCTCAGACCTATTGCTACAAATAATTTCTTTTTGACTTTTTACTTAATTGTCTATTAGAATTGAATTTACAAAAATTTTAATTAATATAAGCTTAAATTTACTAATACAACGTAAATTACTCATGTCATAAATAATTTAAAGGCATTTCATACATCAAGAAATAAATTTTTTCAAAGTTATGACCGGTTGGGGGGGGGGGGAAANGGGGGGGGGGGGGTTCTGTGCTTAGTCTTATTTCTATATCAGACCCTGATCGTAATAATAAATAAATAAATAAAACATTGATTGCATCTATGGGCGTAAACTTGTTTATAAATGAGTAGATAAAATGTATTGAAAATTCAATTAAATTATCGGGAAAGAAAGAATTATTTTTAAAGATTTATCTGCATAAATTTGTCAAAATGCGGGTATTTAATGCATGTATAAACTCATAAGTAAAAAATAAATTTTTTTTTCTTTTATACATTTTGCACAAAAAAAAAACAAAAAAAATTGATCAAAAACTGCTCTTTTTTTATTTTTGAAATGAAAAATTCAAGATTAAATTACTCTAGGAACGTTTGTGATAAAGTTGGAAAATATGACTAAATGAATAGTACTTGCTATCACTTTTTTTTCCCAAGGGTATTCGCCATTACTTTTTTAACTTGCGCAAAATATTTGAATCTCGAATGTTCGCACTTTCATGAAAATTAATTTAATGGAACACTAATCTTTCGATTCATGAAGCTTTTATTAAATATTTTGAAGTTTAGTAAGAGAGGGAAGAAAGTTCTTACATTTTTAGATTGAAATAATTCGTAAGATATTTTGATACCATGAATTTGTAATGATTATATGACAAATGCAAATTGAAGTTTATTTGCCAAAATGTAAATAGCCGGCCAGTTAATTTTATTTTCTTAGTGTTTTCCTTTATTTTATTCATTAAAGATCTCAATTTACATAAGTATATTCACAGTTTTGTGGTAAAGTAAGAATTACTAAACATTATCCTTTTTTTTTAAATAATTACTATCACGTCAAAAAATCTGTAAAAAAAAAAAAAAAGTGCATAATAGTTTTTTCTCTCTGAAATACAAATTTAACTGATTTGCTCCTGTGTTTATTTATATTACTAAATCAAAAAAATTTCGTTGATATTGAAAGAGGAAAGTTATTTTTGTATTTTTCATTGAATACGTATTTTTTGGGTTTACTGGCAGAAGCCTTCACTGATTATTCAAATGTTTAATAATTAAGTTAAAAGAATTTTAAAATATGTAGAGAAAATTCGAATCCTGTTTCGCTTCACCTAAACCACTATAAAAAGCTTTTTAGTAGATTTATTTTAACAAAGCAATTCTTAATTTTTTTCGTAATTCGTAGCCTATGCTAAATGTTGTGGTAAATTAATGAAGAAATTGAGATTAAAGGAATAAAATAAAGAAATATTTCATGGTAAAAAAGATATACTTTTGAGCAAATTAATTCAAACTTGCTGTCATAATATATAAAAATTATTATGAGATTAAAGAAATTATAAAAATTGTCGGAGGGCAAACTCAATTATTTAGTTTCACGTTTTAAGCAAAAAAATCTTCCGAAACTGAACGATTTTTAATAATCTATGTTTTAACAATATGCCAATTATTTTTGAGAAATCTGATTTCTCCTAGATATGCTAATTAAAAAACCATGCAAAATATTATAGATATGGACGAAGAAATATACTTCACCTAAATAAAATCGTTAATAAATATTTTACCTCATCTAGTAATTTAAAATGACGTCGGAAATTTTTGTTATTATTCCTCCCTAACTTAAATAATTTGTAGCAAATTAACGAGAAGTCAAAATAGATTGTTATGTAAAAAAAAAAAAGCTCTAAATTTAGAATTTTTTTTTAAAATTCTAATTTTTCTTTGGTGTCATTCTCTGTTGTCCCATAACAATTATTTTGTATGTATAGTGATTTAATGGTTGCATAGGAATACATATGGTGTTATATAATGACCACCCTTAATTATATTTTAAAATTGTTTTCTACAAAAATTAAGGTATAAAAATATATGCGTTAGGAGTCTAAAATTAATATTAAAAGCCACGAAAAGACAAAAACGCTGTGAAAATCTGACAAATTACTAGGAAAGCAGATGTGCAAAACATCAAAACCTGTTAGATTGCCGGATGAAACTGATAAAAATTGAGACTATTATAAGAAACGCCTTCGTGTTTCAACTTGTCGGTTTTGGGTATCTGTTTTATTTTTCCTCGTCTGTGTCTTTTTACAAACCTTCTGGGTATATTTTTTTAAAAATCTTCTTTGTAAAGGATTCTAAAAAATAGATTAAAGGTTGTGATTACGGAACACCCTAGGTAGTCGAACCTAGCAAAATTATTCAGACTTTCTTCAAACAAAGCAGATAGTCACCGCACTTTTTATTTTGCTCGTAAAATCAGTGAATGCTACCGTTGCCGTGTCATTGAAAAAACAACGCAAGTGCAAACATTTCGTGAAGCACTTTTTTTTTTTGAATTTGGCAGTATAGGGCATATTTAGCAGAGTAAAAACTTATCGAAAGAAAAAAAAACTTTTAAGAAATGTTAATGTATTTTGGATTTTTTTTTTTCAAAAATTCATCATATGCTACTGCATAGAGCTTCGCCCAAAAACGGCATTCCCTGACACCTGTACAAAGATGCAGTAAAAAGTGGTCGGGGGGTGCTTTTTTAATGCGGCGAACCGGGTTCAAATCCCATTGATACGAATGCCGCACCGCATTCTTGCACCGACCACAGTGCTGACGTGAAATATCCTCAGTGGTACACGGATCATGGGTTAGAGACCCCTTGCCGTCAGGCTAACCTTGGGAGGTTTTCGTGGTCTGCCTCTCCATGTAATACAAATGCTGGTTAGCTCCATCAAAAAGTCCTCCACGAAGACAAATTTCTCCCACTACTCGATCCAGGAGTTCCCTTGTCCTCTGGATTAGGTTCAAAATTACAAGGCTACGGAGTTGAACATTTGTAGTCGTAAACCCATAAAATTGGGTCGGCTGTTCAACGACGGTTATAAAATATAAAATAAAATCTTCACTACTTATTCATGTAAAAAAATATTAGCAAATAAATCTCAATCAGTCAATAAATAATATCTTTAGTAAGTTTGAAGTGGCACACATAATTTCTTTCCCCTTCAGATAGTAGCAATTTTTCCAACACGGTTTGCATCCCCTGGTATACGATAATCTTAAGAATGCTTTAACTCTTTGACTCATATGGGACACGGATGACCCTCTCATATATATATTTTTACATTCTCAAATAACGAGCAAAACTATATTTTGGTACTTTTAATATTAAAAAAGTTTAATAATTATTAAGAAAATCTGTTAGATTATCGAAATTATATTTGTACTATAATATAAAATCCAAAAAAGTAATTCGATTTTTTTTAATTCATATTCAAATATTTAACAATAATTGATTTCGTAAATTAAAGAAATTTCAACGATGAATAACTGTTTCTCTTAGATTTAAATAACTACAAATAAGTGCAAATTTGAAAAATTGTTTGGCACTGAGTAAATTTGAAAAATTTTACCGAAAAAAACGGTGTTTTGTGCAGTATTTCATAACCATAAATTATTAAAGTGCTAGATATATTTTTCACTTATTTTGACACAAAATAATGAAAAAAGTATGAAAAATAAGTGTAGTGAAAAATGATTCTACGGTAAGTTTTAGTATACCCTTTTGCGGTATGGCGTTTGTTTACAAGATTCTGTAATACTCGGGTTTTGTTTGAATAAAACATATTCTATATAGGATTTAATTTTGATACTACTTACCACATTAACGATTTATATTGCGACTTAACTAGCTTTCAAAAAGAGTCATTTTGGTACTTTAAAAAATTGTTGTTGGCAATTTTACGCTGATATTTACTGACTGTGTCTTCAAAGTCAAAAATATTATTTTCATATTTGCCTTTTTTATTTTCCAGGATTATGGAATAATTGTATTACTGAATAAATATTTTGCTGCACTTCAAGAATCTCACCTATCAAAATGCCTTCAAAACTGGAACAGCTTCAGTTACAGTTTCGACAAAGACTGAACGAAGAGCGTATGATTAAAATCCATACCGATAACCAACAAAAAGCTTTGAGCAAAGTTTCAAGATACACCAATGGTTACCAAAACAGCCCTTCTTCTACTTTAGTTTCTCCCAAACCTCCACAATCTGTCGTTCCTCCTCAAGCACACCATTCTCCTATTAAGAAGGGTAGCCCTGGTGTGGACAGATCTCGTCCCTTGCCCCCTATTGCCAAGGAACAGCCGAAGAACTTTTCCAGTAGTCGAAGTAGCCCAATACCATCTCCCGTAGAGAACTTTGCCAAAACTGCTGATTTTCGGTCCAAATCTGTTGACTTAGAGCAAAGAAATAGGCTTCCAATCGGTGTTCAGAATGGTCGAGGTACGATCCAGAGAAATGGTAATGCCAAACCGGTAATTCTTGAACCTAAACAAGTGTACCAGTCCAATGGAGCTTCCGATAGAAAATCTAATCAGGACACGCTGACCAAGTTGAAACAAGCCGAACTACAGCGTTTGAGAACTAATACCAAGGTAAGTGGTTAACAATATTATGCATTTTAATCTTTGCTTATGGATTGCATTAGCTTTTCTCATGTAAATACAAATTTCGCGTTTCTAAAGTTAAGTTCTCTGGTGATCTTCGTAGTATTTGTTTTTAAACAGGAATTTATACACTAGTTATCTTTTTAAAAAAAAAAAAAAAAAAAAAAAAAAAAAAAAAAAAAAACTTGTGCAGATGATTTTAGCGGAATATTCCATGTTCTTTTCCCATGATATCTTGTTTTAACATTTTATGTTACGGAAAGCTCACAAGACAGATTTTTTTTTTTTTTTTTTTTTTTTTTTTTTTTTTTTTTTTTTTTTTTTTTTNTTTGCTTATAGTGGCTTAACAAAAACGTTACAACCCTAGGGAACTAGTATTTCATTAGATCTGAAATGTGCGTTTGCTAGATAATAATCTCTTGTCATTGTTATGACGTTTTTGTAATTATCTCTAGTTTTGAGTATATCATTTTCGTATTCAGCTCTCATAAGGTTAAAGTTATGTAACGTCATGATTATTATTTTTTTGTTTTTTTTGTGTGATTTTTTTTACTCAATGTTGATCTAGCACGATCTTATCAGAGCAGGGTTTATCTTGTTTTAGAAATAAATAAAAATTCCGTTACTCTTAGCAATAAAAAAAAATTCTTCTGTCTTTTTGTGTTAAATATAGTTTGCAGCCATGTTCAGTTTTAACCCTAAGTAAATAGTATCGGTAAATTAACTTTGAGTTAGGCGTAGTATAACCACATTCAACTCTTGTGTCTTTAAATTCTTTCTTGTAATACAATAGATCTTGCAAAGAATTGATTTTCTTACAATACCAATTCTTCTGACTATAGTTCATACAGTTATAAAAATTATATAATATGTACACCGAAGAGCCATTATATTATGACCACCTTTAGCCATCAAAACTGTTAGAACCCGCCGTGGCATTCATTCCACAAGGTGCTGATAGGTAGTCTGAGGTATCTGGTACCAAGAGCTCACCAACTGGTCCTGCAATTCCCTCACATTGCGAGGGGATAGAGTGGCAGCATGAATTTGGTTTTCCAAGTAGGACCACAAATGCTCTATTGGATTAAGGTCAGGTGAATTTGGGGGCCAAGACATGACTTGAAAGTCACTGGAATGTTCCTCGAACCAATCCATGACGATTCGACCCTNACATATATTATATAATATATTATATAATATATTATATAATATATTATATAATATATTATATAATATATTATATAATATATTATATAATATATTATATAATATATTATATAATATATTATATAATATATTATATAATATATTATATAATATATTATATAATATATTATATAATATATTATATAATATATTATATAATATATTATATAATATATTATATAATATATTATATAATATATTATATAATATATGTAATATATAATATATTATGTAATATATATAATATATTATATAATATATGAATAAACTAGAAAGTATAGAACTTGAAATGCTTGTTTGAAAAAATTGTTTTCACTCAAATGCATCATACTTTGAAATGCGTGTTTAAATAAACAGACACGACTCAAATGCGTATTTAAGAAAATGGTTATAGCTTAAAAATCATGTTTGAAGAAGTAGACGTAGCTCTTAATGAGCATTAAAGAAACTGGAATTAACACAGATGTTGCATTTCTATTGTTAAGCAATAAACACAAAATTCTAACATCTTCAATATTCTTTAGAAAGGTGTGTGCGAAATTAATTTGTTAACTCGTTTAGTTTTCGTAGGATGTAAATTTACTGACTGCGACTTAAAATCTAAATTTGAAATGATATTTCTTTTTTTGTTCCTTTCTAAAAAGTAAATTTTTTTAAATACACTATTCCCATCATTATTTCCATATAGATATTTCCATATAGACTCATGTCAAGCTACATCTTTCGGGTAATGTGCAGTTTGCCTACGATAGGTCAATTTTCTTTGATTCCCTTCAGACAATGTGCATTTTGCCTACTCTATTTTTATTCCCTTTTGGGCTATGTGCATTTCGTCTATACTATGTTTATTTCCTTTATTCTTTTTGGGCCATGTGCATTTTGTCTACGTCTATGTGCATTATTGTCTATGTACATTTTGTCTATTTCTTTTATTATTCCTTTTGAACTACGTGCATTTAGCCTTCGCTATGTTCATTTTTCTCAAACGCTCATTTTGAGCTATGTCCAAAATAAGTTTACTAACGAGTTACAGCGGTTGCTATTGAAATTAACTGTTTTATGCAAGTCCAGAGGTTACTAATTTTTCGCAAAAAAAAAAATTCAACGATCATGACCTGTCTGGCGAATCACGCTTGGTATCAATATATTAAAAACGAAAGAAACCCTTCTCTGTTTGAAAATTTCAGAAAGCAGCAATCTTTTTAAACTATACCTAAAACAGGTTTAAATAAATGTGAATGCCCTCTGAAATAAATAAAAATACCAACAACTTTCTTCCTCCTACGCCGAATCTTAGTCAAGCAAAGTTCTTGGAAAAAGCTCGCGCTCTCAGTTATCAAAGCCAGTGATCTTGTAAGCTTTTTGTGCATATTCCGAAATTAGTTATGAGTTTATCTCCGTCGGCACTAGCTCTATACTTACTTCAACTAAGTGACAGAATGTATTATAAATGGGCTTGAAACACGCCAAAGTTTTTGGAGTTAATGGTTTTAAAAACAACAATGAAACAGTAACAAATCTCCACAGATGTTTTTAATGATAACCTTGCATTTACTTTGTTTGTTTTCTTTCTGATATAAAATTTTTATTCCTCTAAATTGTTTAGTATTTCGAATAATAATTTTTCGAATACTATTTTATCTGATTATATGATGGTGATAAAAAAAATATATCAATTTATGAGTGATGTCTTATCTATCGTAAATAATTCCTCTTTCTCTAACTTTGAAAACTGAGCCATTTTTTTTAATAAATAGGATGATGTTTAATTATTTAAATTTAAATATTTTTTAAAATTTATTGCGCTGATTCATCGCAATTTTCTCCTGTCTGGATCCAGAATAAAGTTTATTAATATTTCATTATAAAGTATATTTCATATAATAAATATTACGTTCAAGTTACAGTTTTACAGGAATATTTTTGTTTATGAATATTAAATTTAGTGAAATCTACAGGAATAATTAAAAGCAAAATTCTGGTTTAGAATCTTTTTGATTAATTTGAAAACATGCCACCATGAAGAGAAAAAAAAATCCACTTTAAATCCAAAGCTATATTAAAATCCCAGAAAAATGTATTCTAGTTGTGAAATTTATTTATTAAACACAAATAATTGAATAAAAAATTCATAGATGTAGCTCATTGTTTTTTTTTGACATAAATGAAAAATATTTTTTTTCATGTCAATCTAGAAAAAAAGGCTACATACATTATCAACCGAACTCTTGATATCTGCTGCTATTGAAAATTTTTAAAAGTATATTTAAAAATAGTTTATGTGGCAAAAGTAATTTCTTTCAGCTTTTGATGCATTTAGGATCGTTCCTAAACTATCCATGGATAAAACGGTGATGTCAAAAACACTGTGTCAAAAACATTTTCCAAAAACCTAAACAATAGCATTTATGCATTGGTTGAAGCATTATTCTCATTTTAAATATTAAATTACAGCTATTGTTTAACTCCAAATGAATAAAATCGTCAAAAACTGACGCATGCATGAAACTTAATAACCCTGAGAAAAAATACTAATAAAAAAGAATTGTATTTTGAATAGATTCAAGAATTCGTGTATACTCAAGCTTTATATTAATATCAATTCTTAAGGAAAAACTTGAAACTCTCTGAAACTTGTATCGCAAAGGTTAAAACAAATTTAAAAAAGGCGTACTGATTGAGTATATTCTGGAATCAAATATTGAATTCCATTCTAACGATGTCAGAAAAATATCGTTTTGCAAACAAACCTTTTTTAATTCCTATCATCGCAATCTCAGAGATATCTTTTTCATGTAGGTCGAAATAAAAAGCAATTCTTTTTGTAGATGATAGAAGAGCGTGAGATTAAACCATGCATAATTCCTTCCTAATTGCTTGTATGCACGCCAACAGGACACACATGTGCACACGAACACTTCTTTGGTGAGGGCTCTATTATTCCGGAAATACGATCCAGTTGATTTCTAAGAGCAAATAAAAGGACATAAAATTGTATACAAGAAGCTAAATATGGAATTGCAAACAGTTAAATAAATAATATTATCATAAAACGGGTAATGGAATTTAAATGCTTATGCATACTATGCGCGTGTCTATAATAATAGTGATGTTTGTTTTAATGATAAAAGCTAGATTAGGTTCTTAATTGAAAATATAAATTGGAATTGTTAATTTTTGATTTATTGTAAACAATTGTTTCCACAGTTGGGAAAACTGCAAAGTTGTAACTGCAGTAAAGTCAAAATATATCAAAATTTTTGAAATCGAAAAATTTCCCTCTAGCTAACGTTTTGAAATGTTGAAAAAAATATGAAATTTGGAAAATGTTTTGTAGAAAATAGTATATTTTTTATTATGTAACAATTTTATACCGTGTAAAATATATTCTCTTTAAAACTGTGCAATTTTTGTTTTTTGTTCTTAAGTCTCTATAATATTTGTGAACAATAGCGTGTCCCTTGTCATTGAAAAAAAATGCTAAAGGTGACGCATGATCTAAAAAGATTTTACTTTTTAATTTCGCAGCTTTTGTTACAATCTTCTTTTTTTTTTTTTTACTCCTTGTGGAGCGGATTAAGCTAACTTTAAAAGGAATTCAGGCAAATGTGCAGCATAATGAAAAAATATCTAATCATTTTGGAACTTTATAATCTCCTAATACATCAATAATATTAGAAATTCGGTTCTCTAAATAAAAAATTCAGTTAGTGTAAAGGAAAAATTTTACCAATAAATTCAACCGAATTTGAGAGACAAAAAAAAAAAAAAATCAATTCAAT